GCTAACTTAAACAACCCCATTTTATTCAAAAAATAACAATGATTGTCCAAAGACGTAACTTTTGTTAATCCTTTCCTTTTATTCCTGCGAAAGGAAATAACTTCTTTGTTAAATAAGTTTAATCCAGTCAAACAGAAGTGAATTATTGGTAAACTTATTAATATCATACCACAGAGCTGTTTATATAAGCTTTGAACTAAAACCGTATAATTCAACTTAAGTTTACATGCATATTGAATATTATCTGGCTGGTATATCGTACTCTGTTTCATTGTGATGTTAAGGAATTACGCGCAATATATCCTGCCGATTCTTAACTGTAAGACATACAGGGTCATTGCGATTACAAACGCTATAACAGATAACATTGCCTCGTGTATACTATGACCTTAAGCCTGAATGATGCCTTGTCTGCCAGCAATTAATCACAATCGGTCATATATTCCAAGTTTAATCCTGACAAATGTTGAAGGTATTATGTATTAGAATTCGTTTGCGTCACCTTGCAAATGTTATCACCATCTTGGTCGAAATTTTAAGACCATGATCACAATTCACGATGACCGTTCCCAGATCACCGAAGACTGAAGAGTCTAACTGAATATGATATTGAATTTATCTTACTATTTCTTCTCGTCAACAAATGATTGAGATTCAATGATTCTTGAATAGAATAGCAGGTGCTATATTTCGAATCTGCACTGTAAATTTCCAGCTGTAGCCGTGCTGAAAACAATTACATCAGCAAAACCAATCGCTCCACGAGTACGTCATCGCTGAGCTAAATATAAGTAATCATTGGCCTAAAATTTCGTCTTGTTTATTATGGTTCATGAATCGCAATGCAAGCACCTGGCAGTTTTTTTGAAAGACCGCAAAAGAATGAGAATATTCCAAACTAATCCGTCTATGCTGCTGCCGTGCGCGAAGGTTTAAAAAAATCCCACTGGAACTGTATGTCAGCAGAAGCTTTCGGCTGTATTTTTGCGATAACATTGGCGACAATAGCAACCAGTGGAATTCCGATGAGATTTAGCCCGAAATCACGTTAATCCCGCTAATCAGCAAAGCTCTTGCTAAGCCGCGCCACAAAGAAGTGACAAAACGGGGTGTGCGTCGATCAAAATAGATTTCGCGAACGCTTGGCTGTGAGCTTCGGCACAAGACAGTTCATTAGTTCATTAGCACCTTTTTCAAAACTTTTTCAATGCCTTTGGCGATTAACCGGAAAGACAGACAAATGCATAGCCGTGTTTATTTACTTCACGACGCCTTGCGACATTGTACAACGTGATAAGCTATGGCCATATAACGTATGATCCTTTCACAAAGTACAAAGAGCCTTTCAATAATACTGTACAAATCCATAATACTTTAAATAGTTCGCACAGCGAATTATGCCGAATATTTATTGTATCGTGAAGAATATTTGCCTCTAGGAAGCAAATTCCAAGTGCTTTTCAAAAAATGAGGAAAAAGAGTGAATTTCTTCATAGTCTCACGTGGTGACAAATATCTGACAGTTAAGGCATCTTCAAGAACACATATTTCCCGCTTTTGGGATTGAAAGAATTTGGGATTTGCCGATTTGGTACCTATTTTTGCTGCATGCAGATTATAGTCTTACTGTTGTAAGCTGAACTAAAATCTTCCAAGTAAGGTTACAAGAACATGAATTGGAGATAAAAAGAAAGAAATGTTCGGTAATGATATAAAAGCCGGATTCGTACCGGTAAACCCGGCCTGAGATTCATTCACTAAGGTACTGAGTCGACTGTATATGGAAAAAGAGATTTCAAATCCTTATTTTCCCAATTGAAATCTTTATTTAAGCACATTAGATATCCCGTAATCAGCTTTATGTAGTGATTCGACGCGAATCGAACTGCTTTACACTCGTCTGACAACGTTCAGTTGCATAGACTACGTTTCATCGTCGGACAGTATGATGGATTAGCTGCGGGTCGGTTGTTAGACGTTTTGCTGTATATACAAATTAAGTACCTTCACTGTTCTTCGCGCAAACTGCCAGTGAATTGACGAAGGTGTGAATTAAAGCCATAAGCGCCAATAGTCATTGAAAGCAACAGGAAGGAGTTCATAATAATATCAATGATTTGATGGCATACTCATTAGTTGCTGTTTGCGCTATTTAGTCCCCCGTGAAGTTCACTTGTATTAGCCGCATTATTTGCATTAACCACGCGTTAATTTTTCCTTGCTAGCACGCTATACCGCCCAAACTTCGATGCTAACTTCTGGGGCATCTGAATTGTGAACTTTCATACAAATTCTTGCAGAATATTACGAAATACCGGCGGAAATATTGCTTCAAAATTTGTCCGTGCACGTCAGTTGACGTAATAACTTCAAATGACTCGAAAACAAATACAAACTATCCAATATTACTTGCATATCAAACACGATCTATAAACATCGAAAGCAATGCAGTTTGTCGCTAAATATAGTCGACTCTATCGCTAAATGCAACTAAAGAGATATTGGAAATTTGAGCGCATTAATCGCGCAAGCTCAAGAACTAATTAACATGCGTCGCGCAGTATTTTCGCACGAATAGAAAGCACCATGGACGTTTCAGAATCTAAGGTCGGCTTAGGAAATAGTGTAATTAGCATCGGTGACGCTAAACAAGCTTCAAGGCTTGTTAGCTGATAACGAAATTTACACTATGAGGTCGATATTGCTGGCAAGATGTTCATTGCCGTGTATACGCCCACAAGATTCGGGCTAAGTTGTTTGTCAAGAATTCTTTCGTCGCCATTAGGGCTGTGGCATTGATCTGAAATTCCTATCACGCCCTTTTGTTTTGCTTTATTTACAATTATTCCATGAATAGCATCCAATTTGAATACTTGGGCGTGCAATTGCACGAATATCTACCCTATGGGTTGATGGCGTGGTACACAATACTATATACACTTGACACCTCGTGCATATTTGCAAATATTCGGCATATTACCGCCGACAAGTTGTTGTTTATGAGATGGCAAATATATGTACAATTAGATATTGGTTTCCCTTCACATTTCTCATAGCACGTAAATATATAGATCATTGGCCACGCGCATTTTATGTTAAACGAAACAGGTGTAATTGCGTGCTTTGCATGAGCCGATGGGCGCGCGTCGAGTCGGTAGAATTTTAGCGGTCAATTCATCGTTTTCTCAAATGCCTGCTACAGGTTTCCAGGAGCTTTTAGCAAAGATCGTTCGTACCAACAGCATGTAAATATGCAAAAGAGCCAATATTCATGATTACTACTGAAACATTTGTGACATGAACTGAAAAGGGACGACTTCGATGTTTGAATGTATTATATCAGTAGATATAATCTGCAGTTTCTAAAATACGAATATAATAATCTACTCGATTTGTCCGTGAGCGAGCAACAAACCGGCGTTTAAGGACATTCTACTGTGATCACCAACGGAGTGTGATTACTTTCTGTGGCGTGACTCGTGAGCACTGAGCAACGACCTTTGATCGAGAAAATGATAATAAGTTTTCTTGAAAGATTATCATTTTTCTTCAAAGAGCCTCAATAGCTTTTTGCATTATTCATGTTATATTTGCATGCGTGGATGGAACAAGTTTGTGTGTATAATATATATTGTATTCATACTGATAGTTACGCGTCAAAATATGTTGGTCATTCACGCCGAAGGTGTGAGACCAACGTGGCAAAATTCGACCTCCAGTGTTAGTTATCTGACTGCTAAAAGCCAGAGATCATCGCACCTTGGATGGCTGTTTATCTAGTCGGAATATTTCGTGCCTATTCGCGCCAGTCTAAGTACCGAGTGTATTTAGATAGTCTTATCCAGAAACCTCTGTTTGCCCAGCATTGATGTTTTATCTGCCTGTTGGAAAAACACGGTTGATATTACGGACAATCTAAGGCTAAAATGAAGACGCGAGGTTATGAATCGGCAATGATGTTGAAGAAAACATTCGCACGAAACTATGAACCTGATCTTTCAAACGTTTCTGTGCAATGCCTTCCACGAGCATTCTATAATTAGGTTCAAACCAACTCCCTGCCCTATTAAGAAACATTTCATCATCTTATGGAAGATGGTCTAATTGATAATCCTACTATATCTGGCCGCAAACTGCTCCCTTCTCAATTTTAGATATTCAATAACACACAAGGATTGTAAAAATGGCAAGGTATTCAATTTGTTGCGAGATATGTATCACTGTACTATAGAACCTATAGGGGCTAATCTTTGATAAACACCTTTTAATGGTTTGTTGTTTGATATTCGACTTTGTATATACAGACACTCCCTTGTCGACTAATGGGCTATTTTTCAATTTCTGATTTGGAATTATGGTTTGTTTATAAATTGTTACAATTAATACCATCGGAAAGGATTAATAAATGTCGCGTTAGTTCATATGCATGATGGAACTGGCCATTGATAAATGGGTGAGAATATGCAATCCACGAGATAGCCACCGATTTCACAGATAAACAGAAGATACAAGACTATATTTCACTATGAGACTAAAATCGTCAAACATTTTTTACAATTCAGAAAACATGCTAAGCATTACGAAACGTTTCCGTCGTAAGAATTAGCTGTAAGTAGTTCACATCAAATACTTCCAATGGTGTTTCCCAATTTCATCGACTGAATATGGTCAACAGAGTTTAGTGCACAAATACCACAGGAAATTAATACTGATTTTACGATATGATTATATAATTCCCTTAGAGAAATACTACTAATAATTACCAATGATAATTTTTTGTCGTACATTCCATTCAACTACCAAGAAATTGCAACTCTATTCAGATGATTGTCATTTGAAAGGCACATTAGTGCATTCTTGTCGATCCCGATGAGTAAACAATTGTAGTCAGAAGCGATGCACCTTACACAGATTCTGCTGACAAAGTAACACGTACGCCACGCTTTTTTTCACTGGATTTTTATTACAATATTTATAATAGTAATGTGATATTATTCATATTAACAAAAAAACAACAAATGTATAAATGCATAAAAGTATAAATTAGGGTTTGTGGTAGTCAACTGTGTTCTTTACAGTACGTCATATTTCGCGTTTACAGTCATATTTACATATAGTCTTCAAATCGAAGTGCATGTTCACGCGTTGACACCAAGACCAGCTCGGCGTTCTGACTTACTATTCATTCTACACGTACGAGTATATAATCTAATTGTGAAACCATTCAAATCATAACATAATGAGAGTTTGTGAACAATCATATTCCGATTTTAAGCAGGTTACACTTGACTGAATGCGTTTTATAAACTATATATCTAATTGCCATTGTCTTCTAAACAACGAGGTATATTAAACAATGTTTGAACTCTTCCGACAACGACAATGGTCAAAGATGTTGCGATTATCTTAACTGGAAATTAGAATCATTATAGAGCCATTAGAAGACGAATTATCCCCATATCAAAAATTAAGGTTGATTTTATATAATGTGTCACAAAATATATCAAATTAATGTTGTTCTCATAACAGCCAATTATTATTACGGCATATAAATTTCGGCTATGAGAATTGCACTGCATTGAAAGCGTGCTTCATTTTAGTACTGTGGTTTTCAGGAATAAATTCGTCTATGAAGTGGCTTCAGTCATCTTTTGTAAACACGTGTAGTTGAGTTTTGGGCAGTGCACGGAATACCGTCTTACATAAACTATGTACAAACACAAGACCCAAACGATAGCTGCGAATCAGTTAGCGGCTTTTTGCTGGTCGTTATCTTTGCCAGGTTATTTTCTGCCTCTAAAGACATTTCTTGTCGATATTTACGTGTCGTAAAACCAGTAAATCTACTTCAATTTATGCGTTTCTCTTCTTCTTTATCTTCTTGAATATCTCGTTTCTTTTCTGCCATATCGTCGTCCTCCGTCGTCTTCCCCTCTTGCTTCAAACGTCGCCATTTCGCACGTCTGTTCTGGAACCACGTTTTGATTTGCCGTTCCGAAAGCTGTAGCATCTTTGCGAGCGATTTTCGTTCCGGTGGCGATAAGTATTTCTGTTTCTCGAAGGTTTTCTCCAGCTCGACCGTTTGTTCGTTGGAGAAGCGCACTTGACCGCCTTTTTTGCGTTGATGCTTGTCCAGAAACGTGTTCCACAGACCTAAAATGGAAGAGAAGCAGACACTTGTAATATCACCACCATTCAGTTACTTGTAATTAAGTCAGTACAAGGGATGGTTACAGTAGTAATCAATATCTACTCATTTTTACAATGTGATTACCGGACACGCCACATCAACATGGCAAAGTGAATAATACAAAGCCGTCGTATCTTTGACCTATTTTCTATCCCAAGACCTTTGGCAATATAAGCTGACAATCATTACTAAGACAAACGTTTAAGCGGAGCACTTGTAGCTATATATGCGCATACATACACGATATACAAAGGCCATGATCGACTAGAACTAGAAGATCTGTATCATCGTTGCTCTCACAGAAATTCTCATAGTCATAGTCATAGACATTTTTTTACTATATGCGACTGTACAATTTCAAACATATCGTCTACGCATATTTACCGAGGATCCTTGGCTAATACTTAATACGTGTAGGACAGCATGATCATTTTTCTCTACTGAGCGTTTCTTTCACATATTAGTGAAGATGTCTCAACCATGAAATAGCAATTGGTGCCGATGTACCCCGTGAGAGATGAACGTTTCAGTTGTGTAACAAGTATAAATACACGCTCCTGATATGTTTTGCAGGAAGGTGCGATCATAAGGAATTATCGAAATTAGCCCATTTGACATGACATTATTGAGAGACAGAAATACGTTAAAATTCTCTTTCATCTTTAAAAACGTTTCTATAGTATTCACGATCAGCCGGGGCTGATTTGTTGTGGCATCGTTTTTACGCGGAGGTTGGAGTGCGTGCGCTATTTGTGCATGACGAAGCGTTAACTTCCTATCGCTGGTAGTCATCAGGTTATTGCCACGATTTGGTAAATATAGCACTTTGTTGAATGATAATTACGAGTGCGCGAAATTGGAAACCATGGGAAAAAGGAGCTTATAAAGTAAATGATATATGGAGGAATTACTCATGATGATTGCGTAAACTTTCAGCTCGCAAACCGCCAATGTTTCGGTCATTTCACGACGGAAATGTTCGCTATTCATTCGCCCTCGCTGTTCGTATTCGCCCTCGCACTCCCATACAAGCAAAATATAGGAAATGGGCCGCACTCAGGAACTCAGGTACTTTGAATTCTCAACTTTCCGGCCACAAAATGCAATTGGACACTGCCGTGTGCTGGTCACTGCTAATATATTACACGACAAAACATAATGCTTTGTTAAATTCTTATGCCCAACCAGGATTTTTAGCCTTTGAATCCACTCAATTCTGCCCCGAATCCCAGGTATGTAACATTGGTCGTGTCCTCGTTTCTAAAAATGTTAATTGAACTTAAAAAATCTAGTACCTCCAATCTTTTATTATCTAGTGCTATTCATCTCTAATGACAAGTGTATATTTGGAGGTTAATCAAATCACACGAATCTTTATAAAACAACAGGTTGTCATTCATGGCTTTTCGATCAGAATCTAACCGATCAGAACGACGAAAAACTAGAACATTCAGGAACACATCAGCTTCATATTGATGCGCCGCAGCGTTTATAAATGCCCACAACAATTCGATCAGTTTATCTTTGGACTTATGAAGACAATTACGTAAACTAGAAGCAACACCTACACATTGATAAATCGCTTTACAAGTGAATAGGTGATATTTAATAGCATCAGAGAAACTTCCTAATGCCTTGTTATATCGCTAAGACGTAACCGGCATGAGCGAATCGTTTTCGGATGTTTCAACTGACTTGAAAATGACATATTCCGTTTTGTGGTGTGCGTGAATGCAAACTTTACCCTCGACAATAGTCTATCGACACTCTATTACATCGGTCAGCCGGTTGAGTTCACGAAAGTTTCTACCAAATGAAACCGGGATTAAATGCTTGGGTGCTGAAAATCAAGCGCGTCAGCTTAACAGCCAGGCTTATACGACTGCTCCGGTATTAACTGCCAAATAGGAAACACAATACATATCTTCTGTAGTCTCGTTCTTCGTGGAGTTGCAGTTCGGATCATTCATCGCCACTTTACGTCTCGTACTCTAGTTAAACTCTGACTGCCAATCTATCTCGTTTACTTTGACAAGGACATTGTGCTTCGGTGAAGAATCAAGCCGCAAGTCAGCGCACTTTTTAATGCCTATAAATGACCTTAATCTCAAAACTGCATGGCCATCTTAGACCACGATAACGCTAGTTTTCTCAGCCGTTGTTCAAACCTATTCTACAGCGATACCTTGAGGCGAGAGCGGTTTCGTTCACCAAGAACGTCACGACGCTGGACAAGGAAGCCAGCGCGAGAACGTCAGGCGAAAGGGACAACGCACTCCGGCTATATAATTGCATTGCAAATGCATGAGGAAAAGATTATAAGTTTACTCACACTGTTTTATAAACAAAAGACAGATCGTGTTTAACACCAATCAAGACGAATTATGATTAAACACTATAAACATTTAAACAAACAGGTCATATAGTAAGGACGCACAGTCATATTAAAGAATACAGAATCGTCAATCAAGCCTGCATTATTGGGTTGTTGTTTTAGTGCGTATCAGAGAAACAGCCAATTTATCACGGATCCATTAAATATTAGAGCTATTTACGATCATTATGGGGCTCTTTGAATTGCAGAGCTCCCAAAACCGAAAAGCTTAACCGAACGAAAACGCGTATTTGTAAACCTTCTCAGAGCTTACTGTAATATCGGAACGGAAAGCCTACTAGTTTTACGCCAGCTAAGGATTAGAGTTATCAAGTCTGTAATTGCTTTCCCGGTCCAAAGATAGCCGCATTTATCTGTGAAAATTTTGTTTGTATGCCTTGTGGAATACCAATATCTTTCGTGGTACCGAATGCTAAGGTTCGAAACAAGAGTGTTTCGGAACTTAGTACTACACAAGTGAATAAAATGCGCTCTTTAAAATATATAAACACAACCTTTACACAGTTATTTTAGATTCCATTCGCCTGAATTCTATGATTTAGCTTAGTCTTTCATCTCTGCTTAAAATAAACTGGCTATGTTAATAACATGACATGTAGTGTGCAGAATGCTTACCCATTGGATCCTGAAACGCATCGTAAATGCTCGGGATAACGGGAGCTTGAATGTTCATGTTGTATCCCATTGGCATGGCGTAAGGATGGTGACGCTGGTAGGCCATGAAGGGATTGCTATATGCTCTTGGTGGGAAGATCATTGGATAAGCAGGTGTCCTGAAGCTATCGTGGTATCTGGCTTGTTCCATGTTGCATTGCATTGGCGCGACGGGACTGTGCTGTGTCGAAGTTACGGTCGGTTTTCCCAGAATGTTATCGATACAGAACGATGTGGACGGGTGCTGTTGCCCGTAACTGCTAGAATTAAACGCGGTCGTTTCGCTTCTCCACTCGCACGGCTGCATATTCAAGAGATTTAGAATTCAATGTTCTCGCTTCGAGTAGAGTAGCTGCAATGAAGTCATCCTTCCGGAGGGCCACTTTAAATGAGCCTCGATACGAACACATTGGTGTCTATTTTTTAACAAGACATGAGAGGGAGGCCGTGAGTACCGCGTGTGACATAAACCAGACCTCGCATTCTTTCGTAGGAGCTTTTACAGCTTAATCACTTGGCTCGACCTCTCGGCCAATGAGCGCGCGCGTTTGAAAGGAAATGCCAACCACAGCAGGCGATAAACGCCCTATTATTTATCTCTGGAAGCATATCGATATCCCGGAGAGCAGCTTGCGTTCTTAATTGCTGCGTATTGCATGTTAAAATGTACATAGAATGTCATCGCAGCGTACAACATTTGGACGTGTTGATAACGCGCGAAGATGATCAGGGTTTGCGTCAAGTAAAGCATTCCGCGCTCGCAAGGAAAAACTCGCGCACGTTGTGAACGGTCTGCTGTTCGACGTATGACGGACAGCGAGCAGAACAGGGCGAATCGCTTGCAAAAAGGCACAATCGAGAGCGAAGTGCGTCAATTTATTGCCTCTCGACCACGAGTTGATTCTCAAATTACAAATACAGTGATTTTGCACTTTGACTTTGAGGATCGTTCACACCGGCAAATTTGTCCGATGCACGTTAGCAGTATTTAAGATACAGTGGCAGGCAGCTATGCTGGCAGTCGTCGGCAAAATGTACCTAAGACTCAACCATGCCCAAAGTTCGTCATTAACATTTACTAATAACCAAAGTAGGTCCGACAAATCATATTCATATTACGAGTAAACGTACCGATGTGCCGAATCAACGCTCCCATTAACAAGTCATTATTGCTGCAGTTTCTTAAAGTGCGCAAATGTCAAGTTGCCCTCCGCGCTTGCGTGGGTAATGAAAAATCGATCAAAAGAAATCGAGCACATTTTCTGTAAAATTCCCTTTTAGTACAAGAGCTGTGGCCAACGCTTTCGAGTGACCTCGATTGGACGATTATGTTCAAAAATGGTGTATTGAATAAGCAATACAGTTGAGTAAATCGGCTATTACAATGTGGGTTGTTTTCACTTGGATGCGGATTGATTTAGATCATAGACAATAATAAGGCTCCGGCTCCGAAGTCTGGCGTTTCTCAGTTGTTTGAAGTTGGTTACGACATGACAAATTGCATGGAGACTTTGATATGCTAATTTCGGCAAACGTGTTCAGGGGGGAGGGGCGTGGGCCGCATGCCCTGAAGGATTTGAATGGACATCTGTGACCAGAACCTTGCAATCAATTATGCTTAATTAATTGGGTACTGAGTGGATAGGCTGGCGATGAAATTTCTGCTAATCGAATACCGTATGCTACATGTGCGTCTCAAAACTGCGAACACGAGTTAGCATCGAGCTTCTCGGGATTCTTTTATTGCGCACATCGCAAGCGCGGACGTTTTGTCGGAAGAAAAAAACATGGGTCCGAAATCTGGACTCATTGGCTGGACAGATAAAAATTGCTTGTCGCATATATAACCAACTATTCTAGATTATAGATACTGTAGAGCATTAGCGTACCTTTGCATTTTTTTTAATTTTTCAAAGGCAAACGTCAAACTATTCGTGTTTGATTGGTCTTGATCAGAGCGGGGGAGGGAACTAGAGTTGATATTACCAAGTCCATTGTGAAGCTGGAAGAATACTGGATGTTTGCATGCGGTTCAAATGCTGCCTGATTCATGAATCAGGTTTATTTGGGCGTCCAAATGGGCGCTGGAATCCTGAAGCCATGACACCTGGATTCAGTTTGTGAATCCAAGTTTTCGCGTACCGTGGTCCCGACACCTTGAATTGTTTTCAAAAATGTGGCCAGCCAATTACGCCATTAACATCTCCAGATAGCAATCGCGGACCAATTCTTAAAATTCCTTGTACAACATACTGGTGTGGTTCATGAACAGCACTAAGCGAACAGGATAGCGTTATCACATGAAAAACACACGTCCTCAGAAGAAACAACACTCTATTTTATAATTTCTATGGAAACAAGTGTAACTGATCACTGTTTCATCAGTTCCTGTCATATTTTGAGACCATGAGGCGAACACAATCATTATACTTGGAATTCAAGTTGAACGGTGACAGTGTTCTCAAAAGGCACTTGATTTTAATGGAGGTTTGCAAAGATAGATGTTTACGAACCCTGTGTGCAAACACATTGGCACGCAATCTTTTTGATTGATGTTTTCTTGCTGATACGGAATGTTTCTTGACAAATTCCGTAGAGATATTCAAATGTCCTTGATAATTGGTTCTACATTACATTACACATTCGCAATAAATATTCGCTAATATTGTGTGTATTATCGTTTTTGAATACTAAAGAATCATTCCTGATGAGTTTGGGCGAGAAATCGATGAATCACAAATTCGAATTGAGGATCTGGGTATGGGTTAGGCCGTAGATGTGATGGGACGGATGACAAGTCCCTCGTATTTTAATGTTCGAAGTATTTTGTATAGTCACTTAGTCTTCATTAACCGAAATCCATCGATTCCAGATCACTCGTAATGAAGACAGCTTATAAGGAATACATTCGAGTTGAAAATTACCTTTTAATGACCGATATTCATACGGTAGTGCGGAAAAAATAATGCGATACGTAAACAAACTAAGTCTTAACTTCCTTATCAACATTCCTTTGTAACAGGCCCACATCCTGATATCAACAAACTGAGTCGTGCGTTTTTTTCATTTGCATACACTTGGCTCTGAGACAGGCATTGTAGAACAATGACGATAATTTAAATAAAGAAGTCAAAATTAATCTGTTCCATGTTGAAATCAAAACCTGCGAATTGAAGTGTAGCAAAGCAAAACTAGCTGTCTAAATATAGACATAATACTGATTAGAACTAGAATGTGAATATATGCTGCGAGGATTTGCATTTTTATGGATCTGTATTTTTGTTCCTGTTAAGCTAATTGGATTAACAAGAAGCAAGTTTATCAAATTGAAACGGATCCTTAATAAGCGTAACTGAAACACTTAGTATACTTCGATTTCTGTCGATTTTACTTTAATACCACAAAGCAATGTAATCACGTTTATTCTAAAGATGATTGCAGTAGGATTTAGGATGTATGCCCTATCAATTACAATTTCTTGGCATAGTTCCGCGTACGCTTTGTACCTATTTTTATTGCTCCTCATTTTTGCGGACCTCCGTACTCCGGAGTCCGCATCAACCCGCATTTCTCGTCGTCAAAGCTAACTTCCTGGCCATCCCTAATGCCGTAGGGTAAATCACACATTTGACCTACATTTGGCGATACACATCTGTTTGGTGGGCTTTTCTCATTAAATACCAATTGTTGGACCACACGTTCTAACATGCGCTCCACGTGGCTTATCGACGTTCCAAGGCTTAAGCCATGTGGTGTAAATTCCTTTAATGCGAATTCTGGTCTCGTTGTCTGCCTCGAAACTGCTTATGCTACGGTTAACTTCCTAATTTGTAAAGGCAGGGTTAATCTACTATAATTGCTGATGCCACCCTTGAGTGCAGCATCCTGGCGTCTAGGGGCGACCTCGCCAAAATCCAGCATGATCGCATTTGATTGCGCAAACGCGCCTTGCGCGGCACACTTAATGTTTTCCTTTTACCACGAAGATTATCCGAATGCTTTTTAGCGTCGCCGAGGACCGAGCAAAGCAAAATATAAAACAACAAATCTGTCATTGGACGCTGGATGACGCGCGCAATTACAAAAAAGGCGACATCGCGTCGCGGTCGCAAGTATTTTGAGAGAAAATCGGACTGGCTTAGCTCGCCGCTAGAGGAGAATCCTAAACTTAGAGAACAGTCGAGACGCACAAAGATTGAAAGCATTTGGCAGTTCAGGAGTGAAACTTTGGATAACAGCCCAATGTATACGGGATTAAAATGAATCTGTGTATATTTGGTTCCGGACTGACAGTCTGACATGTCTCATTTCGCAATAATACAATCATACGTTTAGTATTACAGGTGGATTACGGACATGCTTTTCTTTTTTCGAGAAAACCCATCATCTTTGATACTAATTTTTATCTGTCACTTTGACAGTAGCTCTCACGTCGTTTCATGACTTTACGTCAGTTTTCACACGGTTAATGCCTTCCCTCTTAATGCGGGTCCCTCATAACTCTAACCGACTAACCCATTAGGACAAATCGTGCGATTCTTCTTGCGTTATGTAAATGCAATACAGCGACAAGCACTCCATTAAACTGTCAAATATTTTGAAAGAATGCGCGCATTATTTGCTTATAGAGACCATACGCATTCTCAGCGCACGTCGGTAAGCCATAGTTACCGATGTGGACAAAAGTATGTTTACAAATTCTGGCATTTACTGATGATTGTCCACTTGAAAGCCGCCCAATATCACATTCCTTTGGACCAACTCATTTGCCCAACCTATTTTAACGCCAGGGGGGATGTCGTTTATATCTTTCGTGACAACCTTTTTAAATGTTTAATACTTTTTTTACTTAAATTCAACGTATTTGTACATTGGATGTAAAGTGCAAAGGTGTACAATTTGTATACAATAGAATAGCAAGAAGCCGACGTGACGGATAACAAGCTTTGCAAGTTATCGAATCGTTGCACTGAGTTATTCAGTGATATATTATTGAATAAATTAATCTATTATTTATAACATCGATTATTGATAATCAGATGATATATTTTGTTCTGATATCCAAATAAGGTATCATACAGCGACACTTTCGATACGTAATTAACAAGTAGTCAGTTTAGTTGTAACGAACATCATTACTGTCTGAAGCGTATATATATATACATATATATATATATATATATAGTCAAGATTGTGAAATCTAACAGACTTTCATTGCCCTGAGCTAAGCGCCCGAATTATACCGAAGGCGTATATCAGCTGTTTCAGGACGCGGTTTATAAGCAAAGAAAGCTTTTAAATTGGTTTGGTTTGATGACGAAACCTGACGAATCTGTTTATACACAGATAGTTTGTCAGTCGAGGTGAATGCCCGTCTACTTACTTGAATGTAACGTTTATTTTAAAATAGACGAACTACCTTTGACCCGTCTCTTGTATGGTATAATTAAATTGGGTCTTTGACATCAATGCAACATGGCAGTCGATACTGACCCTCTTCTTATAGTTGGTGTATTACAAAGCGATCATTCAACAGCGTTGGACACCAATGAATTGGGGCTAAAGGCCAAGAGGGCGTTTCGGGTGTGGATAATCGTATAAATTAGGTTCCTGACGTCTGGTCAATAACAATAGCTTTTAAAGCTGTAGTTTTAGATACAAACACAATCGAACCATCATCGCTGAAATATTCCAGCAACTTAACGTGCTTATTTTAGTAATTGATGACAACGATTGATGATCAAATGGTTAACAACACATTGTGAAATGCACTTCGGTTGTGCAAAGCTTTAATGTGCTTTTCTCGCTGTTGATTCGATTTCTTCTTCTATTTTTTTTGTCTAATGTGGGCGATAAACAAATATCAACATCCGACATTACTTTCTACTGTGTCACCTCCGAAATGGACCAAATATTTCATTTTTTCTCTCGGCTTGTTTAGCGGATTTCATCAAGTGCTGAGAATTTTAACTTGATCATTAGGCGTGTGATGAATCTTCAGCAAAGACAAAAACAGAATCTATATGATTCTCAGAAAAATCGAAATGAACACTTAAATATACTTTATAGTAGACCTTATAGTAAGGCTGAATGCTTATTTACAAGGGGAGATGTTCCATCGTATAGTTTATCAAAGATTGCATGCGTAGTAAATCGGTTCGCGAAAAACCTATTCGCAATTGCCACGACACTTTTAGATATGAACAAATGCCTGACATCACTGCATGTGATATGCTGTAAATTAGTTTAATTTGAATATGAAGAATGCTATCGCTGTATCATTATACGTCATGTGAATCTAGTATTTCATAGTTCAGTGGGAAAATAGTCGATTGTATATATATATAGTAGATTTATGCTGCATTAGAAATACTACAAATGTTTGAAAATTTCAAGGACCATTTAGATTTCCACTCGCGTACTTAAATTCACAGACAGACGAGACAGTCCTAGAATAAAAATTAATGTCGTGCAAATTGTGAAGATAATTCAGGCCGATTAATTCAATTGTTACTCATCGTACGAAGGAGCTTTTTGTGTTCTTCTATTTTAACACCGAATCGTGTTTTTTTAGCTATATCTTTTGTAATTCATCTTTCCATTAACTCTTATCTCAGTTAATTTAATATCATGACCAAATTGCTGTTATATATTGGCATATAACTACGTAATACAGTTTATCATTCGCTCCGAAGACGTCTTTACACAAGTCGATAGGCTATTTGGTTTTCAAGGATATCTTTTTAAAGATTTCGCTTTTCAGACGCTCAATACCAGACAATCTTTAAGGCCTTTATCGTTCCGGTGTTGTATTTTTTTCTACTTAGGAATAGTTTCACTTCATCTTAGGCCTACCGCATATCGTTAAAATTAGCGCAGTGAGACGAAATTGATATTCGTTTTCATAGCACTAGAGTCTTATCAATCCTTTATCTGTGTGGAAATGAGCAATTGAGGCTACGTATATCGCGAACCCTGCGCACGATTGCTGAGATAAAATCAAATAGATGCGTTTTTATCTTTTTTCGAATCCATTAGCGGTCATGTCTGTCTGACCTAGTGTGTCCGTGATGATCTACTGTCAAATTCACGATATAATAAAAAATGTTACTTGGGGCCTATTACCCTAATGAATGACCATGACCAGCCGCTATCCATCAGGCTCTTTCAAGTGCAAAAATATCCCACACACAGAGTTGCATGAGAACACCTTTATCAATAGCGCACTCCTTCGTATGTTTTCAAAGCACTAGACGGAAGCTGACCAGCCTTTCTTCACATCCATTCCACAACATTTGTGCCCGTTGCGGGTTTTGCAAACGATTTTGCTCCGCGGCTCGGCCTGTGACGGTCTATGAATCCACTAATCGATCTGCAGTCACTTAGTTAGAATTAGCTTTTCGTCCATTTTAAAAATATACGGATTCTTCTGGAAATAGGTCATAAGTCATAGACGCGTATAAACGTAGCACTCCACACAAGTGGTTTAGATGTATGGCACCACGCAATATACACCACAAACGTAATTTGACTACATTTGAGGACAAAATACTATACGTCGGATAACAGACAAGGCGCATGATTAGGCCCATCACTGACCGATATTAACACAGAAGTGGCTAGACTTGCAGTTGTCTGAAGTTGTATTAAGGAAAGCGGATTCTAAACTCTAAAGAGTGCGAATAATTACATGCAGCAAACTGCTTTTGAAGCTATAAGGGCGTTTTAGAGGCGTCTAGGGGATAAGTTCAGTGTTACAGAACTTGGTTACTGAGGCAACAAGCTCGTACAAAGGGGGTGTTAATTTACAAGCTAGTTGAACTGAGTTGAGGGCTTGAGGGACCCTTAGTCTAATTCCACGATTTCCACTAAAGGCTGCTTTCCAGTTACGCGTTTTTCATACGCACGTACACGCACGTAAAAGTCTAAATCCTTATAAATGTTATCTTTGGAAAAACTAAGTAAATAAATCGAAAGAGCTTAGTTTTCCGCATGTTTTAATGTTCACTTGTAGACCTAGATGTTAAATAATAAGAATTTAGAAGCATTTAGAAATTTCCGTGCGTGTAAGTGCGTATAAAAAACGCGTAACTGGAAAGCAGCCCTAACATTGCGCTGATGTAGTAAAGTCAACAGAATTGTGACATCCAAGTGATTGGTATAAACTGAAAGACAATGATAGGAAATATGAAATATCAACTCGAGCGTCATCTTATAAACTATTGTTTGCATAAACTCATCCAAATAACCATTTCCACATTATCAACAACTTCCAATAATGGTTTTCTAATTGACAAGTTATAATTTCATTACGTTTTGACGCAATTGGCAGGCGTTTATCTTGTGGTATAAAGGTGAAAATTAAAGATGTATTGCACAATACGAATTTCCGATTGAATCGCAGACAGAAATCGACTGACAACCCGTGATACAGGCGCGAATATTTGAGGTTAAATTTGAAATGCAATTTCACCTAAATTCCACGCTCAATTTAGAAGAAATCATTGCCAGCAAATGATTATTTTTAAGTGTTTTTCCTAATTATTTATCTGATTGTTTTATATGATTATCAAGGGTTGTGTGAAAAAATAAGAAGTATTTTCGGGTTGTTATTGCGACATACTGAAATAGTTTTTTTAACGGTTTTAATCACTAAAAATCTCAGCCAATGAGTAGTAACCAATTGTCTAGCAATTTGACTCGGGAAATAATTTTACCTTTTTAATTAAGCACATCTCGTGATTACGAAAACAAGAAATAAATAAGTGAAAAATAAAACAAGCTCATCAGCTTATGATTAGGAGGACAAAACAGGCTTTATCACAAAATTTGGAGATATTTGGCAGCGGTTTGGACTACGCGACAAATTGGTGATGTCGAAGATAAATTCGAAGGGTGTTGAACAAGACTATCAAAACAAGATATACTGACCGCAGTCTATGACTCATAATGAGTGTTTCCGATTGGTCAGCAGGAGTCCAGTCAGAAAAAAATATTACCCACCCTAGAGAAAAAAAAAGGAAGAAAAAAAACAGGGTGCACGGAATTATGCAAGCATATTTGGCTTCTGATAAGATGCTTTGAAACCATAAAATGTCGGTAATGTTAAGCTCAGATCTTGAGGCATTTACTGCATGAAGTCCCCCATCTGGAATCTGGGCGTGAAAAGGGGACTTCATACATAATGCAAAAGTGCAAAAGCAGAGATTTATTTTGTTGATGAAAAGCTTTTCTTCACTCTCTTTTCTGTTTTGTTAAAGTGTCTCCACCTTTCCAAGCCCCAGGGGTCCTCAATGCTTGTTTTTCCATACGCGAACACGTTATCCACAACTCAGCGGTTAACTTGAAAAATTTTAGGACATTTTTAAATCCAATATGGCGGACACGTTGTACCCTTTCTTTATACTGTGGCTCGCCTATGTCGTTCTAATTATAATTTTTATTGTTATTCCCGCTGCTTTAAACATTTCGTTAGGTGCAAGACAGTGGTATACGCGATTTTTGGTAAAGATCATCAAGGTAGGTTCCACCTGATGCTCTGATTTCAAGATTGGAGTTCATTAAACTTATAATTTAAGTTTTCAAGCAAATTTCTATAAACCTACAATTAATCACTAGAATTTAAACAAGAATGAAATGAAACTGCTAGAAAGTTTCACCTAAACCTCTGAAGTATAAATTTGTGGTGAAGAAAAATGCAATTTGGGCCATTTTATATATTTGAATATCTGCCTGTTCATGTTACAAGCGAAATTCCAATGACTTCGCTTCACAGCACCGTATATTTACATGGCCCCCATGAGCTGTTGATTTTGGGCAAATATTGCGTAGTTAGAAATCTGTGTATCATATATTAAAAAAAAATCATTTTGGCAATTAAAATGCTGGAGTATTTAGTAGATGCACTGATTTACATTCTTTGAAATGAGTTTAATCTTGTTCCTTGGAAGTTACATAACAGAAGCAGCAATGTTGCACCTCAACTCAGTGATAAGAGTTTATTTACTTTGTGATTATGCTATTGTCTTTACGAGCAAGTCTCGATATATTCTATATATTCTCTTCTATATATTCTATATATATATATTGTACAATACTTTACAATATTTTTTCCTTACACCAAAGTAAGGCTTCGTGGTGAAGACAATAGCGTAATAGAAACCTAATCCATAAAATAATTTCCCCTGGATTAACTCAGTAACTTGCTATGTTTAAAATTATTTTCTTTAGTATGGAAGAAGTTCAATGGAATCAAATAATATGGGTAAGTGATATGGTAACCATGCACTTATCATATTCAGTGTATTTAACTCCCTCTCTCAAATAATCTCTTTCCCTTTGAGAGAAAGGAATTTATTATGGTCCACTTAATTAAGCCCCTCTTCTCACTTAAGCCTCCCCCCCATTTCACTTTATTCCCTTAATCAATTAAGTTTCCCTTTCTAATTATGCCTTTCCTCTAATAAGCTCTCCTCTCAATTAAGCATCCTTCCTGGTTAAGTTCCCCTCTCTCTTTAATGAGCCTATTTAAAAGGGTTTGAAGAGAAAACACCTCTTGCAGATGGCTTAGTAGAAAGAATATACAGTACTTTATATGCAATGTATAGTTTGAAATCTTGCTTAAATCTGTTCTGAACTTAGCAAGATATTTTTTTTTACATAGTTCTCATAGAAAAAGAAGGTGACTCCCTTAATGAAAGAGGAAAAATTCCTAGAAATAGATCTATTGCAACGCTACAAAGAGAGTTTAAGATGACAGATGCCTGTGATTTTCTCAGAAGTGGGACTGAGGTACCGTCAGCTGTGAAAATTAGAATGACTTATACCTGCAATCGTATTGCATTTATTTTCTGTTACATAAGCACATTTGTTTTTCTTCAGGCAATTATTGATGATGAAGTAACAATTAGGTTTAATGCTGAAGGTACTTTGCTTGCAGTCTTGCTAAACTTGTCTGCCATCTAACTACTGTACTATGCATTTATGTAAGATGTACAATTGTACTTTAAAGTTTAAACTATCATGGTACAATTATACCCATCTATGTTCTAACTGTAAATTTGACCAAGGTTTTTCAATTGCAGAGTTGGAGAATTGGAATCTTTTGATGAGAAATAATACATGCAAAGATATGGGGTTTGTTGAAAAGCTATGTAGAAATCTGGAATTTAAAATTGAATATTGTAAAAGTTGGTGCCTGAATGAAAACTGTTCTATTTTGAGATGGCAATAAGTCTTAACATGCATTGATACCTTTTAGATTAAAAGTGACCACTATTTGGGCGATTGGTTTATTTGTAAGATATGTTGTGTTTCTTCCTGTAAGGTATAGTAAAAGAACAGCTTTATTATTGCATCCTCATAACTAATACATTCTAGTTTATTGGTTGACAATGTCTGTGTTATACCTCGTACATTAACTCTCCCCTTTTTTATTGTTATCAGGGTGACATTGGCCGCCTTTGGAGTTTTATTCATTGCAGCCACAGCTCGCCTCATTGGTTACTTACCACAAAACAAGTAGGCCATCATGTTTTTTAAAATGTTATAAAATGTCTGAAAGTATTGTGTTGTGTATGTAATATGCCATGCATTAAATAATTTCTTTTCTTGTGTAGTTTTAAAAAGTTTTTATCACGGAAAGCAATGCTAGTTGGTTTCAGAATTCTGGCTCGTGGTTTATCAGCCGTAATAAATTTTCATAATAGGTATGAACATATTAGGTTCTGAAACTAAGTCAGTTATTGAAAGTCGGTTTCTTCCAAGGCATGTTTGATGGTATGTTGGGCTTCTTAAACAACAAGACTTTAAAAGTTTACCATGATCTGCTAATTCAGGGCATTTGAGCTATTGCACAATTGGTTACAAAATTGATTTCATTACCAATGACTTGATCGAATCATTCAAATCCTGATTGTTCTTGGTGATCATTTCAATTTTCAATGTCATAGAAAAAACAAAGCCAAGGGTGGTGGAACATGCGTAGCGAACCACACATCACCGATTGATGCCATTATGCTGGCCTGTGATGGAAACTATTCTTTTGTAAGTTCTTGGTTTTTAGCTCTAGCTTCACTTTATTGCATATGTTCTGGGGCCGGTTGTATCTAGTGGTGGTATCAAGCCCGTTTAGCTTGAACAGTGGATAAGTTGAAAATAGAAAGCAAGTCTGCCGTTTTATTCAACAAGGGAACAAAATAGGTAAAGCTACTGTTTACAACTATATATTCAGTGCATAATATTCAAGTTGACTCATTCAAGAGAGTTGTAACTGTTATTTAATTTTGACTTATCCACCGTTTAAGTTAAACGGGCTTGACACAACCGGCCCCTGGTTGCTGACTTTGTTATAGCATGATGTTGAGATTAATGCGGATATTACAATCTTCATTGTGTTACGTCTGTGTCCACTTTTACATAGGTTGGCCAAAACCAAGGTGGTCTCTTTGGCTTTATGCAAAAATCTTTGTCGAACGTGCAAGATCATATTTGGTTTGAAAGATCTGAAATGAAGGACCGGTTAACCGTGGCGAAGAGGTAGATTTTTGTTTAGGAGAATGCTACCCAGGGTAGTGGCTCTTTGTAGAGAAGGGCTGGGAGGGTATCGGAGGGTTATATGTTGGGGCACGCACAATAATCTCCACAGGTTTCAAGCTGATGGGAATCAATTTAAAATATTCATTTTTTAGGCTGCGAGAACATGTTGAAGATCCGAATAAAGACCCCATGCTTATATTCCCAGAAGGTACGAAGTATCCTGTGCTTCAGTTTATTGACCAAATTCCATCAAACGGTCTAAAAATTTGACGGTAATGCGTTTTCCAGGAACTTGCATCAATAACACCTCCGTTATGATGTTCAAGAAAGGCAGTTTTGAAATCGGCGGAACGATTTATCCTGTCGCAATAAAGGTACGAAAAAACCCCGTAATTTACTATTATTTCTGTTGGCAGACAGTATTAAATAATTTTACCCTCGTGGCTCGTTGTACAATAATTTCATGTAAATTATACTAGAAAGAAATGTAATGCTCTTATCACCACTGTCTTCTTTCTCATTCTGTTGCACTTGTAGTATGACCCGCTTTTTTCGAACGCATTCTGGAATTCAAGTCAATATTCTATGGTTCATTACTTGCTGGATATCATGTCAAGTTGGGCGTTGGTCTGTGACGTTTGGTACCTCCCCCCCGTGACAAGACACGAAAATGAAACTGCCATTCAGTTTGCGAACAGAGTGAAAGCTGATATCGCAAGACAGGGGGGACTGGTCGATTTAATATGGTACGTGATTTGCTCGATTTTGGTAGGTTAAACTATCGAAGTTCTGTCCTGCACCACAATATACACCACTAATCTATAAAGTTGAAGGATATTGTTATAGAAATGTCTTTTTTGCTCAATTGGTGTCTTGAATTGAAGATGTATGAATGCCTGCAGAGTTTGTTCCCTCTGCATCCATTAGATCAAATGTGTTAGAACAACTATTTAAAAAAAACTTAGAGACAATAATGATTTAATGAACTTGCGGGTTATAATTCTATATTGTGTTTTTTATCTAACCCATTCGAGCTGATTAGATCACTTTTTTTCTCTCCCCAGGGATGGTCAGCTGAAGAGGACGAAGGTAAAACCTGAACTAAGGCAACAGAAACAGGAAGACTTCGCCCAAATGCTCAAAATTGATTAATAAAAAATGAAGGTAACACTAAGTATAACAATACCTGGCTTCGTAGACCGCCGGGGACCTTCGGAGGGGCCCGGGTAAGATAAGTTTTAGCGTAGTTTTCATCAGGTGAATGAAATCTTTGATTGCATACCTAACAGCGCCTCAGCTCAACTTTGAAGAAGCTCCTTCACAGTCGAGCAATTAATAATCCTTGACAAATTTCCTATCAAATTTTATTTCCTTGCTGTCGCGAATATTTCATGGGAATTGATTGAAGGCATCGAATAAATATGGTTGAAAGTGTTTGAAGCTGGAGGTGATACTCGAACAAAAATCATAAACAACTCTTCTAGTTTTAAACATGAACCAAAGCAGTAGTAAAATGTGCAACTATTTGCGGCAGGAATCGAAAAGCTTGTTTATGTCCATGGAGCCAACTTTAAGGTGGTTATGCAATGTAGTAAAAGATTTAAAGGTGCCCTACGAAGGTGTGAGCAAATGTTACACACTGGACTATTTCACATCAGTTTCCATGACGTGATCACGACAGCGGTGATTGATTCAAAATTCAAAAAACGAAAGCAAACGTATTATCCAAAATTTACCCATCATGCAAACGTAGGTGTAATCAATTTGAAAAATTGCTTTTATAGTATATTAACAATCATACCCCAGGATACTTGTTCTGTCCAGTGTTCGCAGAGCGAATATCCTGGGAACGAGGTACGATTCTATATTATAGCACAAGAAAACATTGACATAATATAATAATTTAAGTGTAGCTATAATTGTAATAATAGACGTTTTCTACAGTACATGATGGCTCAAATGCATTGTCAAGATGTTTATCATGATTTTTAAAGCTTTTGAGAATCAGGGGTGATATTCATTTATCACGAACATTCTCACTACCCTAAAAATTTCTTGAACATAAAGCGTTTTGACTTTAGGAATACCAAAGGTTTAAATAGATATACTTAATTTATTAATCTTCCTTAATGTTTATCTTTCTTTTCCAAGCTCAGCATAATTTGAGTCCAGTAATATGATCTAAATACAACTTGAAATTCGGGATTAAGATAGCTTCGTAATTACACTGGGTGTTTGCGAACTTCGAGTCTTAATTGAATTCCAATTGAACTAATAAACAGTCCCGCCTTCTAATTAGTTCGATTGAAATCCCAGGTATCAAGGTTGCGCAAACAAACTCCACGTCTTTGCAAAGCAATTGTTGATGAATTAGAAAGAGGATCAAGTTGGTATTAACGAGTAATTCGTCTTAATCGCATTTTAGAAGCACATTTTCAGCTATTAACTTTTTCCAGAAGTTAAAGAGTTTCAACAGGAAACACAATGGACATAGCTGTCAATAGGCATGCGCAGAGCTTACGTGCTGTAGGTTACATGAAGCTACAACTACGTGAAATTTTTGAGCAGTCTTGTCAGTTCAAAGAGTCTTCAGCAAAATGAACTTGGACTGTTTGTAAAAATCATCTTTTTCCAAGTAACTGCATTGGTCAAGACACCCTTAATTTGGCATGGTTCCTTTTAACCTATTATGAACAAGTAGCAGTATATTTGTTTTTGATCAGTATTTTAACAGGAACACCCAATTGAGCAAGGTTAGTTTGACAGGAGTTCAGTTTAGAAGAAAGTACAAATACTTTTACTAATTTGTAGTATCTACTCTTGCCACATTAGAACATTTGAGGATACATCAAGTTGTTTTCCAGCGTTTATTTTAATTTTAAAAAATACAAAATGTTTGGTCGAATTTAGCTACACATTTCTTTCAGCCTATGTTTTAATCAATATCTATCATGAAAGCGTCAGGCAAGCCAAGGTCAGATGGTTTCATTTGTACAGTTTATATTACAGCATATTCTACACCAGTCACTCAAAGATAATCCTGGAAACGCTATACTCTTTCCAAAGCCTCCATTATTACTATGCTATTACCACGAATAACCTGGAAATGAGAAGAAAATGAGGTCATGTACATGTATGTTGGGAGGGTTTAATGTTATGCTTGAAATCTACAGTGCTGAGATGGTGTCCAGTGTTTTTATACTTTTTACTGAACTATATACGGGTTTGGAGTGACAAATCCAGCCAATCAGAGCAATGAATCTGGACAAACAAGATGGCAGGAAGATTTATTCTTATCGATAATTTGAGCTTATTTTATATCTTACCACCATGCCAATATTATGTTTCTCACTAGATGAGACGTTCTCAACGGCCTCATCGAGAACGATGTTCATAAACGGATCAAATCCTCGAAGAACCCCAGTTACGTGTCGACCACCATTGATCTTAACTAGAAAATCACAATACACATTAGCTCAGCTGTCGTTAGATCAAATCTATATTTTTTAGTTCCTAGAAGTTTTGTTTTGAGATGATGCAGGTAATCTCGATTGAATATTTACTTGATAATTTCTTGTCCATGTACCTGAAAAGAGGATTTACAATCTTTTAGCGTGTATCCAGGGAAGAATATCATAATGCATTCGGATGGAGTCGTGCGTCAAAAGACCCCTTTTCTATGGCAAATATCTCGCTTCAGGTAAAGCGCTTTTTGTGAATATATACATCAAAAGTGATATAGGATAAAGGTAATATACATACTTTTTCAGCTCGGGTGGATGGGCCTTGCTCATCGCGATACAATTTAGATTAAGTTTATAAAATTTTCTTTCAAATTGTCAAAATATTACCAGAGAAGATCAACATTCGAACGTCGCGGCCTTTATGAGCCAGCACGACTTAGGTCATCTGTAGGTAGAGAGTACGTCATGTCATGTGAAGGTATGTTGCATCAAAAATCCTGGAAATCATGGCTTATTTTACTCGGAAAAAAAGGTATTCAAGCGTTTTCAAGGCCGTTATTTATCGTCAAATCTATGGAACTAATGTGCAACAAGATGTTCGTATGGTTAGAACAATGATCGAGTCTAGCAGAAAATTTGAAAAAGTCAGTGAAATTGGCTCAAAGGCACCAATTGTATATATTGGTGAACGACTGTATACCAACTACTACAGAACTTCCATTGATTTAACGCATGTTAAAAGAAGGCCAAGGATTGTCTACAATGTACCAAAACACCCATCGCACTCAGCAACGAAATTTAAGACAGAAGAAATGCTAGTTTACGAATGTCCAGTCGACCAGGAGACATTTTGCAAACTTCAAGGAACGTTCTACGTTCATGGTCCGTATTCCGTCGGGGTAACGGCAGACAATTACTTGAAAGTTTTCGACTTCAACACTGGAGAAAGTTTGAAGCAAATTTATTTATACCCAGGTCGAAAATTCAAGTATTTGCACTGGGAGACAGACCTTGAGAGGCTTGTGGTGCAGTCTACTCTATTACCACAAGAAGGTAGTGCGCATGTCACGCAGCGTACTCCACCGCAGTCGAACCCAGTCTTGTTATACATTGCTATTTTTACCATGACTCCACTAGAGTTCATATGCATGCTACCAATATCTCAAAAGATCTTTGGTAAGGGCATTTGCAATGCTGTGGTTCGTGATGGTATGCTAGTGGTAATGTATCAAAGGCAAAAACTCCAATTTTTCAGTCTGGAAGATATCCTGAAGAACCATACCATGCCATTGAAGGTGGGCGATCAGATACAACCTGGAAACAATTTGTGTTTGCCTGAAATAGATGACCAATTTGCTGGCGGTATTGTTGGGATGCTACCACTTGGGTTACCGGTTAATGTTTCACTGTTTGAGAAACCACCTGTGCTACTTGAGGTGAAAAGCAGTGATCATGAATTAAGTTTTGGTGGATTTCCATGGCATTATGTATCAAACATTAATTATGTATTTCAAGTTCATTCAGTCAAAGATCATACTTTAGCAGAGAATGGTATCCTCAACATTGATGATGCCATATATTTTGGTACAGAAAAGGCATTTTTTCATCCAGATATGAGTGGACGGATATTATTCATAGCACCGCCATATCTTCGGTGAGTACACTGGAATATAATTTTGATTTTTTGCAAGGAGCAAGAGGCATTAGAAATTATAAAAATATTAATACTGGGGGGGTGTAAGATGGTGATTGGTGAACACCCCCTCTGGTCCAGGTGTGCAAATTTGGGTGTCAACCACGTTTTTGAAAGTCTATAGTTTTCTAAGGTTCTGATAATCTAGGTGTAGCATATATGGTCTCATTTTTGTATATTTTTGAGCAAACATACATTCTAATATCTTTGATAGCTAGCATTTGTACCCAACCTATAATTTGCAACTGGTCTGCACCTTTCCCTCTGCAAAACCACTTTGGATCCATCCCTGACTATATATTGTGTTTTTAATTTAGATGTATAAAGTTAAGGCGTTTAAACTCCTATGACAGAAACTCGGCAGTCAAAGTGGAAGAGCAGTTTACCCTTGACTATCTCCCAGAGACCAAAACGTCCACCGTTGTCCAAACTAAATCTGGGCGAAAAATTAAGAATTTGTTTAAGGGTGACCTGAAATATCTGGAGATGGAAATTGTTCAAGATTTTGACTATGATGATGAGCTTGATCTGCTGGTGGTTCTTTACCTTAACTTAGCAAAGCAAGGAGAGGGTGTTGTTGGTTTCTATGACAACCAAACAGGACGACACATACAGGAAGTAGGTGTTGAAGATATTGAGGAGGATTACGAGCACACAGTTGCAATAAACAGAGATGTATTGATTGTTTTGTCTCGAAAGAAACAAAACTTCAGATGTTTAGTTTATATTCTGAATACAACCTAAGTATTCATGATGTTTTGTAAATATTCTCTGTTGGTGAAAGTTTAATAATGGTTGCGTTTAGAAGTTCCAGCTGATCTCTTGAGAACAGCCAAAACTTCAGAAAATTGTAGGAATCTTAAAATTTATTGTTGGTTTTACAAATAGCAATCAGTGTTAAAGTATTTTCCATTATAAATTATATATGCTGCCATTTTCTGTGGATTTGCCAAATTTATTTATATCTATCTATTTATATTTATTTTGTAAATTAATAGATAAATGACTTGATCTATCGTCTTCTGTGATACATCATGTAATAATAGAATAAACCAAACATTGTTCCACCCATGTGACCACCGTGGCCTGTTATATTGCCCACTTCCATTAGCTTCTCAAAAAATCGATAATTCGGTGCGAACGATTCAATTATTGCGGTTGCATCAGTAAAAAATAATTTAAGTGTAAAAACAATGTTCATAATATGGCCGAAAAAGTACATATCCAACTCTAATTCTTTATTCCGCCAGCATTCTTTTAATGTTTCGATCACCTGCTTCATTGAGCAGCATGCACCAAAAGACAAAATGGCATTAACACCTGCACTAGCACCAAAACAGGCCATCCCAGAATTCAAAATATCAAATGCTGTTTCCATCTCAATGCCATCGAACTTCTTTAAGAACTCGTCGTTTGCCAGAATTGGGCACTCATGCATCATAAGTAGACGACTCTCAAGTCGGTTTCTCTGCAATATGTAATATATCCACATGCCTAAGTTTCCAAAAATGCCACCGCCAGTAAAAATTGCAAGAAAATGTTGTCGTCCAACTTTATCATGAACTTCTTTTCCACTTGCGGCGAGAACTGTCATATTTTGTATTAAATGTGGAGGACCTGTCACAGATAAGAGCTTTTATTGTGTAGTTTGTATATAAAAAGGGGTAAGGATTAGAGGTAGGATTTTGTATTAATCCACCATTAACTAGGAGTATTCTTCCAATGACAAACAAAATCAACTGGTCATGCAGACAGCATCCAAATACATGGACATTTTAATTTTGATACGTGTGTCATACCTGTGTGATAATACATGCTTGTGATCAAAGTATAAATTCGTCCCCTTAGTATGTTGCCTGGTGAAAATGCAATGTGACTTCTCATGAATGGCCTGCTTAAATTGAAAGGGAAACCTAAAATTTGAAACGCCGACAACTCTGACTCCTCAGGTGCAGCAGATATCAGTGTAGGCATTTGTAGAGCACCTATACCTAACATCGTCACTGCAAAATCCCTAAAATCATCCATGTGAATTAATATCGATGAACTTTAAATTCAAAAGCACACACCAGATACGCTGTTTCGCTTTCTTTCATGAAAACAACAAACAATGTCAAATACTTCCAAATACAAAGTTCACGATCTTTGTGAACGAACTCCCCCCTGAAAATTCGAGATTCCAATTTTTCAAAGAACGCAAATCTATTTCCAGAAAAGACTAAAACTCCTTTTTTTAACACACATGTTGAAAATACTTTTTAAATAAGAAATACGGGTCAGTCGCGAGAATCCTGCGGAAAAATAAGAGAAATCTTCAAACAAATTTGGTGAAAGCGGGAGGGTTAACTATTTCCGCATTTTTTAATCCGGAAGTCGAAAGTGTCATTGGGAATACTTTAAGCAGGCTAGTGTATTTTGTACTATAATAAACACTTTGAGGAAATACGAGCACGATAGTTATAAATAAACAATTTCATCATTGTTAAATAGTTTCGGAAAAGGTATAATGTTTAATCTGTCAGTGTAAGACATTCAAATAGGAAAGCATGGATAAAGCCCCGTTGCTTCCTTCGACCAACAATTGCAATGGAAATGTCATCTACAGGACGTATAAAAAACGTTGGTATATGTTGGCAGTTCTAACTCTGATTAATTTTTCAAATGGCATGGTAAGTTGGCATGAGCTGATTTCCCGAGAAATATAGTGTTGCGATTTCAGCGTGAGAGCGTAATATATATCTATCTATCTGAAGTTGAGTTGTAAATTTTTGCGTTTATATTCTTTTTATATGCATAATGTTGTAATCATTCACTTCAACAGACGTGTCATATGATTTTTTTTCCTCGGTATAAAAGTATCTGCTTTTATATAACAGTAGAGGCGCCCAACTTTTGAAGTGATGAGAAAAACTGTCGTTTTTAAATTTTAAGCCTAAGCATTCAAACTTTTGCTTGCCTTTTATATCCACCCTTATGCTGCATTTTTCCTTTTAATTTTTAATGTGTAAAATTTAGCAGAATGCTAAACATCAAAATAAGATGTTATTTATTTTAAATATTAGCTGTGGATAACATATGCACCCATTGATGATAAATCTGCAGAATACTATGGTGTATCAGCTTTCAAAATCAACTGGCTATCCCTGGTTTTCCCCATTGCTGCTCTGCCATTTGCTATGGTATCTGCTTGGTTCATTGATACATATGGTTTAAGGAAGGGGGTAGGTGTTTACAGTAAAATAATATGTTTGAAAATACATCTACTGTCATTCCTGTTGAGAAATTTAATGATACCATATCATGATCAACTATTTTTCTAGATACTTCTGGCAGCTTTTCTTAATGGTTTGGGTAGTTGCCTTAGAGTGCTTGGTACTATTCGCCATCTGTCTGATGCCAACAGATTTGCTATAGCACTGATTGGACAAAGTTTGGCAGCCATCGCTCAAACGTTGCTGCTGCCATCTCCACCAAAGTTGGCGGCATTGTGGTTTGGCGAATCAGAGCGTGTTCTGGCAAATATGATTAGCTCAACATGTAAGCACTGTTTGTAATGTTACCATTCATAAATGTCCCAAAAACAGTATCTCATTGGTCCACTATGATATGCTAGTCATTAGAATGATGTTTGAGATTTAAACAGTCTTACCAGATTTCAGATATTGAACCTGATATAATGTCAAATAGGAAACTGCCCGGTTATAAAAATCAACTATTTAAATTTTAGTACTATGAAAATATTTAACCAAAACCTAATAGGGATTTTTATTTGATTTATTTTTAGCCAACACTGTTGGTATTATGCTGGCTAATATTTTGGCACCTGTCATTGTCAAAACATACAAGGATATTCCTGTTCTGGTGAGATTTGGATGCAATAAAATATGGATGCAGACAATCATCATTTACTTCAAGCAAAGTTTTTTAATTGCTCATGTTTTACAATAATGTTTTATTCATTTCTGTTAAAGCTGGGAATGTTTGCAATACCTGCTGTACTTGCTCTGATCCTTGCTATACCTGGTGTAACCAGCAATAAACCTCCTACCCCACCGGCACCATCAGCTGCACAAGATTCTGAGACTTTTTTTGTGGGGTTAAAACAGGTAATTGCATTGTTTAAAAGATCCATTATTCTCTGATGAAGGTTATTTCAGGTTGAGTCATTCAGAGCTGAAAATATAATTAGATATATATGTTAATCATTCTCTGAATACTTTTACCTCAAGAGGGCTATTCTCTGAGGGTAACACACGTGACAATGCTATTCTATTTTGTTACATGCAAAATATGAAGCCTAAAGAAACAGCCATGTCACGTGTGTGACCGGAGAATCACCCCAGAACATCAAATATAGATAATAGGGATGTTGAAGTATATGTCAAATGTAATATTTCACTATGTGGAAAGTGTTGAACTGTAATGAACATTTACTCTAGGCATTAAAAAGCAAGTCTTTTCTGGTGCTGATGGTGTGTTTTGGGACAGGAATTGGGATGTTCAGTGCCCTAACAACCTTACTGGAACAAATCATTTGTGTCCATCATTATAGCAATGTAAGTGTGCACATACATGTGTGCATTTCAAGGCTTGCAACCTCGTACATAGGTTTGTTTTGTCCCATGCGATGTTCATCACAAAGGGACCAAAATCTGAGGTACAAGGTTGGATATTTTGTTGTTTGTTGTAATTTGTTCAATTTTGCCAATCCTCTGCTTCAGGAAGCAGCTGGTAATATGGCTGCACTCGCCATTGGATTTGGCTTCGTGGGTGCCGGTGTTGCCAGTACATACATTGACAAAACAAAAAAGTTTGAGGTGGTGGCAAAGATATGCTATGCCTTTGCTACATTATTTGTCATATTTTTTGCTTTGGTAAGTTAATTGGTGAAGTTGTAAAAAAGAATTATGTGTGCATAATAATTTTAGGAGTTTATGTTGATTGTTAGTTATTTAATTCTGGGGTGAAACACTGTTTATTTGTATTCCTGATATTCCTTCAGCCTGGGAGGTTATAGGTTTATAATACCTTTAGTTTATACCTTTTTAGTAGATTCATGTATAATAATTTTATAAGTTTTTGTTATTGTTAATTACTTCTGGGCTTAATTGTAGTTCAGCCTGAAGGATTATATAGGTTTATAATACCTTTAGTTTATACCTTTTTAGTAGATTCTTGAATCTTCTGAAACAAACTAGTCCAAAAATTTGACAACTTTATTGTGTAAAGTTATGTTATACGTGAGGGTTACTGAAACTTTTGAAGTGGTTAATAGCACCTATTTTTGTTTACAGATTTCAAGGTATGAGAATCAGTCCATTTTGGTTGGATTTTCTGTCGCTGGTTTTGGATTTTTCGCCCTCGCCCTGCTGCCTGTGGGACTGGAGCTTGGCGTAGAGTGTACTTACCCTGTGGCTGAGGCCACTAGTGCCGCACTGCTATGGCTGTTTGGGTGAGTACAAAAAAGTATATGTCTGTGAACCAGGTGATATGAAAAACTGACCCAGGTGTTCAAAAAAGAGGCTCTTACTCAGCTCAGATATACTTTACTAGCAGAGTGAATTTGCAGATTACAAATTTGCAGATTATCAAATCATTTACAATTTGTGAAGGAAGGTTGAACCCACCCTACCTCCACAAAGGATTTTGACTAGGGGTTTAGCCTCCCAGTGCTCCCCATCATTACCTCCCCCTTGCCCCATAAAGGCTGGTTCCGCCCAGTGGTATATCTTCAACGATACCTTAGACGGAACAGTCTTCCATATGAGTTCTTAACCAGAACTGATTAATTTTATAACCCCGGAGTTAAACCCAACACCGGGGGGGGGAGTGGGGAATCGCACAGTTAGGGTCTTCTTCTTGCCAAAGCAGGGCTGGAATTTCAGCCTAATCCGTGAAGTTCAATGCAAGCCTGGGGTTGAAAATAGCGCCTCGTCCAGTCAGCCTATTTCATTGCTTGATATTTGACAACACATCCCTAAAATCAAGCACCTCGTTTTTCAGCCAAATAACAATGATTATCATAGTTCTGGTCGCTGGCGCACTCGGTACGACAATTCCCGACGACAAAACGACGAGCTGTAAATCGGGCGGCAGCAATGACGACATGACTAATGCTGTCTACTTCATGTCTGCATTGACCGTTGTCATTGCGGTAGTCTTCATATGTTTTTTCCGACCGAAATATCTCAGGCTGGAAGCTGAACGTAGAGGGCGATTATTTGAATCATCGGCTCGTACTTAAGGCTGTATGCCTTTAAAACACAGAACATTCCTCGCGCCTTCAAAAACGTTAAGTTGAAGTTTTAAAAAAAATTAACTCATATACATATGACATAAGTATATATGATATTTTACAACAAGAAACACGAAGATTATCTTTGATTTCAAAGGGATGAACGCATTTTTTTACCATGCAGAAAAAGATCTAAACGACTAAATCGTTAAAAACAGGGCCGTGCTGATCAATAACTGCTGATAATTGCCAGGTTTTTATATGTAATTTGGATAAGGTCTGTGTAAATTGATAGGTTAACCAATAATTAAGAAATGAGTGGCTATATTGAAGTAATTGGTAATGGTATAACTATTTAAATATGTTTATTTAAATATTTGAATAGTTTAATATAGAAATCATTAGAAACTATATAACATATAAATATATGATAGCTACAATTTGATTTTTTTGCATAAAAATATATGTGTCACTTGGGTTGTTGCCACCAACATGCCTTCTTTACTTTTCAGTCGTAGTGACTGGTTATTTTATTGACGTATGAATTGTTGGCTAAAGACGCAATAACCATGCAATATTCTCGCTTGGCGAGATTTTCAATCCATTTCCTGGCGAGATTCTGTACGTTTTTCTCATGGTAAGCTTAATGTATTCAAGGCTTCAAGCAAACACCATTGAACAGACCTATAAATTATGGATAAAGATCTGATCTTCCACCCAAATGTAAAATTCTGGGATATTTGCGTAAACACCTGGATATCCGTTTGCTGCACAGTCAAAACCGAAACTCGTGAGTCCTGCCAAGTACCACCTGTTACCCTGCTGACACATCAGTGGTCCCCCGCTGTCCCCCTGGCACGTATCAATGGTACCCGTCGTGTACCCAGCGCACACCATGTCATTGGAAATGGTGATAACTGCACTGTACAAAGCCTGGCATGTCGTCCGATCTACAATCGGAACTTCGGCTTGGCGAAGGAATTGTGGGTAGTCCTTGACATTGGTAGTACGCGTGCCCCAGCCCGCAATACGGCATTTCGTGCCCGCAGGGAGTTCATTTTCCAGTAAACAGATTGGCAGGACATTGGCTGTGTAGTTAGCGGGTCTTTTCAAATGGACTAAAGCGATGTCGAATCTTTTTTTGCCTACAGTATATTCAGGTTTGATTTTAATGGCATCGATTTTGAAACGTTGCTCTTCGGGCTCTTCCGTCAAAACGTCGTGTTCGCCTGTGGGAAAATGAAAGATGGGAATGAGCGATGAAATACGAGGCGTTTGAACAAAAATCACATATTTTAAGGCTGAAAATGAATAGCTCCCATTACACACGCACAACCATTTTTCCAGAATGAAAATATTCTTGAATGGAATTAAACGGACTTCAAATGCTGAGCTTTTTACCATCCGCTTCAACAAGTACCGAAAATAAAACAATCACCCCCTGCCAATGTTTCAAAATACCGTCATTTTGCATATTGGCCGGGGGGTGAATACTTCTATTCACGGTACTTGCTGAGTGACGAATCACGCTTACGCAAAAAGCAATGGAGTTATCTTTCTAATAGGTATTCTGTGTATGAAAATATTCACCTAATACAACAGTATAGTGGCTGTAATCCCTGTCGAAGCAATGAGCCGCTGTCAGAATCCACTCGTTCTTGATTACTACCCCACTACACCAGATATGTTCGGGTTTTAAAGAAAAGTATATTGCCGCGGTCCATGGCCAGGAACCTTTTTCAGCTGCATCGCCACCGATTATTTTCGTTTCCAATTGCGTGTAGATCTCTCGTAGACCGCACGGCCGATATGCATCTGAAATGGAAATAAGGCAATGTTGAAATATAGAAATGAAATGTGATGATGTGGACACTAAATAGCTGATCCACAAACCACGAACTTAAAAATGAATTGTTCCTTAGAAAAATCCTTCGTCATACGCCAATATGGGTGAAATACAAATGGTTACTCAATGTAGATCACCAAATCTGGACAAGGTGAAAAACTGCATAGCCGTTCCATTTTATTAATGTGAATACCAAAGGTAACATCACACAGGCTATTCAGGAACCTACCGTCACATATTCCTGACGTATTTGGATTACATTGACATGAGAAACCACCGATTGTGTTTGTACACGTGGCATTCATGTGACATGGATTGGTCGAACACTCGTCGATGTCTAAGAAAAATGATAAAAGATCTCATTACCGTATTAATAACCTCAATTTGGACACGATCCTAATCGTAATAATACCGGCTTTGTTGTTGTACTCACCGAGACAAAAGAACCCATCTCCAGAGTAACCTTTGTTACATTTACAATGATATGAACCAATGACATTCGTGCATTTGGCGTCCACGTCACAGGGCTTAGTTAGACATTCGTCCGTATCTAAATAATAGAACAAGCCATGTTACGATCGAATCTTCGACAAAGCCGGGCCTCAAAGTAAAGTTGGTTTACAAGCTTATGTTTCTATCAATATTTCTTCTTTCATTGCTAATGTTTAGACGTCTTGCTGTAGCACTAAAGTTAAACCTAAAGTCAAATGATGAAACTGCCAAGTCGTACGCCTGTATTCTAAAACCTCACTCACATTTAAACTCATTGAGTGGAAGATCATAATCTTCTCATAACGTTTCAATGGCGGTATTTCCAGCCGAATAGGGACTTGATTTTCAGTTATTTACCTTATATCTTTCCATCTATTGAAAAAAAACTTTCTCATTGATCAGAATTAACAAAATTTATATGTCACACTCAGTGAGTGTGAGTGAGCTTTTTGAATACAGGCGTTAGTCTCTATGGATTCGAGGGTATTGACGTAATACGAATTCTTACCCGGTTTTGCATCTTGTGGGTAAACAGCGCACGGTGCGTTTTCAATGATGATGTCATCGATTGCTATGTCACCTTTATGGTCCAGGCCACTCACGGCTTCAAAAATGATCTAATCATAAGTGATGATATATATCATGAATTAAGATCTCTTCCTACATTTGAATGATACCTTTAAATTCCTATTCCCATGCCGTAACTACCAACCTGCAAACATGGTCGTCTTACCTCGGAGGGCTTATCAAAATTCAGCGGGACGCTGGCCTGAATCCACTTGGCTTTTCTTGACCCTGCTAAGTTCCATAATCGCGTGATATTTCCCGATCCAGTGTCTCGGATGTTCACATTCAGCTGGCCAATGTCGGCTCCTGTCATGTAGTAGTGAAACCGCATGCATTCGAGAAATTTCGACTGCATCGTGGGCGACACCAACAGTGCTTTGTCCCCAGGCTTACGCCCCGTGGTTTCAACGTACAAGTACACACCTACAATAAAGGAGAAATCTATAATGCACCGTTCCTCGGTCTCTTGACGTTTGTGGAGGAAGTAGGGACATTGCTTTTGGATGGATATCAGTGAGTGGTTTTGTGAGTGGTTATCGTTTTGAAAAATCTAAAATACGCCGTTCCTCGGTCTCTTGACGCTTGTGGAGGAAGTAGGGATATTGTTCTTGGATGGATATTGAGTGGTTTTGAAACACGGTTAACGTGGCCAGCAACGGCACACAGCAGACAGCTGCGAGACAGTGTTCTATGGGGAGTTGTTATGAAACAGTTTTGGTTGCTGTGATAAAGAGAACGGGGTATTCAAATTTAACAAGCAGGCAAGTACAGCGATTGCGAGATAAAAGAATATTGTGAAAAAATGCCAAACCAAAAGAAGAGAGCGTGGATGCTGCCGTACAGGTTGATATAATGATCTAAACATACGAAATCAACGAATGCAACATTTGGATGAAAGGCTTGGAATACTAGTGTGAAAGAGGGATATTGTAAGAAAAACTTGAGGATGATACCTCGAAGTTTGACTAAAGTACTGGAAAAAGTTCAAATCGGTTTAGAAGCCGCTTACCATAAGCCGTCTTTTTCGTGTTGTCGTACACAGGTCCAGTCCCCAACGTTGGTGTACTGGTGCGATGTCGTTTCCATTCAAAGTTGTCTGTTTCCTTCTCATTCCGCCAACTGCACGTGTTGAGCTCAAAATCGCATGGAACTACAGAAAATAAGGAAAATATTGAAAAAACAAATATCGTCCTTCCTATCTGTCAAAACAGATCTTACATGTTCTTGATAGCGCGTAGGCTGTACGATATTAGTTACCTGAGAGATGTTAAAGAGCAACCCGAAAGAAATCGATAATTCGTAACACTATTTGAGATCAGTTTATCCCTACCTTTTGGCTTGCACTTGACACCAGCCTCCTGACCGTTTCGACAGTTAACATTCCCCCAGCCGTTGTGGTGACATTCCTTGAGTAAACTTTCAACGAACCCCGTGCATTGAACATTATCCAGCCACACTCGACCTGTCCCATTTTGTACGTCGCTACCCATCAATGCCCTCTCGGCACCAGGGAATCCCATTTCCGTGCACGCAATGCTTGCGTCGTCCATATCCCAACCGTTGTCACAAATTGTCCCCCATTCACCATCGAAGTATATTTCTACCCTGCCTTCATCGGGTTTGTCCGAGCCGGCCAAACGAATAGCTAGATAATTCAATAATATTTTAGATTTGATAAAGGGCTTTCAACTCTGGACAAATTAGGGTGGGAGACTATTAGAAGATGTTCTTACTGTTCGGTACGCATTCCACTGCAACATCGTATTGATGCGTGCATTTTCTATTCACGTTTCCCCATCCCAGATGGCTGCATTGGGCCAACTTCGTCTCTGTTCCAATGCAATCAACGTCGGAGAGCCAAATCTTACCGAAACCCAGTAGGTCGAATGATGTGCCCGCGAGGTAAGGATAGCCCACATCGCGACAGGCAACCTGTGCATCTTTGCTATCCCAGCCTATCATACAGACTGCCCCCCATTCTCCGTTGTGCAGTACTTCCACTCGGCCGGCGTTTGGCTTATTGCCAACTAGGCGAGTTTCTGAAATTTGGGAGAGTTAATTGAGTTTGTGGATGATTGGGTGGTTTTAAGAAATCATGCGAAATATCTTTCCTTCGTAGTAACTGGTCTTGTGTTAGATGCGGTAGACACTACCTCTAAACTTAGTTTAGTTAACCAGATGTATTGGCAAATGGTTAATAGATTCAAACCACTAACTGGCACGCGGTAGAAATTAGACTGACTTTTTTCGCTCACGTTGCAACAATCATGAAAAGTATGTTTATAAGTGAGTTGAAGTGTGAGTTACTTGATGTTTATGTTACCTCTACATTCTCCGGCTTGACGACAAGTACAGCTATAAGATCCAGGAAAGTTTTTGCAATCATTGTTTGTAGGGCATGGATCTAAAGCACATTCATTCACATCTAGATCGAAAAGAGAAATTCAATTAATCTAGCTACCTCATATTGCTCTCACGAGCCCCAGTCAAAATCGCTTAAATGACCTTTGCATTTTTACAAATTTAAATTTAGAAAGGAAAACTGATAAGACGAATGGATTCTGAGGTAACATCACAACTGATAGTTTGAATATCAGTTGAGCTGTTAAATTTATCGATACCTAGGCTGATGTATCCAAAATCCATAGCGTCACCGTCATACCTTTGCACAACTTTCCATCTCCGCTAAAGCCTTTCTTACAGGTGCATAAAACATTTTGAGCTGTGTCTGTACATGTTGCGTTTTCATGGCATGGGTTATTCAAGACGCACGACTGTGGCAACGAGGCTGTGAACAAGAAGCGAACGATTGTAATCATGCAATAGACCTTTTTCATAATGACGTCAAACGTTGGAAAGTCTGATGTTACACGAAGTTTGATTGGCTCAATAGTTTTGTGGAGCCAATAAAAATTTCGTGTAACATCAGACTTTCCGCGTTTGACGTCATTATAAGAAAGGTCTATTGTGATATCTAAACATAATCTGCTGTAAACACTCCGCTTACGTGTAGTAAGTGCTGCAGAGGAGGAAGCCATATTTCGCACTGATGACGTGATTGCCATATTTCGCACTGATGACGTGATTGCCATATTTCGCACTGATGACGTGATTGCCATATTTCGCACTGATGACGTGGTTGCCGTGGGAACCAATGAAGAACTAGCTATAACAGGTTCGACCATGGTATTCTGAAGAACAGTGGATGTTACCTCGTGTTTTTCTAAAGTTTTGGATGATTCTTTTAAAACTGTTTGAATGGACGACTGCCGTGTTGGTGAACTTGTGTCTATCCGGGTAAAACCTGGAGAAAGTGGTGCGGTTTGGAGGACAGTATTTGTGCTAAATGTTTCCGCATTAAAGCGCGTCGTTGGTACCATAGCTTGTGTTGACATTTCCAAGGTTACATTAGGAGGCTGCGTCGCAACTGGAGCGCGAACTTTTAGAGTTCCGTTGGCGTAATATTCCAACCCCGAAATATGATGGAATTCCAGAGTGCCGAAAGCGTGAAAGAACACAAGAGGCGTGGGAAGGACTTGTGGATAGTTGATGACCACGTCAGATACTGGAGGTTGCGTGTTGATATTGGAGGACAACCAAGTTTGCGGCGTTGCAGATGAAGCCTGGACTCTTTCATCTGATTCAGTGGGGGTATGCAGTTTTGGTGGCGACGATTCAAGGGGGTATTTAGAGTTACCCAGGTACAATAGAGGTGTACTGGTGGTAGTCGGATACAATAGGGGTGAATTGGTGGTAGTCGGATACATTAGAGGTTCACCGGTAATAGTCGGTTGCAACAACAATGGTGTATTTGTAGGCTTGGGATCGGTTGGAAGAATAGTGCTCCTTGTGGAAGATGGTATCGTTGATGTTTCCCCTGATGCATAACGGGATGACGCGATCACTGAGGAAGTATCTGCAAATGAAAGAGCAATTGGAAATGTTCTACAGAGACAAATCATTACGTTGTTATCTGATCGTACCTGATCCAAAAGGCCTGCCGACGTGTAGACGCCATTGCTCAACTTGAAATCGACCTGTGAACGATGTGATCGGGCCAAACTTCTCACCAGCGTACTGAAGAAGCCTGATCGTGTCACTTCCTTTACCGTAGAAGTTGTTCTGACTTTCTGAGACATTAGAAACCTTTTGAATTTCCTTGACGTTTCCCTTGGACCAAACTACCGTCGCTAAAGATGCAGTTTTACAGACCTAACGGGCAAGAAAAGAGACTCGTATGAGTCGAGTTATAAAATCATCCCTGTTTAAGACGCGTCCACTATACAAACTCTAAAACACTATTGAAAAAATATACATTTTAGAGCACCGTTTCATAAGTGTTGTGTATTGAAAACATTTAAAAGCTACTTTTTAAAAGCATTTTGCATCGGTTAACTTTTTTTTGTTCACTGAATTAAGAAGCTTTATTGTTTACAAGAGGATAAAGACAGATATAATCTTGAATACAATATAGCCTTTGAAATTCAAGTGTTTTCGATATTGGGTTTGCAAGATTTCCCGTCAGTTTTTCTCACTCACCAAAACCACTTTTTCTATTTCCACGCCATCTTCCATATCAAGGTACCAGGCCACCGGGCGTGTAGACGCTAAGACAAGCACTACTTTCCTTCCATGGTGTCCCTCGCTAACAACCTCGATCCTCGAGGTCTCCGGAACGTCGCTGCAGCACGATGTGGCCTGGTACAAGCCAAGCACGTGCACTTCGTAGTGCTGATTTGTATAGCCACTGCAGTGATACGTTTTAAAGTCTTGACTGCAGATCTTAGTGGATACGACGTTCGTGCAGATCGATGCCGCGTGCCCTTGTGACGTGGGCCCGTGTTGGACAACACATTGAGATACATTAGCTAAAATAGAAGCATGGTTAAACTTTGTGGTGTGGTACAGAGAGTGGTCTTTGTTATTGTTTGGTAGTGCAATGGTAAATTGATGGTATGGTGTATATGGTATTGCTGCTCATGGTAAAATCATTTTTTAACCATGTTAGTAACAACACTAGTTAAACTGTGGTTTCAAAAGGCTGTGGGCTTGACTCCCTCCGCAGTCAACTATGATAGTTACACTTTGAATATTCAGTGTAGTTTCACTGAAAGTAATAATATCAGGATAGTTAATCATGAACTGGGTAGGAAAAACATGAACATCTTTGAATATGTTGGGAAAATATCATTGAAGGAAGATCCTTGAATCTCGTTCGCGTTACTCGTTCATACTACTTGTTCGTACTACTTTTGTGCTCACCTAGACAATTTGTTTGAACGAAATCCCCAGAGCAGATGCATGTACCTCCTTCACATTTTGAATTCAAATACGGATCATACATTCCATCGCAATAAAAACCATAAAGACATTCTATGAACGAAGTAAATGATATCAATTTTATGGTAAATTAAACATTCAAATGCCTATGGCTCTTATTAAGATGCCATTCCTTGTTCATGTTGTATCAGGGGCCGGTTGTATCAAGCCCGTTTTCACTTATCCACTGTTTAAGCTAAACGGGCTTGATACTCCTGGCCCCAGTACTCTTTCAAAGGTTTGTTGTACAAATGTGCCCGGACTTTTGCTCACTTTCAGTTTGTACATAGTGCTCATTCGTGTGTTGACATCTTCCCACGAAAGTTGCTGACTCAGCCAAGTGGTAGTCTTGCAGTTCGTATGTTAATTCATGAATTGATGATTGAAATGCCGTTAAAATTATGTCATTCGCGCGATATTACCACGTAAAAATACATCACATGCACTATAGTTGTTCTCAAAACGCCTAGCACGTTCTGTTAACGTGTTGGACGAACTAAACATTTATTTAAACAAGTAACCTTGGACCCTGTGAATATAAGAGCATAGTTTATGTGAGGACATCTTAAAATCTGTCACACTAATTGGGCATTTTCGCCGATTATCAACTGTATTACCCGCCTAGCTTCTGATATTCCCATTTTTATATTCCTAATATCCAAAGAAAGCTTTCTATCTTAAATTTCTGATAAGATTCAAAACCCGGCAGCCGTCAGTTTAAATCTCAACGACATAATTGGAGTTTAAATTTGTAACTTCTACGATGAATGTGAATTGTGAAACTTCCCTAGGCACTCAGGGACTCGAGTTTGGTATGCTGTTGTATTTTTATCATCGATATGGGGTTACGTTGAGTGTGTTGAATACTATGCCCAATATCCAAAAATGAAATCGCGTTTGATGCAATGCTAAACACTTATTACTCATCTCCAATCATAAATCTTCTCATTTCTTTTGTAATTCTGGCGGGAAAATACCTGTTATTGAGAGTCATCGTCTTCAAACATACGATATAATTTGAATGAAACATTTAAACATCGATATATAAATCTTACCTTCACTGTACAAAGTTACACTGTCACTGCTGAGAACACACAAAAACCAACATAATACGACACTAACAAGACAACCTTTTTGAGCTTGGCTCATTTTTCTTTCAATTTACCAAACAGCGACCTTGACTCGCTGTAAAGCCCGATAACTCTCTCTCGTTGTGAGTACTTCAAGACCGGTTGTTTGGCGACTATCGGGAATACAATTGTGGGAAGATGAAATGTTTGTCTTTCCGTTTTGAAGAGAATAATTCCATAAATTTGTCACGGTCTGAGTGTTTTGATGGCAACAATTGTGTGTTGCTATTTTGCCTTACGTTCAACAACCACTTTGCATGACAAAACGAAAGAAACTTTTTCGGGTTAACCCATTTATCCATCAAGAACAATTGTTAGCTCGTTTGACACACTCGTAGCTACTTTTTAACAGTAAAACTGTTGAAGTTGACCGCAAATGTATTATAAATGGTTTATCTATTGATGACGGTGTAAGAGTAAGGGTACTGCATATTCACCCAGTAATAAACGTGGGTGAAAGATAAGCGGAATAGCAATTTATTTGGCCCGAGTATAAAGATGGCTTAAGTGTGTATGAATACCTTGTTTTTGAAATTGGCACAAATTACCAGGTAGCCTCGTTATTAGATATGCAGAGAATGTGGGAATTTAAAGTGGGCATCGAGGAAACTGTACTGTAAAATCTCATGCTTTAAAAATTTCCGGAATGCGTGGTTACGACACAGAGAAAAGTTTCAGCGTCTTTGTGAAATGAAAATATTTTTTTTACTAAAGAAACCGCTCCTTGATTTCGCGCAGGGTGGTAATTGATATTTGTCCGTATCGCATAGAAACCAAGCCTTGTGTGTATTCCCTATCCTTACGCTATTCAACATGAAAGTAAGCGATGAGAAGTAATAATGTCATGGACTCCTGGTTCATTCCAGAGCATCCTTAGGGGGTCTCCTATAGGCTAACCTTCGGTTCCTCCTGCAAGGACCTACTTCCTGTATGTTCGTAGGTATCTTGATTAAATTTTTTGATTGATCAATAAATTGATCTGCTGATTTTCAAGTTGACAAGTTCTGGCCAATGTGGATTTTGTCAGCCGTTTGCAAACTTATCAAAATGAATACCCAAATTTAGATTTGATATTGCACTCTCATTATTACCTCCTGCACTACATTTTTTAGCAGGAATTAAATGTTGGCGGTAGTTTTTAGGGAACAGAGCCAAAGTACAACATATGAGATTATTAATTAAGAACAAACTAGAACCTGCGAGAAATGCAACTCGAGTCTTCCGGCAGGAATCGAAGCTACACCTTTACGCTTTCGGGACCACCACTAACAGTCTAACATTTAAAATATACCGAAGTTTAGAGGCTCATATTTGCAGTATATTTTGTCCTATTGTTTTAAACTGTTTTTGAGAGAAACTCCTGAGAAGAATCGGTTGATTTGAATCAGTATTTTGAACATTTTCGTTTTTCAAATTGTATCTATATGAATCAAGGCTATGACGTGAAATTTTGCTCTTCATATGCCGGTTCGCAGACCAAAATATTAAAACTGAAAACTTCCAGTTAGATTCAGGGTTATGGTTAGGAATAGGGACTTACGTTCGTTTGTATACTGGGCCATACTGCTCGGGAATGCAGCCAAATTTCGTGCGAATTACAATGACAGCATTTGGCAAGGATCCGTGATGGATATAATTGGATCACGTACGGTAACTGAAATGAGGTCATGAAGAACGACCACGCAAATATTGGTCGCTATTCAAGAAAGGAAACGTGGGTAATAAATTGTTTAAAAGAAACACGAAGGAATAAGGAAGATTTAGCGATGCTGTTGTCTCGAAGATGCTATTGTTTTGAAATAATCGGATACGTCGTCTTTTGTTACACAAGGAAAATGTGGGATACGCCGTGAGAAGTTATTTAATCTCATGTATATCGTTATTAGACGAAGTAACCCTGAAACCATATCCACTGCCTGCACGATGTGCTGGCTCAGATTTGAATTTGGGACATTTTATATTACTTTAGTAAACAAATGCTGGAGGTCGCGGATTTGCTTGAAATACTTTCAAAAAACGTTGCTTTTGAATTTCTTTTAAAAGAGAAATATCCGAGTATGTAGCCAGGCAGTAGGAATAAACCATTTCCCGCATCTTTACGTTGATGGCAACGCGTGGATCGAACAATTTTTCCACATCAAGTTCAAAGAGAGTACGAAGTCCTCAAGTCTCCGTTATTGGAAACAGCCCATGTCGACCATCGGACAGATTGAATCCAAAGACCATCGATCCAGTAAGTAGACTTTTTTATAGCTGCATAAAACCGTATAATGGTGGTTATGGTGCCACTGCGTGCGTGGAATCGCATTATGAACAGATTTATTGTTTTAACTTACGTTTTTATTCTCTACAGTTCAAAAGTGATTCTGGAAAGCAATCAACATTTGCAGCAATCTATAACAATGGTGGTGTTCCCTGCAGGTAGATGTCACTCTCGTTTTATTTAACTGTTGAATGATTGATTTAATTTGGCTACCAGTTGCAAAAGGTTTCCAAAAGTCTTCTATCCATAGTCTATGAATCATAGATTTGTTGCATGTTTGATTGGACTCCTGCCATAGATCAGCTTTTCCCTTGGTACCTTTAGAATACGTCTCCCCTGTGATGTAGTCTGAAGATCAGAAGCATGCTTGTCTGCAAACTGCAACATCACTTGGACATTCTTTAATTTAAAGTCTATCAACAACTAATTGTGTGAATTACCGGCTTTCTTAAATTATGTATTCTATTATTAATTGTGTAGACATCTTGGTTGGTTTCCAAAAAGCTATAGTCTGAAGATATAGAAAACATATTTTCACTCATACCACACTTTACCCTTGTGATCTTTTTTGGCCTGCACATAACCCCCGAATTACCAGAATTTCAGCTATTTTTATTTCACCTTATTTTTATGCAGGTTGCAACATGGATCTGTAAAACATAAGATTCAGTGGGATGCACCTATCGAAGAATTATCATTCGACCCTCTATTGGTCACAATGGCAGAGGTACTGTATATACTGGTATTTGTGTTTGTTCTAACTTCTAACCCCCTCTTCCCTTTGCGAGGTTGGCATGACCTACAGTTCTGACCTACTTCACAACATTTTTTATAGCTTGTTTACAGAGCCATGCAGGATTTTTATTGTACATATATATATGTTGATAATTAATTTGTTGATTTCAGGGTTTACAAGAAACAAAACATCCCTACAACTTTCTGGCCCGTCAGGGATTTCGAGAGTTGCTAGACCTTTCAGATGCTGGTGTAAAAACATTGCCTCTTTTACCAAAACTTGTTCAGCCATTACGAGTAGCATTGGTAGGTTAATTGTATTGCTGGATAGACAAATACACCAAGAACAGCCCTGGATTCCCCTAGTAAATTGAACTGCCCCAAAGACACACAGTGAACTGTGCAAAGTTAAATCACCATTCTAGAAATTATATTTATTCTAGCCTGTTCATGTGCAGCCTGAGATAGTCCTTTCATTTTGTTTATTGGTTTTTATTCTATGGTGTGTAGTCCTCACAGAATGCTGAAGTATTTTTCAACACTTTGGATGCCCTTGTTCAGTTGAGCAGCGTTGTTGGAAAAGAACTCAACCCACATCTAAAGAGCTTAATGGCTATGGTATGAATGATGCTACTTGTTGAATCAGGCGTAGCAGAAAAAATGTTGTTTCCGTTAACCCGACTGACCAGAATTTTTTTCGCCGACCTGAAACTTTTTTTTGTAATTTTTGCGTATTTGATAAATTACAAAATAGACTTGATCTGAGCTAAATACAAACTTCCTCTTGTTATTAAACCACATTTAGTAGGTGGCAATGTCTGCAATGTAGCAATATCTAAGTAAAGTCGCAACCACGGCGGCGTGGTCTGATACGTTTATTTCCGGTAGTCATCGGGCAGTGCTTGACGAACGATCTGCTTGCATGGTATTGCGCTCACAAAGCATAAACATTTTAATAACTTATACTATGTTTATCCATGGCGGATATGGTTTAATATGCTATCAAATGTGGTATAACAACTGCCTATATAGACAAAAACACTTCTCGACGTTTCGACCTAAGGGCCTTCGTCAGGAGAGTTAGTATGAAATATTTTACTACCCTCAAATTAAATCAGAGCTTTTGTTCTAAACCGGTTTTCCACTAGCGATATTTTTCGCGCGAAGCGACATTTTACTTTTGTTCCAGAGCTCGATCATGATCTCAACTGCAATCATCTGGAACAAATTGCTCAAATACAAAGGAATAAAGTCGCTTCGCGCGAAAAATATCGCTAGTGAAAAACCGCCTTAAAACATGCGTTGTGACAGAGATATTATTAACAACAAAAGAGTGATTTTAATAGAATACACACACTATTGTAGTATATGCACGTTGTTCAAGCCGTGATTTGATACCCAAGAGTCCCACCCACGCAATAAATATCTTTTATTGAAACAACTAATGGTTTGAGTACTAATTGATTTTATTTGTGATTTCATTACTTTATCTCCGTTTATTCAGATATCTCGTAAGATAATGGAAAAGAACAACAAAGAAAAAATTACCCACGCATTGCAAGAAATGGAAAATCATTGTGGACATGTAAGCACATAGCTTGTAGGTTACTCGTAATCTTGAAATTGAGAAATACATAAAATGCAGACAGCGTTCGAGACCGTGGATATATAAGCTCTTTTTAAGTAATTTAAAGTAGATTTCTTATTCAGAAAGTAATTTAAGTCAATTAAGTTTACAATAAACATAAAATATTAAAGAATTCCATTGCGATTAAACAAAAGTGTTCATAATGAAAAAAATGCAAATTTTTGTGACGAGTCCAATGGCGTTTACACATCTTCCAACTTATTGTGTAGAAAATCCGGGACATAGTGTATACAGTGCGACGATTTTTGCATCATTCCCACATGCACTAGGTTATATAAAAACGCCGCGGTTAGCGCAATGTTTAACTTCACTCTTGTTTTTTCAGGCCTGTACTGCAGTCATCAAGGCCAAGGTCCCGACATACCAGTCTGTGTTGAAGTAACAATCACGAGGTACCATAAATCATAACTACCATCGTTTTGTGTCAGTCAATGCGACATATTGCGTTCTGAGTGGTGACTCCTTTTCATGTGTGTGGATTACCTTGTATGGTATACACCCAGATAACCTCATACAGAGAACATCACGTGTATACAAATACCCTTATGTGTATACATATACCCTTATGGTATACAGGTATTCTTGTGTTTATAAGAAGAACATTGCGTGTACAAATATACCCTTATTTGTACACATACTGTACTGTATATCCTTACGGCATACGCATATATATGCTTATGTATGTTTATGAAGAAAACTATGCGTGTGAACAATTCTCCTATGTTATCCCTGTTTTTATCTTGGGCATACGTATATTCTGTGTGCGCGCAAATATACCCTTGTGCATATAGCCTTCATATATACAGAAAGTCAAATTTATACTTGCCAGTTTGTGCAAAGAACCTCATGCGTTATGCGAATATAAATATGTACATGTGTATATACATTGTTTTGTATTTGATATATATTGCCCTCATATAACTGCATATATATAAATTATATGGCTCTCATATAACTGCATATACCTGCATGGCAACTGTTTAGTAATTCCACGCAGAACTGGGAACAACGTAGTCTTAGAAACTATAGTATTCTTCAGGAAGTAGTTTCATGCGGAACAGCGTACGTACGTATACCAAGTCATAGATATATATAAAGTTTTTCTGTATTGCCATGTTTGGCATTTTGTTACAAATTGTTGCCAATTATACTTGGCTAATTTGAACGCCCGTTTTCTGGAAGATTCTGACGCTGCTGTGCTGGAACAAAAGCACTTATGAAAGGGTATACAAAAAGAAAAAATGCAGAGAATGGCTTGCAATTTTTGAATGAAGAATGTTATCAATGACATGTGTTCTGCATGACTATAGGGAAATTGTGGGGTAGCTTTTTCCGTATATACATACACACGCGAATAGTCTTATATAGTCATCTAACTTTACAATGAGTTTATTGTAATAAAAACAATCACCTGATCGCCTTGTTTATGATCCACGAACCAAAGATTTTAAACAAATATCATTACAGAGTTTTTTATATGTCACAGACTCAGTTCAAAGACTGTTTCTGTTCTTCCAACACATCGTTATACGGTCTTATACTTGCTATAAATGAATTATTTTTATAGTGATAATATAGAGTGACTTAAAACGGATGATGAACTTTTCAGTTAATGAGGCATTGTGCCCTTTCACATCGTGAATTTATTGAGGTTCTTGCCGTATGTATGTACGTAAATGGCTGTTTTTATTCTCTAAGCTTATCAGCCTTATCTTTAGTAAGTTATAAGTGACCTTTGTCATACATGTTCAAGGGTATACTGCAAGGCCCTGATTGATAAGATTTAGTACCGCAAAGTGGTTGGAACGACCGCCTTTAGCATAATCCTCAGACAAACACGGACCGATTCGTGCAATAATGGACTGATAATCCTTGGAGATAAGCTATTCAACAATGCTTAAGACTGGTTTAAACGAATAAACACACTTTACTTCACCTTGACTAAATATCTCATTCATGAACCTGATGAAATGTCAACAGAGTCTTTCATTAAAAATATGAATTGTAAATTCACAGGCAATTCCTAAATGGGTGCAATCTTTCAATACACTTCAAAGTGTGTCTAATTTAATGTTGCCCAATGGCCTGAAGGTTTGGATAAGGTTTATGTTGTTTTATGCTCGCAATTCAATTAGGTCGTAAATTTTAAATGCACACACAAGCCGTCCTTTTTCAAATGTGATTATTTCAGTTTGGGTTTCTTTAATGCAAATGTACACATGAATATCCATACCGTATAAAGGAGTTTAATTTTCTTGTGAAATTCAAGTGATGTAAACATTATGTTTTCATCACGCAGACGAGCTTGCTGTCAGTTAAAATTTTAACAATGTTGGGCGATTCGGTGCCGAATGTTTAAGATAAAACCCCGATGAGATGTCCTTATGAAAATTAAACGTATAGTAGCTATGTGGTGTTCTTAACAGTGGAACATAAGTTATATAACATATGTACTCGTGGTATGGAAAACGAAATTGCATGAATATCTGTCATATCTTGTACCAGAATTGATGATCGCTTGCATGATTTGCGCAGATAGTGATTTGCAATAAATGCTTGTAATTTGTGGGTTTGTAAGGTGAAGAGAATCATCGGTATGTTCCTTCAGACCAAGTACCGCCCGTGCGAGAATTTTTTTTCATCTTTTTGAAGTAGCTATGACCAATTTTTTTACAAAGGTCAAGTATTCTCCGACCGGAAATTTCATGAAATTCTATTTCCTATGTCGAATTATAAGGAAAGTTTCTATGAATTCTGAAATAATAAGTTTCATGAGACGGCTCGGGACTCTTCCAATCTGCTCGTACCCACATGGTGTTGCTTACCCCTTCTGGTAGGGTCTATTACAGTAATTCCCACACGGTCCCCGCTGAAGTAACACTTGACATAGAAAATGATCCGAGATTTTCGTTACAAAGCCTACATTTTTGAGTATGCGAGAGCTTCAGGTCGATTCTCTGGGAAGTCCTATTAAAATTTTCGCTTTATCGATCAGTTTTTAAGCCTACAAATACCTGAGAAACAACCATAGGTATATATCTTTCAATTTGAGCACCCGTATCAACGTTGTACACAACAACAATGATCGTCCTGCAGCATCAATTGGGTTGGGAGGCTATTATAATTATGAGGGATTGTAGCAGTTCGGTGGAAGGGTCATCCTTTGAGTACAGTAATAGCTGGGGGAGGGGTCATCCTTTGAGGTACAATATCAAGTGGGTAGAAGTGCTATCCTTTGAGGTATAGTAACAGGTGGGTGGGAGTGCCATACTTTGAGGTACAATATAGTAGGTGGGGGGAAAGGTTATCCTTGATCGAGGTACAGTAACAGGTGGGTGAAAGGCTCATCCTTTGAGGTATAGTAACAGGTGGATAGAGGGGTCATACAGCGAGTAAAACGCGGGTGGAAAGCGGACATTCTACATGGTGCAGTAACACAGCAGAAGATATTGTGGTGGGGACTATGGATCCGTACATTATAGTCACACAATGAAACCCATTTTAATTTGCTGTTTACACATTGACAAGTAACGTGTGATGACTGCCACAATCGTTAATGAAAGCGCGACGGGTTTTTTTCACTGCTAATATGGCTTTTAACGAATTCCGGCGCCTGCAGGGTTTCAGAAATTTTATCGTACAATTTATCATCGATCAAACTGGGCCACGTGCCAGTATCCCAGGATATAAAGCAGCATAGGTACGAAGGATCAAGGGTATTCAATCTTACAAGCCGATTGTGACGCAGGCGGCAGAGTTAGTGCTCCCATTTCATGTGTAAAACCTGTAAGTGTCTAAGAGAGAGAGAGAGGAGATTGGGAGGGAGTGTGTTACGTGTTTTTGCATTTAATTTAATCGGTTTAATTCGCAATTAAGTCGTCCATGCATTCGTTTTGGCGTCCTAAGTGGAGATGGAATTCTCTGATCACACGTAAGTGAATATCTTCGGCCCATTTTGCCATCGGTGAGTGTTTTTAGGTAAATTGAACTTAGCGAAACGTCGTTCAAAATTAGAGCAATCCATTCGAAATCGAGCGTTGGTTATTAGCGTGGCTAATTATCAGTTAATTCCGGATTATTCCGAAGACAGGGCTTATTAATTTGGAACACACGACGCGACATTGGGGTAAACCAATTATTCGCTTTGCGCGATAACATTCCGAGTGCTTGCGCGTTTTTCATTTTGTTAGTTTGTACCAGTGCAAGTCGGCTTGCTGATTCGAGTTTTCAGCTGTGTGCCTCTGACGGTTGCTGTCTTTCATCGTAGCTCGGAAAACTTATTGTATTGCAAACTATCAATCAATAAAGCGAACACATACGTTATAATTTCATAACCCCTTGTCTATATATGAAATACACTGTATATTATCTGCAATAAGGGGAGAAAGGATTTTAGCTCGAAATGGCTAGCCTGAAGTGCGTTCAACCTCAAACAACGAGTACCTTGAGCATTTTACGTGATCTCAATGGTAATGTTCCAACTTCGGAGGGAGGATCGATTGGTGTTTCGCGTCCGTCGCTTATTTCCAAAATAAAGATGCACCGTTATTCAAAGTTGGAGATATTCCTCGCCATCGTTTCCCTCCTGTTGTTGGTCTCCCTGGTGGTGGTTGTAGTTCTACTGGAAAGCGAGAACATTGAAAAAACGAGCGAGGAAAAAACGAGCCAGGAAGAAGGTCCACGGGGAACCGAAGCAGCAATCAAATCCTTAGCGCGTGAGTGTTCTCCTAAATATTCATAATACATTTTGAAATTGAGCTATATAATGTTCTTTTCTTACTAGTAATAATTTCGTGTGTCATTCCACAATAGGTATAAGTAGATTTTTTTGACGGACGATAGCGTCTCACCATGTCATCGCGTTAAAACCTGTGCTTACGTGCGTCTCGTGAGTTATATAATTGAAACCGTTCATGCTGATTGTGATTACCGGGAAAAAAAACGGCGTAAACGCAAATCCACTTTGTTAATGTGAAATGTCGTTATTGATCTCTTTGCTAAAAGATTCTACATCTAAAACATCTTCGTGTACGAAATATCTGGCAAGAAGAATTGTATTCCTCTTTAAGTGCGATCGTGCACGATGATCCCTCGCCTTGACCTTTTTATGAGATCTATGTTATTACCCAAAAGCTAAGCTGCTATCATTTTAGGAAAGAATTTGTCGATAAGCGGATTGTGTTTTCAGCTGGTTTTTTTGCTATAACGTCAATGGCATAGTTAAAATAAGGAAGATGGATTGGGTCTATGTAGCTTGCATGCGTCTCATATGAACACATAAATATCAACCTTTAGCATATGATCTAATCAAAACGTTTTATCCCCTACTCCACTCTTAAAGGTGAAAATCGTGAAGTGATATATAGTGGGTGTTCGTAAGATGATATATATGCGTGGTGGGTTCTTCCTTTAGTTTTTTAAAAATGAAGCTATGTATCATGGTGTATTTCATTCCGAAAATAGATTTGTATTTTTCGACCAACTTATACCTCGATTTCATCACCACATCCTCAGACTAACAAAGGAAATGGAACTTGCGCAAGAATTTGGCTGGTTTCTGCGGCGTTTGTATAAACAAATTCGTATTAAGTGGATTATACTGAGACACTTTAGGAAAGTATGTGTGTACGTGGTAAAACTCCAGGGCTGAGCTTGCAAATACTCATTACGAGACAAAACGACGTTAAAATAATCGCAAAAAGTATAACTATATACACATAATCATGCCACCTGGTCGCCCATGTAGATTTTTACATGTAAATTAAGCATGTGAAAGGGGAGGACGTATCTATGAAATTCGTCTTAAAAAGCAAAGTGAAAATGTTTCAACTGTCAGCGAAATTGAACAGTCTTTTCTTCTCATACTCCAAATAGCCTGGGGCGAACGTTGCAAAAATGTGGCATTTCTTTCGACTGTATAATTTCTCACTAATCCCATAGACAAAGAAACCGGGATTGTTATTGAAGATTGATATGGGCGCAGACTCATCGTCGACAACCCTTCGTAACATGAAATCCTTGCTATCTATTTATGTAAATGCTTTGCTTCGTCTCTTCTCCCTTATCTAGCTTTCCTTTGCCCTGAATTCGTTCACCTCGCCCTATAGCTATAACTCTGCGTTTTATGCTATACCTTGGCTTTCATACGTAGACACACCTACCTTGCCTTTTTCACCTCACTTCACACCACCTTAAAGTAAACGATTGCAACTCTCTTTATTATTCCAAATGTCTACAAAAATATGGAGGCGTTCCCGTCTATATCCGGCTATTCGCGCGAGGCAGTCCTACATAATTTATTGGCGATTAATAATGGCATTATCGCCTGTAGAAATGCCCTAACGCACGCTTCGAATTGGAATAAAGAGACGCGTGTAATCCTGTAGGGGGTAAAATATACATGCTTAATAGGACTCGTGTTAATTTGAACGGCTAATTAAAATATTCCGCGTACTGACATGTTTGTCATTTCGTGAAGGTTGAATTTACATGCGTTAAATGATGCCTGTTTACGACAGGCTAATATTATGCTGCGAATCTCAAGAACGAAGGGAATTTCTCATGTCTACCCAATGCTCAAAAAGACAGTCCCGTGTTCAAAAATACTGTTGATTAGTGTAATATGAAAGTTCCCTTGTACGCGCGAGGCAAACTGAAAATTTAGCTCTCAAACAAGTGCAGATCCAGTCAACATCAACAATGATAGTCTATTGGTTTAAACGTATGTTTGTGCAACTGTCGGACGGAATGAAAAACTATGTATCGTCAATTGCATGGATTTCGACCATAACACGTCGCAATAATTCATAATGCAGCATACTGCTTGTGTACTAAATTTCCAACGAGTGGCAACATTCGAAACATTAATATCCAATTACTTTTTCATTATACTTCGTAACGGTCTGGGGGAAGTTGTTCGAAAGGCGTACGTTTAGCTTAAACGGTGGATAAGTTCAAAACGGAAAACAAAACTATATATTCATTGAACAACTGAGCTGAAATATTTCGATGTTAAGAGCTTATAATTGTCAATGGAAGAACATATTTAATGCATAAGATGCAGATTTAGTTATTCACATGATGTATGAGAGTAATTTTAAACTTTGGCTTATCCACCGTTTAAGCTAAACGCCTTTCGAACAACCGGCCCCTGCATGCATGCTCTTTTTTTCCCGGCGTCTTTTGAAAGATTTTGGTTTTCAATTAGCTAATTAGATATTAATCTACCGAGATTGTTTGAAGTGAAGAAACAGGCCGAAAAATTGGCTTTTCAGGCGAATGACCCTCGTCTGGGAATTCAATTAGTAGATTTAAATTCACTTGGGTTTCGACAATGGCCTCTGCACAGTATAACTCTAAACTCTTGAACTTGTCTGACTGTTGTGCACAGACTAGGCGGTCGCTAAGGTGGCAAACTGAGTATACTCTCCCACATGTAGCTATATAATGTCTGGAGTTAAAAGCAGCAAAGAATACTGAGGAATGAACGTTTGACATATATTGTTGTGTGAATTACCCATGCAGACCATGCATCTGACAGCTGGAGACGCTTTAAATATTTTCATAAATATTTCCAGTCCAAAACATTCTTGAACGACCACGCAATTGCTATCTCCGCAGATATCAGATTTTAAGAATTGTCGGTCGTGGGGAATTAGAGAATTGGTTCGTCCTTTTTGCCAAATATAGCCAAATCTTTACGAAAGCGCGCGTGCATGCTTGGTCATTTTCAGGCATAGCAGCCCACGCGAATGATGTAAACTGTATAGATAAGATAATATCTTTATACTTCTGTGTGGGTTCAGAAGTTTTGGAGATGGAATCTGAAAAAGAATTTATAAACATATTACTTTCAATTGATATACCTCTTGCAAAATATTTTTAGTCTTGTATAGGCTTATAATTAATACAAAACCTTTGGCCCCTTGAATTAAAGGAACATGCATGTTAAACCGGCACAACCTATAGCCAAATCCTGTCCACTACTTTCACGATTGTGAGCTAACTAGCCTGACGAACAAATATATATACAGTATATAGGACATATACTAAGGCTTTTCTCACAAGTGACAGCAATGTTTCATGAGCTTACGTTTGCAGGAGTTCTCAATAACATTGACAAGGATGCCGACCCATGCACAGATTTTTATCAATATGCCTGCGGTGGCTGGGAAAAAAGGAATTACATTGAAGATTCTCAGCCCTATGTATTTCCTTTCGTGGAAGTTCAAAAAGAGAACAAGAGGCAATTGAAGGAGATTTTGGAGAACATGGAAGTCAAGGCTAACTATTCTGATGTAAGTTATAAGATTATGAATGTACTGGGTTTTTTTTCTGTGGTCTTGCACACCGCAATATTTATCAGTCTTTTCACTCTTTTCTCGACTTTCTTGCATACAAGTGCACATACTCCTAGAGTATTTGTTTTTCTATGATGGGTATTCTTAAAACAGCACATCTTCTCAGTGTCATCCAAATGATTGAGCGGGTCATACTGGGTCTCCCTGTATCCCGAACATACCTCTCCTATCACGTTAAATGTCTTTGCACGGTCTTGCCAAGTTACCATTTCAATTCCTCTGCAATTTTCTAGAATCCAGCTATGCTAAAGGCCTTTGAAATGTATTCCTCCTGCATGAATACAACAGCCGTTGAGAGATTTGGCGATTCAGAACTACGAAGAATTCTCCGTGTGTTGGCTGACTTCGACAATACATGGAACAACCGTTCCAGTTACGACTGGAAGGATTTTGTCGTGAAAATTAAACGACAACTTAACCTTGACACGCTTTTCAAAATTGTAGTATTGGACGATCTCAGAGATGCTTCGATACAACGAATTACGGTGAGCTGGAACCTGTACATAGGTGTCAGAACTTGCACATATTTTGTCATCGATTCTCGTCATCTCAAAAACAACTTATTTATGGTAGTTCTATACTCTTAACTTTACACAAACTCGTTAAAGTCAGGAAAAGCTCTGGTTTACTCTTCATTGAAGAACGGATGCTCCGTCAAAAGCTACTTATTTATTTCCTTCATTGATCTTACTTTATTCTTCTATCTTTGTAGATGCAAGCAGTTCAAATGCCTCTAAGTTACGCGAATTATTTCGTTCAAAATTCTACTCAGGTAGTTAACTATATGGGATGATTTTGTTGAACTAATGTACCGCAGAGACGCAAGTTTTCTCAGAGCCTTAGTCTCGTTAGAATTTAATAAGTATGGCTATCTATTTATTCCCTAAGGAAACTCGTGCCCGCTATGTGAAGTTTATGACTGACGTCATGATGTTAGTCACAGACTCTAAAATCGAGAATGAAGTTGTCAAGGAAGAAATGAGCAAAGTTTTGGATCTGGAAACAAGTATAGCAAAGGTATTTTTGGCAATGACTAGTTATGTGATGTATAATTTATCGTTGTTTTTCTGCTGTTGTTCGACTCCAAAAATAGCAGTGAGAGCCTTCTACCTTTCTTCATCCAGGCACAGATTATTCCAAGTCAAAGACGTAACTTTACATTAATTTATAACCTTATTTCTATTGAAAAACTGACGAAAATGACTCAAAAGGTGATGTATCTTCCTGTTCCTTCCACTGTATGAAGTAATTCAGCTGTTTTCATGCACTTTATCTTACGGTCAAAGCAATACTTTGCCAATCATACTTTTTCAATCATACAGCTCTCTTGCCGCGTAATGTATCAGTAATACTGCTGGCCAAATCGTCTATAAGTTTATTCCTTTTTAGTTCGACTGGTTGTCATTCTTCGGCAGTTTAACTTCTGACATAGGCTTTAGCCTAACCCCGAGTGAAACGCTGATAATAACATCGCCGAAAATGGTTCAAGATATATTAAACACACTGAATAGAACAGAACCGAGGTAAGGCTGGTATAGTGGTGATGATACATATTTAAATAAACAACAATGTAATACAACATATACAACGATGTAATGAATATTTTGTGGGTAGCTGATTTGAACTGTTAATGGGAGGGCTTTTTTGCTCAAGTCTTGAGCATTTACCTATGCAAATTATACCCTACTAAAGGACCAGTCTTCACATAGTATCTGTAGTCAGTTTATCAAAACTCATCAGTTTAATGCAAACAGCAACTTTAGGCTGGGATATTCTTAGGTAGCCTAGCGCATGCTCGCAAGCTTAAGGCACGTAGAATCTCCGGTTAGAACTATCTGAACTATCAAAGCTTGACTGTGTCTCTTGAAATGATATAGTGTCATATCCAATTATCTTGCTTGGAGAATAATCTATGATGTTATCAAGATATTACCGTTAAAGTACCGAAAATTATACAACGCGTTTCGCGATGATCAAACGAGTACTTTATGGGATACCTGTGTCCAAGACACTTCTAGCACACTCCCGCTTGAAACCACGTTACTTTTTGCTCAGCGTACACTACCAAAGGGAACTGTAAATGAGGTCAGTCGTAGCACAATGATTTCATTTTCAGGTGCTTCGCACACCAAACACGGGAACTTCATCTAAGATTGTCTCAAACATACGAATGCCATTTTCCTTTTAAGGCAAGAAGCATTATGCGTGACGTAAGAGATACATTCATTGATATTATTCCTAAGCAATCGTGGATGGATAAAAATACACAGACTAAAGCAATTGAAAAGGTGAAAATTATAGTTGCACGTCCCTGCTTGGGTCACTCTTAATTCATCAGTATGAAACACAATATAGCTACTGAGTACTGTTTACATTTTCATAAGACATAACCTTTTTTAGGTAAAAGCTATGATATTTCATATCGCATATCCAAGCAATGAGACAGTGGCTGAGAACATGCTAAAGAATTCTTCTCCGAAAGTAAGCCTGTATCTTATCAATTGCAAGCTTTATGAAAGATGATATATCCTGTCTGGGTAGTCAGGGATCACGGAACGGTGTAAAGGCAAAGGGCCACCTGCCTCAGGTGCACCTGCCCCTTCTCTCCAGCCTCCCAGTTCCGCCAGGGGTGAATAAGTAAGAAATGACCTTTCTTATGTTCTGTTTTCTTATTTTCAGTTCACAGTTTCAAACACCAGCTATTTAACAACATATCTGAATGTTAAATCATTTACATTTATGGAAAACTTCAAGTTGTTAAAGGCGACCTTTAGTAGAAACAAGTAAGCGACCTTAAGCAAATTGTCCTTTCCTAGAGCAAATCTGGACATGAATTTTACGATACAACGAATCGCTATAGCTATGTTTGATGTTTGTAAATACAATTTGACTTTGTAACTTTTTTTCGCTTGCCTGAAGATGGGACGAAATTGATCCAATGAAACCAACTGGCTTTTATTACCATACTCGTAACAAAGTAGGTCAGTATATGCACGCCTTGTAAAATGGTGTTGTTTACACCAAATGGTGTTGTTTACACCACGATGCCAGGCTAGTGTTCTCGACCCTTAATCATCTTTTTCTCGTCGTTATAAGGTATCTCAGTCGGTTTCCTTCAGAGCAAGTTATTTTCGCTGGAGAATTACAAGTAAGTTAGATTATATAGATGTTATTGCATTTGAATTGTAAAAACACCAGCTAAAACAAGGCAATCATACGCTTATTATTTTACGACGATGCGCATGCTCTATATGTGTGCTCTTCGCACAGATATTGTTGTTAACTGATTATCACCAGTTGCGTAGCCAGCCTGGGACGAAATCGCCGCCACTGATTATAATTAAGACTATATATATACTCCTGTTAATCTGCTACAAATCTGTGTGCACATCTTTAAGCTCTCAATCCGTGTGGTTGGTGAAGTAACATGCAGGAATGTGCCATTCTCTCAACCTCTGCCCCCTTCGTCCTAAGTTGCTTCCGGCGCCCCTGGTTATAAAACCTATTGTGCAATACAGATTAACATCGATACAAAACTGTGCTTTGTATAGATCGGCCAATTTTGGTGGCTTTGGCATGGTTATCGGACATGAAATTAGCCATGGTTACGACCTTATAGGTTGGTTTGTCTTTTTTTACAAACAATCCGTGAAAAAAGATAAAAATTAAGATGACAGCGCTTTTATATAATCTTCCATTTTTTCAGATCTCAGCTAGATTACCGCATGCACTGCATTTTCTTGGATTTAGATTTTCATATTAGGTCAATCGGGCCAGCAGTTTCTTAACTTAGCGTCACCCGTCCGGACAGAGATGTATGTGGTATAAACACCCGTTCGCTTTAAAACTCCCCAAGGAAATATAGATATTCGCATGTTTGAGAACAAAGATATATACGTCGTCGATTCAAGATTAGGACGACATACTTATAAAACACCCTTCGGGGCAAATTTTCTCAATTTTTTTTACCAGGTCACAGATTTGACAAGCACGGCGATATGACAAAATGGATGTCGCATCATTCTTCAAACATTTTACGCCAAAAGCATGCGTGTTTGGAAAAATCATACAGTAATCTTGCCCTCAAAGGTCGTAAGATTGGACGGATAAGGAGTTACCGGCAGCAATTTTGTGATATTGGTGGTATAAACCTCGCTTTCGAGGTAAGAAAACTACAACTATAAGAACAGTCCTTTATTTCTCATTCATATTTTATCCATCCATCCATTTTCAGGCTTACATGGAATGGAAGAACAGGAGTTTGGAACGGGGGATGTTACCTTCGTTGAACATCACACACAATCAATTGTTTTTCCTTTCGTATGCTCAGGTAAAAAACTGCTGTTTGAACGTTCAGAGAAGCACGCTTGATACAAAACGGCAGTCAAAATTATCCACGTCGATTTTTTTGCTTCTGCAGATGTGGTGTGCAAAGTACAAAGCTTCCGAAGTGTCTCGCATGGTCAATGAAGGAAACTATCCTTTTCCATTGAGGGTTCAAGGAGCGATGTTAAACTCCGAAGAATTTGCCGATGCGTTTTCATGCGCCCCAGGTACCACGATGAATCCTATAGAAAAATGCAAAGTTTGGGAAACATAACTTTGCATTGCACAGGCGCATTCTGTAAATTTGGGGTGTACATATACTTAATGGTATAGTCGAGGGGAATGTTCTCTTTGTGCCCAGCTTAACCTTCATCGGATCGTTGCCGTCAGCAATTTTATAGGCTTGTACTGTCTGCATAAATGAATGTTTGAACAAGGTTAAGGAAGGTTCAACGCAGGAGGCTATTATTGTTGGACAGCTATATAAATAGGTACGAAGCACATATATTTGTATATAGGCTCCTTAACAAAGGAACGTGGATTTATCCACCTTTTAATACCCTAAGAGTGCAAGCGGATTCGCAATATTTGGAGTGACGTTATGCGTGATTTATGAAAGTTTTAATCTACCTTTAAAACCATTCATGTCAGATTTTTATTCAGATCCTGTATAGGAAAACCTTTTTTATAAATACTTAAAACGTCCCTATATTGATACCCGATTGTGTGAAACGTTTATTCTGTACAAAATCCGTTGCATGGCATCGACTGTATATATAAGATAAGTCTTTGAAACTTTTTGACTCGAATCCAAAACTCATTTATTTACAGTATAAACAAAATTGCCCATGCACGTAATTCAAATACGTATTGTAAAGTAGCCTAAGTGCAACGGGTAGGCGTAGGAAATACGCTGAGGGTCTTCAAATCTGTTTTCCGTGATAAGCTGTTTTTTTCAATATTCATTGTCACGTTTCCCCTGCATGAGCCTAGGTGTTTAACTGTTTTGCTCAAATGGTTCACAAAACAAAAGATTGGCAAGACTCACCACAATGGAAAGTTTGAAATGAGTGCATAGTTTACTTAAAATATCATTTGTTCGTTGGTAATTCGATAAACCTCTTATATATTAGATAAATGCACAAGAGATAAATGTAATTGGCTTATCAAATGCTTCCTGAGTCCAAAAATAATCTACAGCCATTTTTATGCAATGCAAAGACCAATATACCAGTATTCACCCTCCTATATATACACCTTGGCGTTTTCAATTCGGGGCAAAACGAAGAACACATGTACATTGTCGGATAATCTAAGCTCATCGTTCAGTGCTTCGAAAAAAGCTCAAAATACTAAAGCTCGATGACGTCATAAGGATGTTAAGTCACTTTAAGTTGTTATCATGCAGCAAGATATTTTTTATCAGACGTTCGCTCTTGGCGCGTGGACAAACTCGGTCAAGCTTTCGTTTCTTCATCGCTGGGACAACCACGCATGCAACGAGCCTCAATGTTCGTTTACTAAACAAATTGTCCTTGCATGCTTACCCGACAGACATCGATACTTTGCGATGTCAATGTACTAACCTTTCCAACGCCACGCCCTGCTAGCGTTCCCACTTGGGTTTTGCCCATGGGGTAACGTCCCGTCGAAGCCTCCTATTTATAAATCACCAGAAATATTCTCCAAATATGAACTTTTGGTATGTAACTGTATATACTGGGCGTATAAATAAATGCAACCTCGGAATTCCTCGAGTAATCCACTTTTCCATTCTTATGGCACAAAAGATATTGTCTTCCTAGGAAATTCAAATATAGCTTCAATTGTACTTCAGAAGCATGCATTCTGTCATGCACACCCAAGTTTTACGAATTGAATATTTGTACGTTTAGGAGGAATTACTCGAGCCCGTTTACCAGAGATTATGATACGAAGGTATTGGAATGAGTGTATACTATGACTCTGGTAGTGGTGTAGTCATCCTAACAATAGTTTTGTTTCATTTCAATACCACCATTCAACAATAATCTGGCTAATGTAAATAGTATTATCAATGTGAACAGTACTTATGCAATGAAAGGTACTCTGAAATGCAGTTCTAGAAGCTTTTAAAATTCCTGGGAAACTAAAATACTTTTTACTTCATGAACAAGGAGGATTATACTCTGATAATTCCAAGCTTGCTTTTTTTATACGCCCTGTGTGTGTATTTCAAAATATCAACGTATGTTTGGTGTTGAATGCTTTAATCAAGTAACACGTCGTGAATTCTGCGGAGTTGAACATGGCGTTACACAATCGTCACCCATTTGCGTGGGCTTTTAAGGCAATGAGTTCTCTGATCGCGTTGCATTTACCGCGAAGCGTCATTTAGCTTTCATATCAGAGCCCTCGGGTAAAAGTGCAAATTGCATAGGGAGACGAGCAGTAAATTCGCCTCGCGTGAAAAAAAAGCAGTTGTAAAAAACCAATTCTGGTTGAGAACGTTCAAGAATACATGCACCAATCATGATCGAATTTTGAGGCCCTTTTTGCTTCAGTCGTGAACAAGACGCATACAAGTAAAGCTCGTTCCGACATAAATCCGATTATGGAGTACTTAAACCAGTGGAATACATGGCTTATTGTCTAATTTGGCTTTTGACTTCGCCTCGAGTGCGGGAACTGAATTCATTCAATCACGTCCGTCCGTGTAAGGGAATATAAGGGGCGTGCGAAGGCCTCAAGAACACGTCTTGAAGCTTAGGAGACGAAAGCGGAACTCAACAATAGACGCGAGATTTTGATTGAAATCACCAACACCCCTGCTATGTCCACTTCACGGGGTTCTGTGGCAAAGCAGACGAAATGCACAAAGGCCTTTGCTTATGAAATTAATGGCGGCTTCGTGGACGTTCCTGACACAAATAACAACGGTGGAGAGAGCGATGAAAAGGCGAAACACGACGAGATGGCTTTGAAAACAACTGTTGTATCGGTGATGGCTAATGGAGCGCTCCTAAAGGAGAAGCCCAAGCGGTCAAAGAACAAGTGGTTACGGGTGATGTTTATACTTCTCGTTCATGTTGTTCTCCTGGTCGCCTTTATCAGTGTTCTTTTGTTGTACATCCAGGAGCTTAACGATTCTAAAGCGGAGTCTACGCAGCCTACAACTAACAAGATTTGCTTGAAGGATGACTGTGTCAGCTGGTCAGCAGGTTAGAGATTCATCGCATTACATATTTCTTTACAAATGTGATTATATTTTGTATGTGGTGTGAATTCTTTGTATTGTGTTTAGTATATAATTTAAAACTTCTTATACCGTTCGATTATCGATGAGAGAGACTAACCCTAGTCTGTCTCCCAAGTGTGGAAACTTCTGGACGTTTTGAATTAAGACCACTTAGCGAAGAAAGTTAAACCAATTCTTCATGCAAATTCCCCTACAGAGACTCTTCGACCGAAGCATTTAGATATATTTTTTGTCTATCTCAAAGCTGATACTGAACGTATATTTCATGCATGCTGCCTGGTTACGTGACCTGTTTGCAGAGCTTGATTTGTATTTCAGTGTCAGAATTTGGGAAACTGTTGTGGGTCCGGAAGTATCTATAAGATTAACAAAATTTTCACTACTTTGTCGCTCGGTCCTATATTCAGTAGGGATTTGAGCGATGTTAATGAGATAATTGGAATGAGATCTTTCGGACTGAGTTTTGAATTAAGACGCATGGCATTTTGGAAATGCAACATTCGATAAAAGATTACGTCAAAACAAATCTTCAAATTCCTGTTGTTGAAATAAACTGATTCACGAGCATTTCGAATAAAGAATTGCATGACAGCGTCGCCTGATTGCCGTTCATTCTACCATCTACTATGCCCCGATCAAATTAACTATAAAACGAGGAAATGTCTAAAATTCAACGTGCTTTCCCAGTCAGTAATCCAGTTTGTGTTTAGTCAGAATATGGAAATTGCTAGCTTATGTCGTAATTGCGTAATGATTTATATTTCAAGATTATCTAAGTTGATAAGAGCTGCTTACTAATTTACCGTAAGTGAAATGGGTTTGTATATTTCACAGCGTGAATAGTTTTTTAAATGCAAATATTTGTAGCCAATGGGTTCGTGCAAGTATTACCGCTGTATATATGGTCGACGATGAACTGACGGTTTATTTATTTCAATGTCGTTCAGCGATGCTCATAAGGGTTCTAACTCGTTGAAATTTTAGAGACAAATTGGTCAATAATGGCTGCGCAAAATCACCGGTCACCCAGGCTTCAGTTGTTAGCGGAGAAAGTACTGTCGTTGAAGTTTCGAAAATTTCTTGGGTTTTCATCGTGTAATTCGCCATTGTCTTCACTTGTCTAGATACAAATAAGGCGAGCAAATTTTCGGAAAACCTATTTTTGGCTGTTAAAAAAAATTAGCAAGGCGCTTGCCAAATTGCCCAAATGCATAAACGAGACGGGACCAGACAGAAAATTTCTTCAACATGTCAAGTTGAGGCCTACATCTCTTTTATCGCTTCCCTCATTCGCTTTCTCGCTATCCGGCCTTGCAAGGTTTTTGGCATGCACTGTGCATGAGCTCGGCCGTTTTCTACGCTTAAGATGAAAACACTTCTGACTTTGATAGGAAAATTTGCTCTAAGTATATACGGAAGCACATGCCGATTTATCATTCTTGATAGTGAATAATGTTTTTACTAAGTGATACACCAAATTTACTAAATACACTCGAGGCAATTGTTTAAAAGAGATGTATCTAGACTGAAAATTACTTCAACATGTCAAGATGACGTCTTAATTAAACCCTTCTTTGGTATACACTCTCGAATGATTTAATTTATCGCTAGCTCCCGTTCGCATTCAGCAGCTACTTAAAACCCTTCAGAGGAGGCGTCTATATTAAATAAAAAGTGGAGAGACACAAAGGAAGCGCACTTGTATACCGACAGCCACATCTCATTTCCCGCCGTCCATACTTGGCTTTCCACTGCAAGTACTTGAAGATGAAACCGTAAAGATCGTGCTCGTGTCTGCTAACGAGGACCTGGTGATATATATGCGGTTATTCGGGAAAGGTAGAACTGGAGGGCATCTCATGCATCTGCGAGAGTAGGTTACCTCCCCCCCCCCATATAGCGAGGAAAACACGCGCTATATCGGGGGTAACCTATTTGCGTGGCCCTGTTGCCATGGGCAAGGGAGGTAAAGGGTGACCTTTCAGTTTAAAGGCATTGCATTCAAATTCGTTTGTATAAATCCGGTTCGCTAGAAATATAGTGAAAAATAGCTTAAAAATAGCACAATTGTCAATCGGAAAAGTTCAAGACGTTGGAACCATTTAACATTAAAGAGAAAGCATTATGACACGAAGTTCAACTGTCGATATTTTGCATATTCTATTAAAAGCAAAATCTCCTTGGACGTTCCTTCATTGTAGTGCTAGACTAAAAAAGGTCCCTATTCATACGAAATCTGAAAGATGGTTCCTAACCAGTTTCATTTCAATTCCTGTTATCCTAATTTGGGTGATCTGAACATGGCAGTCAATTTGTTCGCTTCAACGCTGTTTCAATATTTACATTACTTGGTGGGGAACTTCCAGTTTTCTTACGTAGTTTTCCTTGCGGCAATAGTGAATCACTCCAGTCCAACGGTGCGTTTTTGTAGGCGGCGAGGATTGGGGTCCGAATATCATAAATACCAGTCTGTTCACACCGTTGGACAAAATTCAGGTTTAAAAAGCTACTTCTTCAAAAATCGCATTGTGAAATCATCGAGTTTATTGTTGAATCGAAATCCGTTACCACATGCATAATTTAATTTGCACATGCACATTTTGTGGAAGGATTAACAATTAAAGGTCGACACGCGATTTTTACGAATTTTTCGGTTTTCAAAAGCTGCTAATTTTGACAAGGCTGTGATATTCTCGGTAATTACTGAATGACAGTACATTTTGACTGGTCTGGTACTCATATCTCTCAAAATTTTCAGAATTGAATCTATTCGCTTCTGAAAATAGAAATTGCGTCGCATTAGCAAATCGCGTCCAGTTTGTGTGGACCTTCAAGACGTTATCTGTGACGATTTTACCTACTTTGCGATAATAGGGAGCTTTAGCAGTGACTACGAGTACGAGATTCGTCATTCTCGCGCGTTGTTTGCTTACGCCATCAGCAAAAACTCGTAGTCGTTGGACTTTTGAGTATGAAATTTATCAAAAAACTCGTACTCAAAAGCTCAACGACTACGAGTTTTGGCTGATGGCGTAAGCAAACAACGCACGAGAATGACGAATCTCGTACTCGTAGTCGTACTCGTAGTCACTGCTAAAGCTCCCTAATGTCTAATGCTACGGGCTAATTTTTCGACTCTAACAGGAGAAAGAAGAAGCTGCGTTCACAAATTATGTGATTTTCGCTTGCAACGCGTCGGTCAAAATACTTATAGAAAAGTGTCCACATATTACGAATGCCACTTGCAGGAATAACTTTGAAAATGTCTTCATGACTCTTTTCATGAATGAAAAAAAAACTTCAAAAAAACAGATCGTCTAGACGACAAACGATGAGCTGTCAACTGACTTGAATGGTCAATTTGTAGAAGGGATTTTTTCTTTCACTTTGTGAAAGTTTAAACTTCACATGTTTACACAACATGTTTACTTTAAAAGGGAGAACATTTTTGTTGACATAACGTTACACACCTCCCCTCTATAAAATCCTCCTCCGTTTTCGTAGAAATATTAGGATACATGAACAGATCTGTGGATCCGTGTGAAGATTTCTATTCCTTTGCATGTGGTGGATGGCAAGCCAAGACCTTCATACCAACGACTGAAACATCAGTCAGCATTGTCTGGGAGTTGACCAATCGCAACAAGCAGTTTATGAGAAACCTCTTAGTCAACACTGGAACAAAGGAAAAATACTCTTCGGTGAGGAATTCCATCTATAGCATAGCTTTTGATACAGGCCAGATTTAGTGTCTTTGTTATAAGTCTTCACCTACAAAATCTGGCCCGCTACCATATATGGTATCTGACACAGTGCATGTAATTGTGTCTTCTGAACAGTGATTGAGTCAGACTTTGTTCAAAAATTTAGGGTAATATAACATTCATTCCAGAACCGCGCTGTTATGAAAGCAATCGATTACTATCAAGCATGTCTATCAAAGGCATCGATCGATGCACAAGGTGACAAGTATTTGAAAGAAGTCGTTGCTATGCTGGGTGGATCGAATCTAACGACTCTGAACTGGAATTCTTCTGAATACGATGTTCGAAAAGCGATGCTTACAGCCATAAAAAAACTCGGCTCAGTGCAACCGTTCTTCCACGTCAATTTTCCTAATTTTTCAATCTTCAAAAAAGAGTTTTGCGGTGGGTATAACTGAAAACTTTCCAATGGTAACGATTTGACTGAAAAGCTCGACAAAGTTAAATTCATGTTTGTTTATTCCCGTAGATCGTAGAAGGTACCATCGGGCTTTCCACCATTTTCTACGTCGAGACAAATTCAACCCAGGACTTCTATAAGAAGGTAGATGGATATTGGTTTTGCAAATGAAACGGCCTCTGCAGAAGAGACATTGAAAAGTAGATCTTTCCGTTGTCTTGTATATAAGTTGCTTACTTGTTTGTATACATCAACTCGTATAAAGGAATAAAGTCAATCAACTCCTATCATATAATATGTTTCCTAGACTCGAGACTCGTACAAACAATACATGGTTGATGTCATGGTTTTGTTTGGAGTTGAACGGAAAGATGCCGAGACACAAATGAATGAAGTATACCAATTGGAAAAGCAAATTGCCATGGTATAATTCAATCGTTTTCCTCCTATAAACCCTTTGAAAGGAATGCAATTTTATTTGTGTCTGTTTTAGATTTTTAGAACACAGAATGGACGTCCAACCTCGTCGACAATCGGCCAACTATCCAGATACACAAACGTGAGTTGAGATCAACTGTATATATTGCATATGCCCCAATAACTAGTTTTAAAATAAAGAATATTTCATAAACACGAAGTCCTTAATCTTTATGTGTATAGTCGCATTTTCATCTTTCATTGGTGAAATCAAACGAGTGTTAACTTTTCTTTTATTTTCTAGTTTGATTGGTATTCGTTTCTGACTGCAATCTCAGCTCAGCAAAGTTATAATTTGTCCAACGATGATATTGTTTTGGTGAAGACAAAAAATATCTTGAAACACATCATGACATTGATAGATGGAAAAGATCGAGCGTAAGTTTGGAGATCTATGTAGTTTTAATGCAAGGAGGACGAGAGGTATGAGGGGATCGGAAGGATAGAAAGACGAGAGGAAAGAGGGGGTATGAAAGGATGGGTGAATGGAAGATCCGGCGTATGTGTTAAAGGATTTAAGTGAGAGGAGAGAGGAAGGGGCAAGGTAGAGAGGAAGAAAACTAAAGGAGGAAGGCTGGAGAACAAATAAACGCAGGGAAGAAAAGCGGGATGAAATGGGAAATCATAGTAAGAGTGAGTGGAAAGGAAGGAAAGAAGAGGATTAAGAATAAGTGTGGGGAAACAAGGAACGAAGGTGGAAAGAAAGCGAGAGGAAGTGGTGAAGTAGGAGGAGAGAAAGGAAGAAGAGACATACTTGACATACTTCATTTTAAAATATATATACTTTATACAGAGTTCTATCAAATTACATTGCGTGGATAGTGATCAAAGACGTGATACGACATTTACCAAATGCTTACCTTGATGCGCGTCTGATGCACCAACGACGCATTCACGGCGAGTCGTACGAGGATCTTGAGCGATGGAATTTCTGTTATGAACGAACGATGAGCACATTTCCGATGGCCATTGGCCTGATGTATGTTGATGAAAAATTACGCCCAGATGCCAAAGCAAGGGTAGGTTTGGGAGGGGGTTCGTGATGGTTTGGGGGGCACGTCCGTTAACGTTATGGAAAGCTACATTTTTTATCTAAAAGAATGTTTCCAATTACCATATTTACATTTACAATAACATTTACAAAGAGATTAACGATTATTTTTCCATGAGGTGAAACGTGTGAAGTGACCCAAATTCTCATAAATTCTCACATCAATTTAGGCGAAGGAAATATTTGAGGAAATAAGAAGTGAGTTTTTGAGAGAGCTTGATGAGCAAACTTGGATGGATAACGCTACCAAGAGAAATGCGAGAAAAAAGGTAACAAACGGAAACTGTCCCATCAATATTAAAGATGAATACGGGTATCATAACATGGGATAAACGTCACTTTGCAGGCTGCTGCATCAAGAATTCTGGTAGGATACCCGGACTTTATTAGGGATGAAGAAAAGTTGAATGCAGAATACGAAGATGTAAGTAGTTTTCTGTAAAAAAAACAATTTCGATTCGGTTTAAGAATACCCACCTGTTGCTTTCTTCAATTCTTTTATAGCGACAAAACTTTGTGACTCCTGTAAAATCCTTCCAATCCCAAAGTTTTTTTAAGTTGACTAGTTTTCTTAATTCGTCCAAGCAATTTTATTGATGATGGCAACACGGACCTTCACGAGAATTGTTTACATCTTGCTCTATTTTTTCTCTAGATCCAAGTAAATCGTAGTGAATACCTCAAAACAGTTTTCTCAATAAAAAGATTGATCTTCATGAAAAAAATCGCCGAATACAAGAAGCCCGTAGATAAATATGCGTATGGATCAAATTCTCAAAGATTGCATTTTAGTATTTTCAGTATTTTTCATTGTTGAATCTTTTTGTAACTGTGTTTTACAGGTTTTCTCATTCACCGGCAGATGTCAATGCTTACCACTATAGACAGGAAAACAAAATCGGTAATTCAGTTTCAAAGTTATTATAAAATTAATCGGGACTCCTTACGAGTGAAATCCCTAAAACCTTATGCTTCTTCAACCGTTCCTTGTGTTTCTTTTCATTAGTTTTCCTCGCTGGAATATTAAACCCACCATACTATAGCGATAAAAGTCTCAGGTATTTATCATTGCCACTCATGTATCGGTTAGATTCTACCATTTCGTCAGTTCATTGAGATATAGACAGTCCACATGCATTTTGTTTTTCAATAAGGCGCCATTTGTTGTATTTGTTCCTGATTTTCTAGAGCATCAAATTATGGAGGAATTGGCATGGTAGCTGGTCACGAGTTGACTCATGGTTTTGACAGCAATGGTAGGTTGAACATTTGCATACAGTTGCATGTACAGAACCTGTCAAAACTGTCGGATTATCACAGTTTAACCTGATTGCTTTATATTTTAACATTCAACGTTTCAGCTTAAACCCAAATGTTTGAAACGTAAAAAAACGTGATAAAAACTTCACGGTTAACGGTGGCTTGCAAATAGCTTTATTCACTCAATTTTTAATATTTCTCATCAAATATAAGGAGTCTTTGATCGATGATCTCTCATTTTGAGTCGTAAAACATCGCCTATTAATTACGACATATGAAAACCAGGTCTGCATGTTTTCTCGTTCGTAAGGTCGTCATCATGACAAGGATGGTAACAGGCGTAATTGGTGGACGACGAATTCATCAATCGAATTTATGAGAAAAAGCAAGTGCTTTGTCGACCAATATGGAAAATTTGAAATGTTTGGAAAAAATGTATGCCATTCAGTATATTGTGTTTATAATCAATTGTTATCCATCGTTTAATGATGGACTGTAGTTTATCAGCAACATAGTTATCTTAATTTCTTTTTCATTCCAGGTGAACGGAATGTTAACCCTCGGAGAAACTACTGCGGATAATGGGGGTCTAAAATTTGCTTATGAGGTATGTCATGATGAATATAATATATGAACAGTATTTTAACTTTTGACAGCAAAATTGCTCTCTTAGTAGATCTTAAGTCCTATCTCGTAGGCGTACAAAAGATGGGTCGCGAAAAATGGCGAAGAGCAAAGGCTACCTGGCCTAGATTACTCGCCACATCAGCTGTTCTTTGTGTCATATGCACAGGTAGGAGTTCTTCAGTTCTAGTTGTTAGTTCTGATTAAGTTCTAGTTTTAAGAACACAACATTTCAGCTGAAATTAAGAATAGAATGATTTCATTCTTGAAATGACTGTAAGTAAAAAATGATAGCAACATCTAGTAGACACTTCTCGAATTTGCTCGACTGCACACAAAACAACAGCTTGAAGGAATATACGGAGTATTTTGTTTCCTCTTAGGGATGGTGTTCAAAGTATACTCTGCAAGGTGCTCTCAACCAACTTGATAACAAAGCCTGGCCACCAATGAACCTCAGGTATGATTTAAATCTAATTGAGGGCTCATGATTATACTGCATATACATCCAGTTTCGCATCCTCACAGCCCTCGTGACAGCTGGCCGCGTTAAGAAACGCCTGCATCTGTTTCATTATCAGGGTGGAAGGTGCAATTATGAACTCCGAGGGATTTGCAGAGGCATTCCAGTGTCCCCAAGGGTCACGCATGAACCCCGAGAAGAAGTGCAGCGTCTGGTGATGTTAAGGTGGCTCAGCAATATTTTTCAATAGCCGCGAATCGTGCTTGTTGATCAAGTATGCCTTGTTATTTACTTCTTCAATTCATGTCAAGACTTGTACAGCGCCATGATGACGATGAAAATTCCCCCATTTTAAACTATGATTGCTTCATTCTAATTTGTAAATTTATTCAATTTTCCACATATTCTGTATAAACTTCTATTCCAGCCAACCAATCATTAGGTATCATTAGCTGAAAGATGCTGGCATTGATATTTTAATGATTTTTTAATCCAAGACTGTCGTATCAGGTATATATTATGAAATTCACCAAGTTTAATCAACGTTTTGTAAATGACGTTTTCCAGAGAATCATTCAGCTTGTAAAGATATGCAAAATCCTTTTATGTTTATTTTGAACATTGCAGGATTGCTGTTTAAATATAAATTAGAAATTGCATGTGGTCTCGTTAAATTGTTGTCAAACACTGAGTTTGCATATATAAAAGTGCGAAGCTAGAAGCGACAAAGACGATATTATTTTATCACCGTTTCACAAGAATATCTCTCAAGCACAGCTTATGAAAAAATATTTGAAGAATTTTGACAAGATAATTTCAAAAAGCATTGCTAACAATCTTAGTTACCTTAATTTGCTTTTAACGATGTGGTTTAATTAGAGAGTTCATTAAGGATTTAACGGATTCATTTTCAAAATGTAAGCTCTAGATTCTATGCATGACAATGGGGATTTTGTCGACAAAACACGAAGGATGGAGAAACATACAGGTTTTCTATTCAATCGATTATCAACTTCTGATGAAGTCTTACGGCCCATCAGTTACTCGTGAATACGAACATAACAAATGGATTTAAATCATTGAATCGTTTTAATCGATGTTTTCTGACGACAAAAACGTATAAGTTCAGTTTACGAACTACACTTTCGTCTAATACATTCAACGGACCGACGAAATTGTATATTCAAAAGATCATTGGCGTTATACTAAGTGAATTTTTCTTGCTAAACGCTGTTTCAATATTTATTCTACTTCGCGGGAAACTTGCAGTTTTCTTACGTAATTCTCCTTGCGGCAATAGCAAATCACCGCAGTCCAGCAGCGTATTTTTGTTGCGGTAAAAATTGATGTCAATAAATGTTAGGAATACCAGCCTGCAAAGATCTTTAATTATCTCTCGGGCAAAATTTAAGCTTGATATTTATTATTTATGGCACAATTCATTTGAAGAAATTCCTCCATAAAAGCGTTTCATAAATCCTAGAGTTTCTACATGTGTGTGTAAATGCATGAAGTATCAACTGACAGCTATGTAGCCTACATCGACACTTGCTTCCAGAAAATCTAGACAGAATTGATCGAGAGTTTTCAGGAAACTGATATTGGAGAATTGAGCTTAGAATTGTGTGATTTTGCAATACGCAGTCACTGCATTTTGATAATAATTAAAGACATTAATTTGGTATCATCTTGTGCGATGACAATGGGTCCTTGAAGGTGGTATTCGCTTTTGTTGCCGATTTTATCAGCCAAGCCGAATTTAAAAACATTGTTTTGTATTCTCTCCATACCATACCTGCAGCGAGGTGGTGACGAGAGCAGCTAGAGGAGAAGCGATGGCGAATCACGAAGTTGTGAATCAAGGTTTTGCCCCAGAGGCTGGCGGCTACGAGTTAAGATCCACTGCAGTTTCTGTGCCCGGTCAGGCGCCAAGGAAAAATGGCTCAAATAATAATAATCTGCTCAAGTTAATAGTAATTCTCGTGGTCATACTTATAGTTGGGATCGTTGTTATCGGCGTGTTCTATGCAAAGGAAGTCAGGGATAACGATGACGAAGATGCTCATACCCAAAAAACGCCAACGAAATCTCCAACTCGAAGTACGACGATTCCTCCGTGTGTTGTGACGAAAAATGCATTCAAAACGCCGCAGGTAAAGAAAGAATATACAGTTCTTAATACACGAGAGTTTTCCAATAATTCCCGATATTCCTTGACCGGTTTATTTAATTATTGAATTTTCATTCGAATGAACAGCACCAATTTACCGTGTCGCACAATTGCCCAGGCTTGTGATTTTGTGCTAAATTGTAAAATAGCTTGCAATGCCTTAAGGGCTGCTCGCAGGTTTACGGTAACGAAAGATTACGAGAAAAATCGGCAAAAAAATAACTAAAATATAATCACAATTAGTTCGTATTTACTCAAGGAGTATAAAATTGTTTGACTATAAATTGTGTGAGAGTTAATCCAATTAGTCGTCATGAGATGGCAGAGTGTTACAAAGTTAATAGTGCCACCCATAGCGATCTATTGTATTGAAAAATTTTATTATGATGCTCAAAATGCTGAGAGATAATAAAAACCCTTTATTTTATACCCTTTTATGTAGTATGTTTGTGTTAGGTTATAGATTAAGAAAAGTGTCTTTTTGTGATTATGTTTTAAAATCCGCTAATTCATTGCTAATTTAAAATTTGTTATCAGATAATTTTATATGCAGGTATGTTGTTTGAAATACAAACAAAATGACCCAGTATCTGTGAGATATCTATCGTGCCCGCATAATATTTTTTGCAAATTATATAACATACTTTCGCTATTGTGAAATTTATATTACAAATTTTCTACAACAAATTTGTGAAACATGGAGCAAACTCGAACGAAACTTATCACAGGGCAAGTTTCCATTCAACAAAAACGAGTTGGATTTTGGCTAAATTCACCCGAAAATGACCCGAACGAATATAATAGACCCCAACAAACTTAAGGGTAGTTGATAAAAATGACCCGAACGAATATAATAGACCCCAACAAACTTAAGGGTAGTTGATCAACTTGATCTTTAGGAAATTTTCGTCTTACACCTTGTGATTCAAAGTTTCAAATATACTTTTTGGATATTGGACGTTTCTCTTGACATACAGTAGCCTTATTCCCTTTCCCCTCTAAAATCTCCCTGTGCCTTTTGCAGCTATATTAGGATACATGAACAGATCTGTGGATCCGTGCGAAGATTTCTATTCCTTTGCATGCGGTGGTTGGCAAGCCAAGACCTTCATACCAACGACTGAAACATCAGTTCATATATTTTGGGAGTTGAATAATCGCAACAAGCAGTTTATGAGAAACCTTTTAGCGAACCCTGGAACAAAGACCAAGTATTTCTCGGTAAGGCATTCCAGCTAAGTCCAAGTGTCCATTGCAAGGCTACAACCATCGTCAAAGACTGTCATTGGTTCTGTCTTTCGAAAGAGAGTGAATAAGTCTTGGTTATAAGTTTACTGAACTAAACTAAACTTAAACTTATACCGTGGTGTATTCTCTATTGTAGAACCGAGCAGTGATGAAGGCAATGGATTACTATCAAGCATGTCTATCAGAACCATCGGTCGATGCACAAGGTGACATATATTTAAAAGAAGTCGTTGCTATGTTGGGTGGATCGAATCTAACGACTCCGAACTGGAATTCCTCTGAGTACGATGTTCGAAAAGCGATGCTCACAACCGTCACGGAATTCGCTGTTCAACCTTTCTTTTCCGTGGATGTTTTCCCTGACTTTGCAAACTCTTCAAGAAAGAGTTTTGGGGTAGGTATATTGCAGGCATCATTCTAATGCGAACAGTTAGTATAGATCTTAAAAATGGACTTTGTGTTTATATTTCTTTTTCATATAGATCTTGGAGGGTACCATCGGGCTTTCCACCATTTTCTATGTCGAGACAAATTCAACTCAAGACTTCTATGGGAAGGTGAATAAATATGGTTTTGCAAATGAAATTACTTTAGATATAGGCTTTAGATTTTAGATATAGACTTTAGATATAGGCTTTAGCTAAATAGGCTTTAGATTTGTTTGTTTGTTTGTTTGCTTTTTCGTTCATTTCTTTATTTGTTTGGTTGTGCATAAGTTTACCACCTATCAAATATTTGTCAATTCATTTCATCTACACCTCCCAGACTCGTGACTCGTACAAACGATACATGGTTGATGTCATGGTTTTGTTTGGAGTTGACCGGAAAGATGCTGAGAAACAAATGAATGAAGTATACATGTTGGAGAAAGACATTGCAATGGTAATGATTCCACCTCGATAATGCATACGAATACATGAATGCAACTTAGTGTTGTTTCTGCCTGTTTTTAGATCTATAGGAATCACAATGGACGCCCAAGTTCTACGACGATTCGCCAACTTTCCAACCACACAAACGTAAGTTGTGTTGTCCACTACACTCCTGTAATTCTTACAGCTTAAGTAGGTCAATTCAATATACTGCAAATGCACTATATTAGTGTTTATAATACTATCAAAAGAACAACATGTACTAATGGTATAGTTAAATTTTCACCTTTTTTTGCTAAAATTAACATCTAACTTCATAGTTTGATTGGTATTCGTTTCTGACTGGAATCTCAGCTCGGCAAAGTTATAATTTGTCGAAAGATGAGGTTGTTTTGGTCAAGACAAAAGATATCTTGAGACACGTGGCGGCATTGATAGATAGTACGGATCCAGGGTAAGTTTCGAAAGCTAGAGTTTTGAAGGAAGGATGGGGGGTGGGGAATTGGGAGAGAGAGGACGGCAGGGGGGTATGAAAGGATGCATGGGGACCGGAATAGAAGTAGGAAAGGAATAAAGTGGGATTTAAGGAGGACAGAGAGGTGTAGCAGGGATGGATAAGGAGTAGGAGTGGGTGAATTAAAAGAAAAGGTGAAGAGTGAAGAAGATAACAAGAGGAGGGAATTGGAGACTGCAGAAGGAAAAGTAGTGGAACTACAAGTAACAAACTAAGCACTTGTCATAAGCTAACAGAGATGTATAACTATTGAATAATATAAATATTTTATACAGAGTTTTATCGAATTACATCGCGTGGACAGTGGTCAAAGACGTGATACGACATTTACCAAATGCTTACGTCAATGCACGCCTTGCTTACAAACGACGCATTCACGGCGAGTCGTACGAGGATCTTGAACGATGGGATTTCTGTTATGAAGAAACAAAGAAAGCATTTCCGATGGCCATTGGCTTGATGTATGTTGATGAAAAATTGAATCCAGATGCCAAAGCACGGGTAGGTTTGGGGTTTCCATTTAATCTTTGTTAGTATACAGTATTGGACTTATCTGCATGTGGATAACGCTTAACAAAGGATGATGATGGTCATCACCCAAATTTCCACAAATTCTCTTATGAATTTAGGCAAATGAAATATTTGAGGAAATAAGAAGTGAGTTTTTGAGAGAGCTTGATGAGCAAACTTGGATGGATAACGCTACCAAGAGAAATGCAAGAGAAAAGGTAACAAACCATCTGCCTCGATTTAAAACGAATACATTATGATGAATGCACTCTTCTTTGAGAACTCGGAGCTAGTTTTTCTGTCTCCCGTGAGTGGAAACTGAGCTATCACTGTTCTACTGGTTCTGTAGTAACGCGTTTGATCTCCTTGTTGTTTCTCGTAGGCCGTGGCATCAAAAATTCTGGTAGGGTACCCGGATTTCATTAAGAATGAAGAAAAGTTAAATGCCGAATACGAAGCCGTAAGTAATTCTCTATGTGTTCTTTCTTAATCCATTTATGGTGTCTTTCTTTCTTCACCTGTTTGAGATCCTTCGAAAACCACAGTTGTTCGAAATCAACTAGTTTTCTTGTCTCATTCAACAGCAGTATGGTGGTAGCATTGACTTCTTACTAAGAACTGTTTACGTGATTACATCCAGTAGCCACGAATGAGTTTACCTTTCATTTCTTAGATTCAAGTTAATCGAAGCGAACATCTTAGGACTGTTTTCTCAACGAAGACAGCGGCTTATATGAAGAAAGTCGCCGATTACAAGAAGCCCGTGGATAGAGATGCGTATGGATTAAATCATATTTAAAAATTACATTCTTAATGATGTTTCTATTTTATTTTCAGTATTTCAGTGTTGAGTTATGATTTTGTAATTTTGTAGATTCTCTCACTCACCAGCAGATGTTAATGCCTTCCACTATCCACAGGAAAACAAAAACAGTAAGAAAGTTTCAAAGTTAGTCTAAAATATACCGGATGTACTTTTTTCAGTGATATTCGTCGTTATACTCGTTTAACCGTTCCGTGTCTTTTCTTTTTCATAGTTTTCCTGGCTGGAATATTGAACCCTCCTTTCTACAGCGATAGAAATCTCAGGTATTTACAGGGTATATGCTTTCTGCTCTAGGACACTCTTGTATAAGTTGCTACATATTTTATTCTGTTTAAATAGGAGAATAATTTTATTCAAAGGAAAACGCTACAAATCTTTTATTTGTTGCTGATTTTCTAGAGCATCAAATTATGGAGGAATTGGTATGGTAGCTGGTCACGAGTTGACTCATGGCTTTGACAGCACTGGTAGGGAACAACAGTATATAGATGCATGGTAACAATTTAGCCTCGCTATTGCGGCAACCGTTTTGTTTATTAATAAGTGGATGCCCTATGAAAAAAGACGGCCATATATATAACACTACTTTGTTGCTGAAATTTACCATGCCGAGTTTTACTTGTCTGCTTCGCTCAGTCTATAGTAATTTCAATTTCTTTCATTCAATTTTCAATGATTTTCTTCACTAGCTACTTAACGAGTCCTCTCCCTGTCTGCATCCTTTTTCTTCATAAGGTCGGTTCTATGACAAGGATGGTAACAGCCGTAATTGGTGGACGAGAAATTCATCAATCGAATTTTCAAGAAAAAGCAAGTGCATTATCGACCAATACGGCAGTTTTGAAATGTTTGGAAAAAATGTATACCATTCAGTATATTGTGTTTATAGTCAATTGTTATTCGTCGTTTGATTATGGACAACAGTTTATTAGCAACATAGTTATCTTCTTAATTTGTTCCCTTATTCCAGGTAAACGGAATTTTAACCCTCGGAGAAACTATTGCTGACAACGGAGGTCTAAAATTTGCTTACGAGGTATGTCATGATGAAAATATAGAACTATATAACAACTTTAAACTCGCATGATACACATTAATTTTCACATAAATTTAATGTTGACGGGGTTTTCGGAAGAAGAAGGTAGAAACATACGATTATGGAATATTTCACACATCATTATAACGTATAATTTCTGCTATAATCATTAGCAGTAAAAACTGGCTAAATGACAGCAATCGTGTAGTACCTCGCTGAGGAATAATTTGATTTTTGACAGCAAGTTGCTCTTTCAATAAATGTTACGTCTTATTTCTAGGCGTACAAACAGTGGGTGGCAAAAAATGGCGAAGAGCAAAGGTTACCTGGTCTGGATTACACTCCATATCAGCTGTTCTTTTTGTCATATGCACAGGTAGGATTTTGAAGAATTTCCAGTTTTTAGATCACAATATTTCAGCTAAAACTTGAGAATTAACTAAATACACATTTCGTTTTCGCAGGAATGGTGTTCTAAGTATACACTTCCGGGTGCTTTGGATCAACTCGATAACAAACCTTGGCCACCAATGAACCTCAGGTATGATTTGAAAAACTGATTGATCATGAGGGAAGTAACTGGGGCATTAGGTCGCATTTGCTTCCAGTTTGTATCAGGAGTTCACTTCAATGTCTAAAATTATCTATGCGAGTGATATTCGTTCAAATATTCGAATGATGTTCGAATACAGGGGGTTCATGCATGCCATGAGATAGGTTATTTGATTGGGTCAAATTACTGAAGGCGGTGTTCAGTACACTATGCAATTTTCCTTGCAAATTGCAATTCAATTATAATTGTGAGGGATGTTAATTTGTAAAGAGTGTTTGAAATGCCAAGAAAACGTTAGCAGATCGCAAGAAATGTTCGTGTTTGTCAACTTTAGATGCCTCAGGAGTAGATTGTATTGCAAGTTGCAAGGAAAGTTGCATAGTCTAACACCGCCTTAACTCTGTTATGAAACGCTTGTATCTGTTTCAATATCTAGAGTGGAAGGTGCAATTATGAACTCCGAGGGATTTGCAGAGGCATTCCGGTGTCCCCGAGGGTCACGCATGAACCCCGAGAAGAAGTGCAGCGTCTGGTAATCATTATAAGGTGGCTATAACCGATATTTTTCAAAAGCCACAAATCGTGTTCGTTATTTAAATTTAATATATATGCACTGTTATTTCATACACCAATTCTTCACTTATACCCCTTGACATTTTCCACACTTTATTTCAACTTTATGATAGCTTTATGCTCATTTGTAAACTCCGGCGCTTTTAAAAAATATGTACACATTTTCATTCTAATTAACCGAACTTTAGGTTTGATTACGGTATTGAAATTTTAATAAATTTTCTGAACTCGGGTATGGGACATACACAAACAATGCACGTCACCAATCACTAGGTAAAGCGCTATAAGATTCCGTTTAAAGGTAAATTAAAAAACCCACCGAATATAATCGAATTCGTTCAAACATCATTAACTGGTTAAAAAAAATCTTAAATGTTTGTTTTGAGCATAACAGGATTGCTGTTTGAATGTAAATTAAAAATTACATGTGGTCGTGCCAAATAATTGTACTGTGATGACGTCTGAAAGCAAGGATGAGGCCATTGTTTTAGATTACATTCTCAGTTTGAACTGCCATCAATTCACAACTATAGTGTTTAAGGCTTGCTTCCTCCCACACAGGCCCGGAGCTACGGGGGGGTGTAGGGGGGTGTCACACCCCCCCAGAAAGTTTATTCTTAGGTTTAGTCGGTAAAATTGCTATTTTAGTCGGCAGACAAACATACTGTTGACACTATGGACCGATCCAATATAAACTTGACAAAGTTTCATCCAGAGTGTAATCGGTACAAGTCCGTGGATCAGTCGGTTTAGATTACCTTACACCCCCCCCTGTAAAATATCCTGAGGACGGCCCTGCTCCCACATTGACTGACTGCTTCATGGCGTTGAAAGTGAAGATCTTTCTCTAGAACAAAGAGCAACTTAAAGGACTTTGACGAAAGACTTTCATAAATAACTGCCAATAATTTTAATTGCCCTGACTCGCTTTTAAGGACGTGCTTTAATTAGAGTATTCATTAGGGCTGTTTTAAAGAGACACTTTCGAATATATAATTTCCACACAAGACAATACACGTCTTGTGGACAACACAGACGGGCGAAAAACCAAGAGATTGTTTATTTCATCGATTTATATTAACTTCTGATGAAGTCTCGTGACCCATCAGTAAGTCGTGAATACGAACATAACAGATGGACGTAAGTCATTAATTATATGACTCATATTAATCGACGTTTTTGACGACAAAAAGCTGTGACAAGAATTTACGAACAACACTAAAGTCATACGTTGCTCGAGAAAAGACATCGAGGATGCCGGACGAAAAGAATACGAGCTTTCCTTCGCGGAAAACGAAGTTGGAGAAAATCCTTTTGGCTTCCGTTGCTGTTCTGTGTGCAACCATTGGATTCCTGGTATACCTATACTTGATGCAAACTCAAGAAGCTTGCGAAAATACTGCTGGTGACCACACGAATAAAAGTCCGGAAATATGCACGGATTCAAACTGTGTTGTAAACGCTGCAAGTAAGTATATATACCTTCCATTTTGTACAAGCTAGGGAAATTATTACATGCAACAAATAAAGTGCACACGCGCGATGTACGATGTAGCGTAAATACCTCTTAACGAAACGCTTTAAACTGTAGCCACTAAAATTAAAGTCTTTTAAGTGAGTCGAGTGCTTTAAATGAGTTAATGGGCAGTATACCATAGTGATTATCAAATACATACGTGGATGCTTTTAATCGTGTCAATATACATTAGTACAAGACAAAGACTCTTTTTTTTGCATTTGTGTTTAAGTTAAGCACCGTTCATGAAAGGTATTTCAGCTATTTTTAACTATATAGCAAGCTGCAAAACGTACGATTGACGAGTTCATATCATAGGGCCAGAACGTGTATCGAGATTGATAATGTAATTGACGTAATTGACGGTACAATGGCGAATCGCCCTGCAAAAAATGTACACTATATAAAGTTGAGAAATCTGTGCCTGAAAGTGTACATTGCTGCGAGGCATGGGATTTTTCGGTATCTTTCCTTCCATTTCCCTTTCCTGAGTAAAAGATGAATAGATGATTCAAGGCATGGCAATTTATCAATGTCTTTATTATTGTGCACTAAGTGAACGTCATGTTAATTCTATACCCTCTGGCTCTTAGCATTGTCAGCGGCAAATTTTCGGCATCTGATCTAAATATACTTCAATATATGCTTATAGTATTTAATAAGTTCTTTAGAAAAGTTTCTGTGCCGCTTTTTGGCGTTTTTATATTTTATAACTGTATAACTCGGGATGATATGTTCTTAAGAGGTTTTTTCTTAACCATGCAGCTGACATTTTATTTCAATAGCCAATGATTGGCCGTATACCATTCCGACTCAATCAACCTGCATCGGGGCCGCGGTTGTATATAAAAGTTGTAACTATGGGCGCTTTCTATCAAGCGGCCAAAATGGTCAAACCAGTCGCAGTTTTAAATTGAACAGAGTATTTCGTTAAAAATGTAGCGGCTTAATTGAATTTTCCGTGCTATAGGCAGATGTACATAATGATATACTTGAATGCAGAGTTCTTGAAACACTCTAAAATACCAGTAATCTGTCTGTACTGAAATACACAGGACAGGTCTGGCCGTTTTTTCCGTATTTTTCCACGCCCTATATATAAACATGTTTTTCTGGTAAATCGCAGTTCGTGAAATCAGAATTTTGTCACAATTTTGACAACGTTTTCATACATTCAACGGTTCCTAACGGTTTTCATGAGTTAATTCTTTAATGACAGACACAAATCTAGCCACTGTCATGTATAATATTTGAATGTTTTGAAAATTTTCACTTGCCTATATTTCCTGGGAAGCATTTAGCGCGGCCAGACGTTTATGTGCACACGTGCTTTTAGGGCTGGGCTTTAATCATTTGAGAAAAGAAATTGTTACTCTTACAAACCTCTTCGCGTGGAATGAGGAATTGATAGGCTATCATAGAATCGTTTTTCTGAACAATCACAGTTCGTGACCTTTGAAGAACAAGAAACGTTTGAAGTGTTCTTGATCGACAAATTTAATTTTTTCATTTTAGTTGACGTATATAGATAATTAGGGTATGCAAGTGGTCAAAGAGAGTGAAGATATCTTCTGAAAATATACACGAAAATATACTTTGCATAAAATATACTTTCTGCCTGTGAATTGTGGAGTTTAATTCGAAGGTCGTATAATTTTAGGCAGCGTTTTTTTCATACTGAACCAATCAGAGCCAGGCATGAAATGGTAGCGGGTCCTTTTTGTAAGAAATAGGATATATCTATAAGGCCAAGGTTAGGGCGTTTATTGGTGTCTACAATTTAGAAGGGAAGTCCTTCTCGTTATTTCATTTTTCACCCGGTTGGTGGAGATGATATTGCATGAGGTTTATAATTGTGAGGATGATGATGCATGGTAGCTAATATAGTATTTAGGTGGTTCTGTGCGAGGTAACTCCAAGTGATAATAAAGGATTGTTATTGATCATGAGTCGCCAAAGAAATGCTTCCCATGCAGCTAGAGTCTGAACGTACATGTATTATCTACGTAATTTAATCAGTGTGGCAATGTGGTATATAGTATATTCAATAGTATAACTGATTGTGATGAGTTGAATCGAATATTCGAGGAGGAATATCTTCTGCATCAATGAATAACTCGTGACGAACTGGCTGAAGATATTTGTATATCAGCAATTAAAAACCAATTTTCGGCTTGTTTTATCTTGATTAAAACCCAAACGCACACAATTTGTTGTCATTAACTTGATTGAGTTTATTTGCCGCCCATGACACTAAACTTCATCTCGCTGGCAAAACTCAAAACGCATGTATCAGGACAATATAGATGCATGTCGAATCCAAGTTCAGAACAGGCTAATAAGAACCGTACGTGCATTGCATTTTATCAATGCAATTACTACATTGCCTTAAGACAAGCTATATGCACTATATCATGGACATCGAGTAGATTTGGCAGCGAAACGTCATGAAGTGCTGACTTGCACCACGCAAGACTATATTTAGAGCTTGCATTTGCAATCTCAAAAAGACGGTTGCATAAGACTAAACAAAAGCATGACAAATAGTTAACCTTGTTTAATCTAGATTATGAATATAAGCTGTTTATAATTGAATAATTGCTCATGCTTTAACTAGCGTGACCCTAAAAGTAATCAAAAATTCTTCTGGAAACATTTTTTTAGCCCAATTTCAACAAGCAATTCGCGGTCCTTTTGCAAATGTTATTTTTTCTCAATATCAAACTTCTTAAAATGCTATCGATATAAATAACATCATTTACTATGGCTGAACGTTTTACTCAGTCTTTCGTTTCATTATGAACGATTAGAAGAAATTCAATGGTCACCCGATGGTCTATTTTGTATATTCCAGAAAATCGAGTATTCAGACTATATTTAGTATGAAGAAGACCAACTCTCAGACAGAAAACCCTCTTAAATGCCTTTTTTACGTTCGACATGATTTTCTGTTGACCTTTCTCTTTGATTAACGGATGATTCAGGAAGTTGCACGCTATCTTGAATTGTCTCAATCAACCAATTTGATTTATGAGATGGTCGTTTTGTAGATCTAATGAAAAATATGGACCCTACGGTGGATCCTTGCGATGATTTCTACAGTTATGCCTGTGGGAAATACGACAAAACAACGCCAATACCAGCACATCTGGACTCGATCCACGTTCTGAGACAACTCCAAGAGGCTAATACAGAAGTTCTTAAGAGTATCATTGAGGATAGCAAAGTTAGATCACAATATGCAAAGGTAGAGTTTCAGGCCCATTTCATCCTGTCTTTACGCCATGCATTTGCCAATTTCTTCATGTAACCTCACGCGATTTTAGTATGAGTTACAAAATGTAACTTCTAGATTAACCCTCATTGCTTTTTTTCCATTCAACAGAACCCATCTGTTTCCAAGTTATTCCAAGCGTACGACATGTGCTTGACCCATGGTAAATTTGATGACAAGGCTTTATCGACGTTCCGGGAATTTATAAAACGTCTTGGAAACAGCAATATCACATCGAATGAATGGGATGAAAAAAATTACGATGTTTTTGATGCTATGGTCATCGGCACTCGTCTTAAAATGCATTTCTTCTTCACCACTGAAGTCTGGATTAACCCAAAAAATAGCTCGGAACACGTTTTTGCTGTGAGTTGTTTGCTGTCTCCTGTAAACCGTACTAAACTCTACACTTTAACGTAATTTTTTCAAAAGATCTTGCGTTTTTCTATGACGCAACCCGTAACATCCTCATCTTATCTCAGTCTGGTTAAAAGTCAAAACATGCTCCATTCTTGTTTATTTAGATTTTCGAGCCAAGGTTAGCACTAAACACTATTCTAGATCTTCCGAAGAAGACGACAAAGAAAGAACTGGTATGGCTTTGTATTTTATGCATCAGCATTGCTTATAAGCTCTTTGCAGAGTTAATGGCGGCGTTGTTAGGTTGTTCGGTATTTACTTTTACGTTTCAGATAAGACAGTCCTACAGAGAACACATGATCTCATTGCTGAGGTGGGTATCAACAAATCCAAGCGAAGTCCCGAGAGCAGTTGACGAAATTTTAAGACTTGAAAGACGTATTGCCAAGGTAAAAAACTATATAGACTATAGAGAAAAATGTGCTGGAACTTCACTTTAGCTGCTCTTTGTATCATGTCAATACCGCTCTAGATTCTCACAAGATTCAATTCAAAAGAAGAGTCGACATTTACCATTGCCGAGTTTTCAAAATTTACAAAGGTAGGTTGAATGGTTGATGCTTTTTTATTGCAGTATACCAAAATCTATAGGCCATGTAGGGATCAATACATCACAATTGAAAACGCGGATAAAGGAATCTTCTATCTTGCTTGGAACATTGGAGCTTTCTGCCTCACAAAAATAATCATTAAAGTTTATGTTCCTGTGATATAGTTTGAATGGCTTTCCTTTCTTCAAAACTTGACAAGTGGTATCGAACACCGACCAACTGAAGACGATATTCTATTAGTAGTGAGATGTAAATACATTTTAAAGCATATCATTCGTGTGATCAAAACGACGGAGAAACGGTACGTTGCTGCATGTATAAAAGTACCAATAAATTTGGTTTTCGTGTGCTTCCAACGTTTATATACTTCACGTTGCTTTCTTTCAGCATTATTTCCAATTTCATTGCGTGGAAAGTACTTCAGGAGAGCATTCCCGCCTTACCAAGCATGCTCGGCGAACTTACTAAAAAATTTCAGAATGATATTCGGGACAGACCGGTAGAAAAGCAGAGATGGCAAACATGTATCGAAATGTTGAGCGAATCATTTAAAAAGGTGCTGAGTTATCTGTATGTTGAACGAAAGTTTAGCGAAGATTCAAGGAACAAGGTTGGTACTTTGAATGAGAGTTACCGTTGCAGTACTGTTATGGTTATGGACGAGCTAATTGGAGCTGTGATCAGTATAAAATGGTACATCATTGTTATCATACATTCTTTCAGCATTTTTTTATCACATGCAGGCATTTCAGATATTTGCTGAAATACGAAGAGAATTTGTGGACAGCTTGAAAAACGAAACGTGGATGGATGAAAGGACAAAGATGGCGGCAGCAGAAAAGGTTTGTCACGACTTGTTTGTTTTCAAACTCTCAATTCGCATTCTGTTTAAATGATGACGATTGATTTCTTTCATACGATGAAGGCAAGGGCGATTAATTTTCTTGTCGGGTACTCTGACGAAACGAATCGTATTCAAGAAATTAATACTGCTTTTGAAAAGGTAAGATATCACAGCCATATAAAGTAGGCGAATCGTTTATTCCAGGCCAAGTTGATTTAAAGAAGAAAGGATTCAATGAAAGACGTTAACGCCTTATGTGGCACCATCTTTTAGCACCAAATTATTTGCTTGTTTTATGCTTTTAGTTAAAAGTAAACAAAACCAATTTCTTCGAAACCTTTTTGAACCAGCGACGTTTTGGGGTTGAGAAAGATTTGAGAAAACTTCTTCATCCTGTCAACGAGAACAGGTGGGTGTTCTTTGAAAACTATATCAGTCATAGCTACTATCACGCCTTAGCTATATATAGTGAAAATATTTTCCTCAGTCTATAATTGATAACACAAATCAGTCGAAAACATTGACATTGTGTAACACACCAATTTATGTACAGTTTTTGTGTACAAAAACTTGCTAAAATGAATCAATTTTTTTATTTACAGTTTCGACAAGCTAACTTCTCACGCCAATGCATATTATTCAAGATACGAAAATAAGATATGTAAGTAATTTAATGGCTCGCAAAGATGAACATTATAAGTGTGAACATTATAATGATACTAATGATATAATGTGAACATTATAGTGATGAACGTTATATGAGTCCTTACACAGCGTACAATTACTTTCGTTGTTGTCTAGCGTTCTTGGCGGGGATTCTTCAACGTCCGATCTACGACAGCAGGAATAGCAGGTATAAGCTGGCTTGGCAGGCCACAAGATGTATTTGTGTCGAATTTCGTACTGCATGCGATCTGTAACGCACGTATGCTGACTGTTGTGCGTGCGTTTTGAAATGAAAATATGAAACTGAACACAAATATACATATCAGAGCTACCTAGGAGATAGGTTTGATGTTATGGTACAAGGGTTGTCGTGTACATTAAAGTAGCCCTGTGTTGTTTTCGCAGAGCTTCAAATTATGGATCACTTGGTATGATTGTTGGACATGAATTGACGCACGCGTTTGATATCAGAGGTCAGTTAACCAAATTAGGAGAACTATATAGTCAAGCCTTCATTTCGTTTGAACGTACAATACATCCATAGAACCCTCACCTTTGCCTTTTTTTTCATTCCCATGCAACAAAGGAATTCAGTGCTTTTTGTTGTTATAATTGTAGGTCACAAGTACGACAAGAATGGAAATCTGAGAGACTGGTGGTCGCCACTTTCCTTAAAAAACTTTAAAGAAAAAACGACGTGCTTCACGGAGCAGTACAATAAGTTCACACTCCTAGGAGAAAGCGTAAGACTCGAATAGTATGTGACTTCTTAAAGAAATTAAAACCAACTTAACCGAGAGAGACAGAGATTATCAAGGACCTATTCAACTGGTTGTAAAGTTTCAGATATTCAGTTCAGTTCCTCTGATTCACCAACAGCATTTATGTGATCACTATCCCTTCTCTACACTTCCCTTAGTTCCCTAAACTCTTAATCCATGGTCTGTGGTAGTTATTGTTTGTTTTAGTTAAGCTAAGGGTGTTAAAAGTATTGTACACAATTCTTGAAATTTAACTGCTCTCCTCCATGTTCGACAAAGCTATTGTTAAAATCAATCGTTTCGACCAGGGTTTCAATTATAGATACGAGGGTTCAAAACTCTGGGGGAAAATATTGCTGATAACGGTGGACTGAAGTTGGCTTTCAATGTATGTTTCACAACGTAGTTTATAATACTTCGTCAGTGCCTCAGCTAATGTATGCCTATTTCTCCTGCTGAACAAACCAGGCATTTAAAAGAGACGAGAAGAAAAACAGCAAGGATCTGAAACTTCCTGGCCTCAACCTAACAAACGACCAAGTGTTCTTTTTATCATTTGCCCAGGTTAGTTTATCAACTTACCAACCTGCAGAAAGTGAACTGCAAATACCCCGCGTCTCGCACCTTATGCTAATCTTCTCAGACAATCACGTAAGAGTGTGGTGTACTTCGTGTAGGTCTGGTGCTCAAAATATACAAAACACTGGATACAAAACAGCATCGATAATCGTGTGCCTATGATGTTCAGGTAAGCAATAAATTGTTGGAGAAATATCCCTTATAGAATTTAAGAAAAACTGCCTTGGGCATTCTCCTTAGGATGTTCGCTTCAGCGATTCTTTCTGCCTTATATAATTACTTCTTCAGAGTCACTGGGCCGTTGTGCAATTCAGTGGAATTCTCAAAGGCATATCGTTGTCCCGTTGGCTCGCAAATGAATCCAGTTCGAAAGTGTGCTCTTTGGTGACTGGTGACGAATAAGGTTGAACTACATTGCTAGTCAATTGTGAAAATAGAGGGGGGGGTATTGGATATTATATAACTTACAAATTGCTTTAGAAGCTAAATAACAATTTTTGCGATACATAGCAAGTCTAAGTTAATCGTTTTTTAAACCCTTAAAGAGTATACAAAAGAATTGGGCATTAGTCTGTGCATGTCTCATTCGATCCCCTGCGGAATTTCTGCGTGCAAATTGTCTGCTGTAAATACTGCACCTATCATGAACGAAAAGCGTTTAAAAATCAATAGATACTTCTCAGAAAAACTTCATTATCTGACATTCTACACTTGAAAAGGGCGCAACGCTTCAAAAATATATAATTTCGTATCGTTTACTATTAACACGTCTGTCATAGTAAGTATTTCGGAATTTGACGCGGTTTTGATTATAAATTTAGAACAATGATGGGCTTTGTCTAAAGTGTGACCTTCAGCGATAAGGTTATCAACACAGGTTTGCCGGATGGAACATGCGTTGGGCTGCGCACGTAATTTAACGCAACACTAGCTCGTTCATGAAATTAAAACTGCGCTGCGTCGTGATTAAAACGCGCGCCACTTCCAAAACTGTCAAAACACGATCTGTATACACTACGACCGCGACGAATCAGCGAAAATGAGGATGACAGTATTCTTGGGTTTCGTCGCGCTGTACGCGTTGTCTCTCTGCGAGGCACGAGTTAAGTTGCGTCTCGCGGATGGTAAACATAAATACGAGGGAAGAGTCGAAGCGTTTGTCAATCGCCAGTGGGGACCCATCTCCGCAAAGGATTGGGATAAAAAAGCGGCACAGGTCGTCTGTAGGCAGCTGGGATTTGGTGGCGAAGTCATACGATACACAAAGGGGTAAGTTACGTTAAAATACACTTTTGAAATCAAATATTTACGCAGCTCTATGTCTCTATCGCGTCTGATATTATTTTTTACGCAAGTTTGTCAGGTGTAATGTAACACTTTCAAATTAGGTTAGAATTGATATGTCAACTACGTCAAGTTTTATATTGACAGTTATAATGTAACTTTTGAAGCAGGTACGTCATTCGTAAGGAATTATATAATTATTCAACATTTCATTCAATGCAACTTAGCGAGCCGAGTTATGGAAAGTACTTCAATTATATTAGTTGAACAACTTCATCAGTTCTAAAATGTTTAAACATGAATTATATAAGTGAAAAACGTAGACACCCTTGTAGACAGCGGTGGAATATCGGTTGTAGAAGTTTGTTAAACTCTTCCCACCACAGGGAATCGGCAAGCTGTCTGTCTTCAGTTTTGGAAAATAATTGAAGGACTTCAATAGGACTTTTTTTCTAATAAAAATATGGTAGTAAAATATGACCATGTAATCATATCACGAGTTGTTAATGTGGAATTCAATGTAGAATAGTTTAATTCTTGTTTCTTTTTATTAAAGAGTAACTTATAGTCACCCAAAGAGAGTTCGGACAGTTTGGCTTGAGGAGATCAATTGTGAGGGAACGGAAAACCACATTGACCAATGCAATCATAGCGGATGGGCGAAGCCCAAGAGAAGATTGTCATTTTACAATTTAGCTGGTGTCATGTGTTATACCGAGGAAGGACGTATCCTGCTACCCCCGGTGGATTCTGCTTGGGGTGATATTGATGTAAGTAATTGTATCAGTCTCGCTTGAGCTGAGCATCTCTTCAATCCTCGAAGCAGATACCACGGTTATTTACTCAGGGTCTCAGGGAAGATATCATGATGTGACGAATTTATCTGAAAAGTGAAGTAACCACTAAACAGAATATTTTAGTAAATTCTAAAGGTTTTCTCAAGGGTCTTAATTTCGAGTGGAATCATACATAACTCGATTCAAGCCAGAAACAGTTGAGAAAAATCAGTCAACTATCGGCTTGAATTGAAATGAGTTGTGTATGATTCCACTCGAAATTAAGACCCTTTAAAAAACCTTTAGAATTTACATCTACATCGAGTGAAGTGCTACTTTTAGTATTCTAATATTGAATGATTGATTGATTGGTTGGTTAACAGGTATCAAAGATAAAGTTCTGGCTTGAGGGTAAAGTGGAAAACGGAATCATCAGTGCTGGATATCTTCGCATCTCCTACCAAACCATGCAAGGATACGTCTGCGCTGACAACTGGCAGTTTCATTCTACGAGGGTGGCTTGCGGGCAACTTGGTTACTCCGAACCTCAAGATTTCGAGGCGGAGAGAAATGACGGGCCTTTTATTTTGAACGGGCTTACCTGTGATGGAACAGAATCGTCAATGTTGTCATGTAACCACACTGGTTTCATCCAAAGCCAGCAACCTTGCCGAAGTAATGCCGCAGTATGGGTGAGGTGTAAGGTGTTCAACAGGACAGTCAAATTCAAAAATGTAAGTCATGCAGGTAGTTTTAGTTCTGGTCGTAGGCCTAAAGTCACACTTCTTTCTGAAGACTCGTGACAGTTGTAAGGTATAAAATTCAGGAACCAGTAAGCTTTCGTGACAGTTATAAGTTGGGAGAAGTCTTCGTTTTTCAAAATACAAGTATATTCTGTCCGATTTTACTTCCCGAGCATGCAGCGTCTCACTCACGACGATAAGCAATCTAACTCTAACTCTATTCATAGTCAGCGAATCTTAAACTCCGTGGGGCAGCTTATCCATGGGCTGGGCGCGTTGAGCTCAAATATAAACACACCTGGACTACACTGTGTGATGATGAATGGAACTTGGAAGCAGCGAACACCGTTTGTCGTACGCTGGGTTACGGAACAGCACTTCAGGCGAGTCGTGCCGCAAAGTATGGACAAGGAACTCAATTGGTACGTCCGTATTATGTTTGAGTATGACTCGTAGTACATTAGGCCACGACTAGTGAAATTTAGGTTTGACTACAAGTACGAGAAAACGCAGAAATACGAGAGTTTTTCGATCAACATCTTTTAAAAACTTTTACAAAACTTCCATGGGATTTGGTTCGACTGTTGTTTTTAAAATTGCTTTGTGAAAGGTAGGACAATAACAGGTTTCCATTACAGCCGTATTTGACGTGAAATTTGGTAGTAATAAACTGCTCAAGATGTCATAAGCATAGTAATATTCATAGCATGTGGTTGATCATTAATACTTGAAACCAACTGTCGTGTATATCTTTAGACCATTGTGGAAGGTATAAAATGCAAGGGAGATGAAAAAAATATCGAGGATTGCGCGTGGACCGTGCTGGAACCGCGGACCAACTGTACTCATTTTGAAGATGCTGGTGTGCATTGCAACGCACCCAAGTACCAGCTGAAAGAGGTATGTTAATTAAACTGATGTGTTCTTGTGGACAATCCATTCACAGACCCCTTCCTAATCCCCACCCCAAACATAGGGATTATTTAGTTCTGAAATGAATCACTGTCGGCCACACATCACCAGTCCCCGACAGTGACTCAGAAGTGAATCAATTTCAATTTGAAACAACAGGTTCGATTAGTCGGTGGAAGAAACTCTTCTGAAGGCCGCGTTGAGGTAAAGATTGGCGGAAAGTGGGGCACAGTGTGTGGCGATCATTGGCATGTAAAGTCGGCGATGGTCGTGTGCAGGGAACTGGGCTTGAATTTTGCGGAAAAGAACATCACTGGGAGGGAGTTTGGTGTTGGAGAGGGAATGGTGATGAGTAATCCTATTTGTATGGGAGATGAAATATCGTTGACGCAATGTCTCCGCGACGAAAGTTTCACGTGTTCATCCCCTGACAACGTCGCCGGTGTTCGCTGCACAGATGGTAAGCAGTAGTTTCAAAATCTGATTGTCGTTTCTTCCGACACTAGCTGAACATCTCTTCTCTCTTAAGCGCTTCCCGATTTGGCTTTGAGCATACGAGATATCATTCGAACCCTTCGAGTGGATTACTTGCCCAATCAGATGTTGCGTTGCGCTTGGGAAGAGAACTGCCTGCCAAGCAAAGCCAACAGATACATGGACGAAACTTACATACGATATTACACAAGACGTTTGATGAGATTCAGCACAGTTATATTAAATTTTGGCTCGGCCGACTACCGACCGTTAGCGAAGAAGGAAGACTGGATCTGGCATAGTTGCCATAAACACTTTCACTCGCAAGAGGAATTCGCCACTTATGACTTGCTGAGTAAGTAGCTACGCCTACGGTGAACCGTTCACGGTGAATCTACGGTGAACACCTGCGCTCAAATGAAGCTATGATTAAGGTGTAAACTTTTGAAAAGTTAACATCTGTATTCTAAAAGTTCACGAACTCATTGAGTGGAAAATCGCAATCCTCTCATAACGTTTCTATGGCGGTATTTCTACTCGAAAAGAACTTGATTTTCATTGCATTACCTTAAATCTTTTCCTTGATTAAGAAAGAACTTTTTCTTTAGTCAGTAAATACATCTTCAAACCTACTGTTTTACCTTTTTTAGCTGCGGACCGAGCGAGACGAAAGGTGGCAGAAGGGCACAAAGCGAGCTTTTGCCTTGAGGACACGAGTTGTCTGAACGGGGTAGACAGAAAGTACAACTGCACTGCTGGAACTCAGGGCATCTCTTTGAACTGTTTTGACGATTACTCGTTTAGTATTGATTGCCAATGGATCGATGTCACCGAAGTGCGCTATTTGAGACCTTACATATTTCACGTGAACATCAATCCTACATTGGAAGTCCCCGAGACAGATTTCGACAATAATGTTATTGTCTGTGATATTTATGATAGAGGCTCGTTCATTCGCGTCCGGGATTGCGGCTACGGTGAGTGCACGAGAGCTTTTGGATTTGATTTAAACGCAACATAACACAACTGCCTAAAAGTAAAATAGGAAAAACTTTAGGGCACTTGTTATTGTACACACGCTTTGAAACTAAACTTTCCATATTCAATGACAATGTTTTGCTGTAGATTACTGCACAAGTGGCCTCAGATCTCATGGTGGTAACGCAAACAGAGCTTGTTGCGTATTTCCGTTCAGATTCCGAGGCGTTTGGTATAATACATGTACCAAAACGTCTCTGGACAAATATTGGTGTTCCACGACAACGATTTTCGAAGATGACTACAAGTGGGGACTATGCTAGTCTGTCACAATTACAGACCAAATCACTGCTGCAATTTTTAAATTTCTGTATAGTGTTAAAGTATAATTTGTTAATACACTCCATTAAAGATTTCTCCATTTGGAACTATATTGTTGTTTCATTACAGTGTTCATTAATGATGGCCCAGTGGTTAAGGCTATTGCCTACAGTCTGATAAGTAGTGGGCTCGAATCCCTGCAACGTTTCCGCCTTTTCAACCGAATTATTTTTCATTTCCAAGACTTCAAAGGAAGGATAAGGTGAAGGAAATTGCTAGTCTTTCACTTCAAGCACTGATGGCCTAGTGGTTAAGGCGATGGCCCATTTTTTTTGTTTTTGGTGTTCTTTGACTTCTGGCTTTTGATTGGTCGAAATTAATGATGGGCACCTTGCTGTTTCCAAGACATGGAAACACCAAAAACACCAAAATGTTCCAAAGTGGACCATGAATTGGACCTACTCATTTTTACGTCATTTTCCACAATCGGATTCATTTTGGCCTATAAGGCCTGTTTCAGACGTCGAACTTTTCATGTGCCGAACGTAATGTTAATGAACTAAAGTCTTTGTTTAAGCTCATTTGCATTCGATTCGGCACATGAAAAGTTCGACGTCTGAAACGGGCCTGAGCGACAGAAGCCATGACTACTGTGCGAAAAGATACATAAAATACAATCTTTATGTTCTTGATCACGGTTACTGATCATTATACTACACAAGTTTCATAGTGTATTAAACTGGCTAATGATCGATTACTCACAAGCAAACAATTAGAATTAATTTCTCAATCTCATTTGAGTGATCGGTTGAATTTAAGCTACAGATTTTCGAAATATACGACAAACTCATCATGAATGTTTAATTCTATTTTACGGGTGACAATTCAAATTTCAGTCTCGTTCACGACACTGCATGCAGGCTATAATCTTCTTCAGTTTAAATTACGGCTCCTAAATACACATATAAGCACACAGGATAAAGCCGATGTGATCAAATTAAATATGTTTGATCCGCTGATCATGACAATGCATTTTTGGCATTTACGTAACTATTATAACTTATGTAATCTCTGGTAACCAAGCCGGGGGGGGGACAAGGATTGAATATTAAGTGAGATATTGTATTCATAAAATGTGTAGTGTCAGTGTAGTATTAAAACGTAGGACATTTTGTTCATGTTTTATAGAACCTCTGTCGAAAGAGAGAATTCATGCATTATAAGTAAAATACGTTCAATAAAAGTACGTAGTATTTCGAAATATTTATATATTAAAAAAGTAAACATCTCTGTATGAACTTCGATAAACCCCCTCCTGAAAAGCACGATTACCATCATTTAACAATATACTGGTGTAGTGCCGTCATGACATTTGGCAGTGAAATCCGGTGACCGTTGTTAACATGATGGTTTTCGCTTCATTCTCGCTTTCATTGTTCACCTTTCTTGCTATTTCGTCGCTCGGCAGATCCGATGAGCCAAGCAAAGTAGATATCCAAAAGCGGCTATTGCAAGACCAGTTTGGGGAGAAGTTATTGGATTCTTACCGCTCAGCGTTGGTAGGCTTTTCCAATGGTTCCATTCTTCTAAATGGCAGCTTACCGAATAACGATCAATGTGCGAATGATTTGGCCAACATTAAGAAAGATGGCGCTAAACTGTTTAAATGTAAGTGCATTGTTTACAAGTGATAATTAGGTTGCAATTATTTTATTGACAACGGATGAACCGAATTGTAGCAATTTGTGATTTCGAAAATCGTCGAAACATTCAGTATGGCAATGATGTGCGCACTTTAGTATGTAATGCATTTTGCTCGGTAGATATCAATCATATCATCATTATCATGTGGACATGATATTGTGTATTGTCATTTGACATAATTGAGTAATACCAAGATTACATCATTTACATGTTTATAGCTATATACATTGGGTTTCCAGTAGATAGTTTTGTTAGCTCATCAACTACCAGTACTCTTCCACTGTTGAGTAAAATCATCTGGCATTTATAGACAAAGTAAAATTACTAAAGTAGGGCATATTTGGGAGCAATGCAAGCTTGATAAAGAATCTAGGAGTTCTGACACCATCAACATTCCATTTAGAAGCCTATTATGTATAAGATATTTCTACCAATTGTTTCCACCTAGACTTTGATACTGCTGGAAAACCAAGAAGTGGCATTTCACGTGGGAATCTTCTTTGGCTTGGTTCATATAGTGAATGTTTGGCCCTTTCTGATGCCAAATATTGTTTGTCCACCATGGAGTTGGATTACCCACCTCTGAAAATTGTATGTAAAAAAAATATAATTTTTACTGCTAAGTTCTTTATTTCTCAGTTCAAACAGCAAGCTGAAACAATTTGTAATAGTTGTCCAGCAAAGTGGTTTACGTAAGTATTAGAATAGTTATTGAATAAAGTTTTTATGTGTAATACTTCTCACATATGTTTAAATTTATTTCAGGCAATTAAACCAATCTATTGGGGGGCATGTTTTCCAAGAAGCTGCAATGCAGCTAATATATCCTCTTTGATGAACAAGATATTACCGAAAAGTATTAATGACAATTAATTCAATCATATTAATGAAACCAAATGACTTCAAAATATAGTTCTGACAGTATTTCAAAACAACTGTTTGTTAAATTTTGTAGTTGAAACAGCAACAGGTATTTACATAAAGTATATTGGTCCTCTTTGCCCTGAGGGACCAACTTACACCACTGGCGTTAAAGCTGCAATGTACGTAAAACTTTCTTCACTACATCAATTGAGCTAGTAATAAATGGGAAAAGGACTAAACCAGTATCATTCTTTGCATATAGAGCATTTTTTGGCATTTTGTTATTCTTTTGCCTTCTTGGAACCATTATTGATCTGGTTTGTGAAGAACGGAAGGAAGTTTTATCTGCAAGAGAGCGACAACAAAGTGGTGATGGTTTGGTAGAACATGTACAACTGCCACCTTGTGAGGATAACCAGTATCCACAGAGTCAAAGTGTGGGAAACATTCCTGGGACAAGTTCCGATATGCATCCATTGCTAGTTTCCAATCCTACTTTCACATGTCCTAGAATTTTCGACATCCTGTTTGAAATCTTTTTTATAGTACTAGGTACGTTTATGCCAAATGCTTAATGTATTGTCAATTTATCTGTGGAGAAGGTAGATTTAGTATTACCTCAGTGAAATCAAGGACTGGTATCAATCTACCTTACCCACCAATAAAATATTAAATATTCTATGACTGCCATGTACTGGCAAAGTTAAAATTGGACAATCCCCTCACTGGAGTTGCTCAATAACAAAACTATCATATTATTGCCAGAAAATCCCACACATGTCAACTTTCTTTTTTAGGATTCATGAAAGATTTTCTTCTCTGTTTTTCTCTTGTGCGTAATAGCCAGAAGATATTCAATACAGATGTGCCACCAGTTGCAATCACCTCAATCAATGGTATCCGTGTCATAAGTATATTATGGGTTATGTTGGGTCACATGTTCTTACTTTTCATCTTCAGCCCGTTCACAGGTAAGAATAAAGATATTAGAGGAATATCAATACTTATCATGCTGCATAGCTAGAAGCCTGTATTTAGTTTTGGGTATAAAACCCTGGTCAAACAAGAATTAATAGTTTAGAAGCGAGAGAGTTTACTCTAGTGCGATGGTCAGACGAGAATAAGAGTTGATGAAAGTCGAGAAGCAAGAGTTGACTGGATGTTACCGCAGGCATAGCAGCGACTATTTTGTACTCTTTTGTATTTATTTTGTACTATTTTGCTGAGCCTGCTACTATAAAATGCAAGCCACTATCTGTTTTGCAAAATGCAACTCTCATCAACTCTCATTCACTCATTCCCGTTTGACCGGGACTTAAGACAGTGCAAACTGTAGACAAGTAAATAAATTCATTTAGACAATAAAGCTGGTCTTATTGAGGATAGCCAATTGTTAAGCATCATGCCCGTGATAAATGGATATTATTCCGTGGATAGTTTTTTCTTTTTGAGGTAGGGATAAGTCTATTTTTAAAATAAGATAAAATTATTTTGTGGTTCGGATCATATTTTCCGTTTCACTACTGTTAGACTGACGTTATCGTCTTTTTTGTTTTGCTAAATCTCGTATTTAGCGGACTTTTGGTGGCGTACACTTGTTTCAGAAAATTGGAAAAAAGTGGCGGAATTTTCAAGTTCAATTGGATTTTGTTTTATGTACACAGATACTTAAGGTAGCTACAGTATACACGACAACTGATATTTCGTTAATGGCCATTCTCTGCCGAAATCATACAAGATAATTGGTACTTCTTTAACCATTCCCGGTTAACAACACATAGTTATAACCTGATGTAGGCTAACCCCAACGCTCATGGCGGTGGTTCTCATATCAGTCGAGCTGAAGAGATTTTTAGCAAGTGGCCCTATCTGGTATCAACAATATGAAGACAAACTCTGCGAAGACTATTGGTGGACTAACTTGCTCTACATCAACAACTTTCATCCAAAGACACTCGGAGATGAGGTATACAAATGCTGAAATGCTCAGGAATCACACTGGAGATCAAAGACAACCTTATATGCTATTATGCAAAAGAATATTTAGCAAATCATCAATGATACTCGAGTTTCAAACATGTTTTTCGGCAAAGACATGCACCCACTATATATAATTCTACTTGTCTTTCAGTGTGTCGGAGTATCCTGGTATTTGGCGAACGACATGCAGTTTTTTGTCATCACGCCACCGTTGTTAATTCTTATGTATAAGTATGTTTGTGTAATTACCTTAAAAATATTGACAATACACTTCAACACAAACGCAAAATAGCGCCAGAATCGAGCTAATTTCAGAGTGTTTTGCCCTGGGTTTGTTTGTGCGAGCTATTCTCTGATCCATGGCTATTGATTTGGTTATTGACAGGTTTGGATGGGCTGGTCTAATTGGTCCAGGCACATTACTTTCGGCATCGACCATCGCCACTGCATTCATCTATGGCAACTGGGACTTGGATCCCTTTTCATCATTAAGAATTGGGCAAACCACGAAGACACCAGAACAGTAAGCTTTTAAATTTCTAGTTTAGTTTTCTGTTTAGTGACCCAGACGAGAAATTCATGGCATATTTACGACATATTATCGTCTTCAACCTTCAGATTATAGTAATTTTGAATCTCTGATCACTTTTTCTTCTCTTAAGGACAAAGAGATCAAACGAGTACCAACAATATGTTTACACTAAGCCTTGGTGCAGAGCACAGCCTTACCTGGTCGGCTTCATTCTTGGCTACTTCATTTACAGATATTCCATTCGACAAAGTCTTAACATACGGCGACGATATTTTGTTTTTTGGGTAAGTACACTTGATGACTACCAAATTAAGCTATTGGGGAGGGGCTGGGCATGGCGATTTATGCTTATATCACCGCCCTTGCCTGAGAAGCAGCCTTCACAGTTTACTTCCGTGCATGTGTCCACTGATGCAACCTAACCTCTTTTGGGTGAGTAAAAAAACATCACCAGTCTTCCATTGCAGCTGCGTTTTTGCAAATAATATATAACGAAGTTTTAAAAACGCAGATTCGCTATAATAATTTTATTGATACTCAAGAATGGAATGAAGCAAAGGGAACAAAGAGTTACCCATAAGGTCTTGTCGAACTAGTTAGATCAAGTCAAAGTTCAAGGCTGGTTGAAATTGGCTTGAGTTTTTGAGAATTGACTTGGAGCGCCGGTGAACTCACTCGCCCTTTCATTAATGTTTCCAGTCTATCACAATCGTTGGCTGGGCGATTGCAGCTGGTCTAGGGATGTGGTTGGTATACGGACCGCACAAATTCATCAAGAATGGTGCAGAAGAATGGCCTCTTGCTGGGAGGGTTGCCTACGGGGCGACAGAACGGTTGCTTTGGGCACTGGTTTTGGCATGGGTTACCTATGCATGCCATTTTGGCGGAGGAGGTACGCAGTGATCTCGAAACAAAAACTGGATAGTGCATCAATGTATAAAACGAATGTGCACCTGTCCATTTCTAGGTATTGTGAAGAAATTTTTATCGTCAAAGTTCTGGATTCCGTTCAGCCGTCTGACATTTAATGTTTACCTGATACATATTTACGTGATAACTGTGATGATGATTGGATCTCAAGGATATATTCACTACGACTCTTTTACCATCGTAAGTCAAAGACAAAAGTTTCGAAAATAGATAGAAAAAGCTGTTGGTAAATTGATTGGTATGGTATGGTATGGTATGGTGTGGTGTGGTGTGGTGTGGTGTGGTGTGGTGTGGTGTGGTGTGGTGTGGTGTGTGGTATGGTATGGTATGGTATGGTATGGTATGGTATGGTATGGTATGGTATGGTATGGTGTGGTATGGTATGGTATGGTGTGGTGTACTTTGGTGTGGTGTGTGCGGTGTGGTATGGTGTGGTGTGATACAGTAGCTTAGTGTTGATACCTTTAAAACTCATATGATTTTTCATTTTAGTCGTACTACTTCGCTGCAGCAATTATGCTCTCGTATGCAGCTGCGTACATGTTGGCTGTAACTCTTGAACTTCCCCTTGACAATCTCGAGAACCTTGTTATTAAGAGACTCAGGGGCCGACGAATTTGAGTTTTTCAAGTAGGCGAATTTGAGGGGCGGAAGAATTGCAGTGTATTTAGAGAGTATTTTGATTGTGAACCTTTTCTAACTGCACTATATAGCTATATTTAAAATAGATTTTAAACTAATTTAAATCACAAATCAATTTATACATAGATTTATGTGGATCTAAAATAATTTTAGTTCAACGACAACTACAGGGTGCATAAAAAACGGCAATCCTGATAATTCCTAGGGGCGTACGATCCTTTGTTATTGAAAAGAAGCGAATATTATAATTAATTTCGTTCTCTTTATGCACCCTGTACAAATTCATTATAGTGAGAATTTGTAAATCGACATGAGTTTAGCTTGAGTTTAAACGTTTCATTTATCATTCACAATTTGACGTTGTAGACGTTTTAAATAAACAGAGCTCAGAAGTATTCCTTTTTATTGCGGACCCTTAATTATGTATCGAGCAAGTTTTTCTAGTTGTTCTTTTTAACACAAATTTGTATAAAAAATTACTCGAATGAAGCTTAGCTCTGTTTTTAAGGCCTAGGTTAAACGTCGAATGCAATTCGAAAAATAGTTATTTAGATGATAATAAGCTTTGTGACGCGAGCAAAATACTAAGCCCAAACCTTGACTTAACATGTTAATTAAAACACTGCTATTGTTTTAGTTGAACAACAATACAATAAACACGTGCCAAAAGAGATATTTTTGCATAAGTTTGAGTATAACTGTGCTTCCCGCTTAATTGCGCTTCCCGCTAGTCAGCAAACGTTTATCTTAAGATGAACTCTTACGAAGACATTCAGTTTGTTTAAATTAAGAAAATTGCTAAATCATGGTTCATCGTGTTATGAGTTTCCCTGTGGCTGTGCTATCTGGCAACGTTAAGTAGCAAAGCTGATAGTTCTAATCTTTTATCGGTTCCCACGCGATTTTATAAAGGTATGTGAAGTTACAACGCATGATGCTTATTAAATAACTTTGGTTCGAACAAAGTACATCGCCTTGATATCTATTTATGCTAAAGTTAGGAAGTCAAACGCAAACGTCCCGTTATAGTTAAACAAAATACTGATTGTGTATTAAATGAAAGTCCTCGAGAATATAAACAGGATGAAAAGCGGCGGCTTTAACGAATCATTCGTCATTCAAGTGTATTAGCTATTATAGTTCAGCAACTGCCTGGCAACAGAAAATCTCGATATTTCGACATAAGTGAAGTGCCTATCTCCAGGAATGCTAGCACACCATCCCACTATCTGTTCTGCGAAAGCACGCTTAGGTCAAAGCGTCCCGAAATCGTATAGCCCTCTCCCACATTCGATGGCCTTAATTCTTCCCGTTTGACCGTATATATAACTCGTTCAAATGTGGACTCGTGGACATGAATTATGATTGTGAGGATTAGACAGAGATTATATAAAATCAGATATATTTATGGATGTTCAATGCCTAATTAAATTTCCTGTTTCTTTGAAAGCCGTTCAGCTTAAACGGTGGATAATTTAAAAGCATATTAACACACATTTCGTGCACGTAATTGACTCGCACTCAATTAAAAATCATCTTACTTCGACGTTTGATGAATGTTTGACTGTTGTAATGCATGTGATTCGGATTTCGGAACGTGTTTTCTTACATAGATACACGGCTAAAATTGGTTTGAACAAAGATGGCTGATGTTATTGATGAGTGCTGGTTTTATATCACCTTGATTTTTAAAGATAGCTATAATTAAGCAACAACCTGGAACATATTTATCAGCATTGATCGACGATTAGTTTCTGCTTGGTCATCTGCACAGAAATTTCGCACGGAGCTAAACGAAGCATGCATATTTGCATGCAAAGACGAAATTTCCAATGTAAATAACGGCTTATATATCCATTCACGTAAAGGGAAACGAAGTTTCACGGAAATTACCACAATTTCTGTGCAAACGTTAACGGACACACACGACGAGATTTACCACCTTGGCTTGGCAAATTCATTTTTTGTTTCGCGTGCTATATGCAAGCAAATCAGTCTTGCATTTGTATTATATAATAACTATAGTGAAACACGCAATGTGATTGGTCAATAGCCGTGCAGGATCAGACAATCCTGCACGCGTTTTAGACAATCCTGCACGCGAAATTTAATTTTAATAAAGTTAACCGTTGTTTCACTACAGTTATTTTATAAAACAATAGGGGGTCTCAAGGTTTCCGACGCCATTGGCCAGGGGGTGCAAAAACATTGGGGCGAGCGCGCGGCCAGAGCGATTTCCCATACAAATCTATAATGAGTGATCGAAATTTACATTTGCGCATTTCGCTCGATTTTTGCAAAACGATTAAAACGTTAGCCAATTTAATAATTGCTGATCGATTATTGGGTTCTTTTTGATATGTGGCTGGAACTTCATGTGAATCAGAGACCGAGAAGTGTTAAAATATCGCGATTTTGTCGAGGTGTTTTTGCGAGCTGTTTACGCCATTGGATCTTCACAGACAACCTCCCTTTACTTGATTTTTGTCGTGGTAAGCGCTAAAATAAAGAAATTTTTAGCACAACAAGAAAAGAGGAAAACACATATGGAGATAATGTGTAACTTGATAACCTGTGCCAGCTGTGCGGTTGACAATCACTGTTGTATTGCTATGGAAATCTACTACGAGTGGTGTCACATATCACTTGATAGCGTCTGCTCATCGTGTATTCACTGCGTCTGGAAAGCTCTTTTATCTATTAAATTTTTCGAGCGTTGTCTTACTTGACTTCGGTGGAAAGAGTACATATAATCATTGCGATATGGCAACAAAACAGCCTGAAGAAAGTCTCTCGTATGAGGATTTTATAAGCTGGACGCTCTCCACGCTCAAAGACTTTTTGGGCATTTGTGGCTTAAAGCAAACTGGTACGAAATCGGAACTTGTGGCTAGAGGATTTGGGGCATATGAACTAAACGCTCCCAAAAAGTTTACACAAGAGCAAATATCCGCAAGCATTAAGAAGGAATACGAGAAAAGGCTTCAATATCACAAAATCAAAACCGACCCAAACAGTTTGCCAGATAATGCCTGGAAGGACAGTGTAGCATATTGACCTCAGCTAAATGATGGTAAGTTATTTAGTTACATTTTAAAAGTTAAAGCAGTAGATGTTGATTATATCGGCAAATACAAAGATGAAAAGGCGTATTCTTATTGGATGAGTGGATTTGTGGACACGGTGTATGTTACAGAATGTCCTACAGATGCCACCATGATTTTCTTAAAAGGCAATGTATGTCCCTCACAGAGGGTCAGAGATAACCCACACAAAGCATGGATCTGTGTCCGAGGTAAGAACTGATGAGCCTAATGTTTTAACATCATGGTGCACTTGTATAGCTGGCACCGGGGAGGTTTGCAATCATGTAATAGCTATACTTTATAAAATAAACTTTGCTTTTCATAAAAAGTTTATAGCTCCTGCATGCACAAGTATGCCACAAGGCTGGAATAGGGGGACAAGAAAAGAGGTATAAAAAGTTTATAGCTCCTGCATGCACAAGTGTGCCACAAGGCTGGAATAGGGGGACAAGAAAAGAGGTAACACCTGGGCAGATAAAAAACCTCACAAAAAGTTTACAGCTCCTGCATGCACAAGTATGCCACAAGGCTGGAATAGGGGGACAAGAAAAGAGGTAACACCTAGGCAGATAAAAAACCTCACTTATGAAAAGCAAAGTTTATTTTATAAAGTATAGCTATTACATGATTGCAAACCTCCCCGATGCCAGCTATACAAGTGCACCATGATGTTAAAACATTAGGCTCATCAGTTCTTACCTCTGACACAGATCCATGCTTTGTGTGGGGTATCTCTGACCCTCTGTGTGGGACATACATTGCCTTTTAAGAAAATCATGGTGGCATCTGTAGGACATTCTGCAACATACACCGTGTCCACAAATCCACTCATCCAATAAGAATACGCCTTTTCATCTTTGTATTTGCCGATATAATCAACATCTACTGCTTTAACTTTTAAAATATAACTAAATAACTTACCATCATTTAGCTGAGGTCAATATGCTACACTGTCCTTCCAGGCATTATCTGGCAAACTGTTTGGGTCGGTTTTGATTTTGTGATATTGAAGCCTTTTCTCGTATTCCTTCTTAATGCTTACGGATATTTGCTCTTGTGTAAACCTTTTGGGAGCGTTTAGTTCATATGCCCCAAATCCTCTAGCCACAAGTTCCGATTTCGTACCAGTTTGCTTTAAGCCACAAATGCCCAAAAAGTCTTTGAGCGTGGAGAGCGTCCAGCTTATAAAATTCTCATACGAGAGACTTTCTTCAGGCTGTTTTGTTGCCATATCGCAATGATGATATGTACTCTTTCCACCGAAGTCAAATAAGACAACGCTCGAAAAATTTAATAGATAAAAGAGCTTTCCAAACGCAGTGAATACACGATGAGCAGACGCTATCAAGTGATATGTGACACCACTCGTAGTAGATTTCCATAGCAATACAACAGTGATTGTCAACCGCACAGCTGGCACAGGTTATCAAGTTACACATTATCTCCATATGTGTTTTCCTCTTTTCTTGTTGTGCTAAAAATTTCTTTATTTTAGCGCTTACCACGACAAAAATCAAGTAAAGGGAGGTTGTCTGTGAAGATCCAATGGCGTAAACAGCTCGCAAAAACACCTCGACAAAATCGCGATATTTTAACACTTCTCGGTCTCTGATTCACATGAAGTTCCAGCACATATCAAAAAGAACCCAATAATCGATCAGCAATTATTAAATTGGCTAACGTTTTAATCGTTTTGCAAAAATCGAGCGAAATGCGCAAATGTAAATTTCGATCACTCATTATAGATTTGTATGGGAAATCGCTCTGGCCGCGCGCTCGCCCCAATGTTTTTGCACCCCCTGGCCAATGGCGTCGGAAACCTTGAGACCCCCTATTACCAAATGATTTTCCGTGCAGGATTGCGTGATCCATGCACTTGGGATGTTGCTCGACTTTCGGAAAGCGTGAAAATACACTCGCCTACGGCTCGTGTATTTTCACGCTTTCCGAAAGTCTCGCAACATCCCGCGTGCATGGATCACGCAATCCTGCACGGAAAATCATTTGGTATTCCTTTATTCATGCTCATAACCGGCAATACCAACGATCAGTTCAAAAACGTTACGACTAAGTAGGAACTGCGCTTTTTTACCGGTTGTTTTGCCGGATTGTGAAATAATGGGGCTTCTAATAAATCAAACCATTGACAGGATGCCTAATAAGGGCTTAGTCAAATTGTTCCCTGCAGTCGTACAGATAAAATATATATTTGCATGAAACCATTTGATATCGCGAAAAAAAAACAGGACCAATGTCGTAAACCAGAATGAGTGTTGAAAAAAAACGACAGCAAATGTTAAAGTATGGGCTAGAATCACAGTATAGTGTAAGCTGAAATCTGCTCAATAGAAAACAAGTTTTTCGAAGTTGCAGTACCAGATAATATTGTTCAACTAAGCAATACGGAGGTAAAAGTTCCGAAGAATCACAAAACAGTGTAAATGATTACTTGTTATATGAAGTATTCTAGCGTTCAGATCAACTGGGCATAATTTTACGTAGCAGCGCAATACTTCCGAACATGAATTTATACAAGCTCAAAATGCTAACGCGATTGAGAGTGATCTTTCTTTGTTATAACGCGTGCATTCTAAAAAGATAACATTCCTGTTTTATCGCTGGGAAACTCCATGCATGCGGCTACTTAAAAGAAATATTCATATATGAATAAATAAAGATCAGAAGTCAGACAACGTTTTCATGATTATTCTTAATTCTTAGACTTAAAACGACTATATACATCTCGATGACTCGAACAGCGTTTTGTTTCGTCGTAGCTTGCGTCCTTATCAACCAGCAGCATGCATCCCGGCCTGAATTATAGGATGGATAGTAGTCAAATGTGATTTTCATGTCACAGTAGGTCTTTATCTCTTAGAAGAGTTCTATTAGCGACGTGGATCAGTCTTCTGCACTTAAGTCTCACAGTTGGTCCATTGATTAGGTCCCATTCATTCATCCCATTTTTTAAATGGCTCACTTTCTCTTTCATCGCTAACCGTTGAAGGCATTTGAAAACTAGCGGGCAGTTCATAATACAATGAAAGTATACATGCAGTATACCAACGCATGAATCATACTGCAATAATGTATAAATAGGTTTTGTTCTTTGATACCTCATAATCTGGAATGAGCTCCATGCATCTGATGAAGTTTTTTTTTTTTTTGATTGTCGTATTCCCATGATGATAAAAATCACTGAAGCTGCATGCACTTTGATGTGAGCAAAACCCAACAACTGCTTTTCACGGTCCATTTAGTCGATGTTTAACTACTGATTTCATTGCTGTGTTTACTACTGCGCGAGGATTTCCCTTGGATCGTAGCAAGATCCTGTCTCCGTGTCACCCACCTGCGATACATTAGCTTGAGGGACTCGCGAAAACGCTGGTCCGTCGAAGCATAGACTATAGGGTTGCACGCGGAAGAGCACAGCGCGATCGTATTGACCCATTGAAAAACATCCTGTATCAATCTCCTATCTTCTTTAATGATTCGGTAGATCAGTGGAAGAACTAGAAGAGGAAACCAGCCGATCACGAATACCAAGCAAAAAACCCCGACCGTGACAAGGGCGCTGCGATCAATCTTGTGATGCAGTCTGCTGAATCGGTATTTTGAAGAAGCGGCTTTGGGAGGCTGGTGATCGCGAACGGCAAGACTCGAAGTACGAGACCGCGTAGCTAGAATCTTTTTCCTATGCTTCGCTGCGATTTGAAGAATCCGTATGTACAATGGAATGATTACAAGTATCACAATGATGAACACATAGCTCAATACAGCCAATCGGATGATCTCTTTGAGAATGGCTCCCGTGCCCAAGCCAATAGCGAAACACCAAACGGCCGCGGCGAAAACAAGTGCTTCTGGTCTTATTCCGTCGTGGTCGCCATACCAGAATGGCTTCGCTATGGCCAAAAAACGGTCCAGTGTAACTCCAAGCAAGTTTCCGGCAGATGCCAATAGCGACGTATACGCGAAAAACTTCCGGACCTTTTCGAATGCATTCGTGATATGTTCCTGTTGATAGTGTTTTATCAAACTGACCGCAAACATGGGTTGTGCAATCAGGCACACAAGCAATGCCGAACAAGATAGACTCAGGATGAATATGTTCATGGTATTTCTGAGCCTCGGCGATCGTAAAAAAGCGAAACAAACAAGGATATTGCCCATTGAGCCAACAACACTGAAGATGATATTAACGGCCGCGAGGACACCAATTTCCAAATCAGTCAAAGTAAATTCTGTGTGACTGTTAGTATAATTCATTGCCGCCCAAGACATAACGCTAGTATTCTTCTCAAATCAGAGGAATCGCAATCACTGTGGTTTCGTTCCAGAAATGGTTGGCAAAAGCCAAATACAGACGACAACCAGCGTAGGACACAAACAAACTTCTGACGCAAATATTATATTTGTTATTCAAAACGTGTACTTCACTTAAATATCGATATCCGTTCTTGACCAGTCTACTTGATACGACGACTTGCTCCGAATGCAGCCTGTATTGTCTTATCCTGTATGTAACATCGCTTAAGTTTCATTGTCGACTAACGATTGCGGTCGATTGAAGATGTCAGTTCAGTTGCCCTACGTCATAGCTTCATTGCTATCTGTTAACACCTTAATCGCGATACAAGAACTTTTGGATACCGTTGTTCCAACGCAGTCGCAGATATTATCACCTCGCTCTTGCACTTAAAATAAATTTGGAAATAAAGACTCTTTGTAGCCTTTTTCAAGCATATGATGTCAGCAAGCTTGCGTGGGTTCTTTTGGGTATAGCATCAGGCTGAAAAATAGAGTGTTAATACATCTGTAGAAACCGTTAAAGTCGCTAATATCTGTTAATCCTTGCCAAAGACTACATAATTGTTATCTTCAATCCTATTTCACGCACTGAAGAAGTATCGAGTGCCAATGAATAAGAAATGTAATTTCCGAATAACTATCACGCGTCATTGTAAGGAAACAGAGACATTAGTTTAGATAATACCGGAATGCAGACATTTTATTATTATTTTTATCGCATTGTGTTTAAGAAAAAACGTAAATTTGACAGAACCAGTTCGATCAAAAGAATAGCCCGAAGGATATTATTCTTAGTGTAGATAAGTGGGTTGTGAATTTCAGCAGCTGAATTTCGCTATAATATTTGCATTGCCATTGGAAAATCGGCGTAAATAATATTATTGTTCAGCGTGGGTCTGCAAACACTTACCAAAATTCTCCCTCAGCACACGTCGCGGTTGACTTTAAATATAACGCACTCCGTTGGATCGCCAGGTGTGAACCATTCGCTGAAACGTCATGATCACATTGATCCTATAATCCTGCGCGAATACAAATTCCGTTTATGTCCGAGGCAAGCAACGATCTGTTATATCCCAAAAGTAAAAGGCAGTATGTCAGATATTTCTCGCGTTGCGCATAACAGAATTATGCAGCGCAGCTGAACTTCTTGACGTAACAAAATAACACTGGATTTTCAATTAGGAACATTCTTACACAGATGTTATGCGAAATGCCAGCATTGGTCAGATACGAAGAACCTCAAATACTTTTTTTGTCTTTCAGGTGATTTTTAAATGACGCGTTAAAAAAAAGCTTTTACTTAAATGTACATAGACTGTCGTTAGGTTGTCGCTCTAAAAATATGCGGTTGTCGTTTATTTTAGCGTTTTCCTATTACTGGCATTAGTAAGTATTGCCCATATATGCAGTCGGGTAATCGGGTTTGTGCATGCATGGGTTCTGCTCATAACAATACGTTGGTCGCCAAGTTGAAATTAAATTCGGTCTAAATATCACTCGGGACACGGACTCACAGTTCATCATTTAAAGTTGTAGGAAACCAGATGCGTGAGATACGCAGAAGATTCGTCGTATTGCAAAACTGCATAAAAAGTTCAAAATGTAAATTATTTACATCATGGCGCCACCTTTAAACGAGTATGACGCCCTAGTGAAAAACACATTGCTATAAAAGGAATCATCTTAATATAGAGTTTAAAGACTCGGCAATCTGGCCACCGTCTTAAAAAAGGCCGGGCCATCGCAGTGCATGCGCATGCGAACCGCTCTGGAATGCAACTAATGTATATAGGCATAATTAGTCTGCAGATTTCATTCAGACGTTAATTAAATGGGTAGAATTTTATCACTTGATCTGGAATTTTGTCGATGTCTGCTGTCTTATCTCGGATGAGAAATATTATCCTGAAGTCTAAGGGCATGGCGTTAGGTTAACGTACTTCCTTCTTTACCAAATAAAATTGTCAAAATATTTTGGTTCTTTTATGAAAACAATGTGTTTAATTCACCGCCAAATATATGAGCAACACCAGGGCCCAGGTATAGGCAGACGGCCAGACGCATTGGATGAATGACGTTGGAGTGGCATTACTGCATGGCGATAAACATTAAGATATCTGGTTGGGGAATGGGGGAGTGAAGGCAGGTCCTCGAGCGGGTCTCCCTAGACGAAAGGATTCAGACCCCCTTACTTTTTGTTCAGCCCAATTTTCTAATGGTTCCAAAACTTAGGGTAAGATCTTTGGAGGTGTAACCAAGCTTGTTTTGCCTCCTCCTTTGAAAATTGGCCTAATGGTATTTCTGTATTTACTGCATGTATATTCATATTGTTGTATCGTTGTAACGATTTTTCATGGATGACAAGTATCTGATGAGCATTTATACCACGCTCACTTCTGTTGCCAGAGCAACCTGCAAGTTAACAAAGTTTTCTGAATATTTCCTGGCCTGAATTTGAAACGTGAACGATTTCCACTCGTGTCCTGCAGAGTGCTGGTGTACAGAGGTCCATCGCAGTGGCCACTTCGCTGACGAAACCCTTGTGACATCTCTTCAGAGGTTTCGCTTCGTTGCTGATTGATTGTCTTGCAATAAGCACCTACTCAGGTTGCTACGAACGAAATCGTGCTGTTTTGCACACCCAGCTAGCACTTAGACATAATAAACCTATAAATATCGCGCAGGGAAAGCCACGGGTTTCTTGAAAAAAAACTTACAAGGCAGGAAAATGTCAAACATTATTTCACGTGATAAATGATGGAAGTATAAAATATAACAAGCATTAAAAAAAGCATCTCAAGTAATTCGAAAATCGATTTAAAACAAGACAAATGTGACTAGTAATATTTCGTATTTATTTCAAAGACATCATCAGACCAAGCCAATGATACGATGAGGTTGAACTGATGGAAAGATAGTTGCACCAGTCATTTTAATGATACGAAGTATGTGTCAATTGAGTGGAACCTACAACTGGTGAAATTGCTTTATGTGGGGGTAGGGTCGGGTACGTGGAAGGAAGGGGGGAGGATTAGGGTTGTCCCTACATTTAACAAGCCTGAAATAATATCATTTTCATCAGTTCATGCATCGGAAACCATTTGGTAATGATTATTCGCCGTTTATATACTCAGATAATAAGGGAAATATTTTCCAATGAGAGATACCTTTAACCCACAGAATGTTATTTCATTGAACCGCGTTTATCGCAGTTCACCAAAACCCCCTCCTCTTTTCATATCCTTATCTCTTAGCGTCCCAATTCGCACCATTCTTCACCCCCTTTCATTTAAACAATCTCCAAAGGATACTGCCTAAAAGCATTGTCGATGTTTGCCTTCTCATATATTAAATACACGAAATATTTTTCAATACGTTCAGATATCCATTAAGAAATACCTCGTCATGAACGTTGCCTTAACGTTGATAAGATATAAGCTGATTAATTTTAATTACTTTAAATTGCTTTTTTTTTCAGTCTTTCGGTCTCTTTGTATTGCGAACTTTCTGCAACTGAACAGGCAACAAGATTATCGTAAAAAGCACTCAAAAGGTTACATTTGATCATCGGTCAGTTTTCTCGAAATGAGCCCTCCCATGAGGGTACACTGCATGTCGACGCGTGGACTCAGATTAATGGCAATATATATATATATATATCTCTTCAGCATACGCAAGCGCGAGGCCGTTAGCTGTCCGTTGGTTATGACAAGAACTTAACAAATGACTTACGTCATACTCTGCAGCCCCCAGACCGCAATATGTGTTATGAAATGACCAATTCATCGAGGAATTTTGATTATCGTAAAAGCCTCTTCCGCATATTTTCAATGCTGATTTCTCATCTACTAAATTAAAAACTCTCCAATTTGGATGGCTCAAATTTCTTAGCTTATCTAAAAGGTTTTAATAGGTAGCTGTAAGTCAACTCATCTCATGCACAGTCATGAAGTTCAACTCATCAATTTAACATTAAACGGTGACTTAGTCATATCATTCTCGACCATATAGTGGATCGTAGAACTAATCTCAGCTCCAAACGAATCTCGTTTGTTATTTCTTTCTCTCCCTCTCTGAATATCTAGAATGCTTCAAGTAGAATTAATACTTTTTCAAATCAACAAAACTGTCAAAAATGAAAAACATTTACAAAGTCCCCGACGTGGTGAGATACTATCTCTCGCTTATCAAAATGAAATTATCTATGGTGGTGTGCAAATATTTACTTAGAGAAAGCGTCCATCGTATGCATTTTGACACAGCCTTTTATCCAATAAAAAGCATCGAAGCTTCAAGTAAGGAAAAAAAAAGAGTTGAGTTGCTATTAGAATCGCAATAACATTCGAAGGAATTTTTTAATTAATATATGTCTGTCATACTGTCATGCATTTTCAGCAAATAGTGCTGCAAACGTTTGTACGCTCGGTAAACAGGAACTGTTTGTACGAAAGCTGAATAGCGCTCTCCACCTGATAGTAATTTTATCCAGTGGATAGCACTAACCAGATTTCATACAACCGCCCCCTGCTAATGGATCGATGTATTTTCCTGAACTGTAAATTGTGAACAAGGAACCCCAAAACCGCGACAAAGTTCACAACAAGTTTACAAAGATCACGGTAGTCAGTTCATGTAATTCAGCAATTCTTATTACCCGCGGCCGGAAATTATAAAGGGTCCTGCCAATTGGGAAGCAGTATAAATAACCCTACAATGATATTGATCTATATTGAAATATTTCATGCATTATGAATATCCACTTGATATGACAAGTGGAATATACTGACGTAAATTTGCTACCAAAACATGCGGATTGTCACGCAAGAAGAGGGTATATTTATGCTCATATTTATGACTCCGCTTAACCAAGACGCTGCTCGACATATTCAGCTAAAATGAACTTCAACTAAACTTTACTGGTTTTCACGCTTTTTGCAATTCAGTATCAAATTTTGACGCATGCCCACGAAGGTATGAACAAGGCTGCATGACGCACAACTCTAGTTTTTCAAAGCTCTTTCCAGCGCGCAAAAGCTTGCTTTACCGCTAAGATTTAGCACACGATTCCGGTCAGCCTAAGTAGCAAAGCTATACTATTTAGGAGTCTTCGTCACTACGCCGTATATAAGGAAGCGTCAGCCCAGTGGATAATATTAATAATAGATTAAATGACGCGCTACCAGGAGGAAACGGCTGTCGTGGATTTGAATTTAAAAGTATTAAGCTATAGAAGTACGTTTCTGTTGCCTAATTCAGTTGCTCTTAGCTACCAGCCTGTACAGTGGGAGAGATATCTTAATTTAGAAATAAAAATAACATGTCATCCACGTGGTAGCCTACGGGCCGGTCTCATGACATTGCCAACGTGTTAAAGGCAACGTTACTAGACGCGGAGACTCGCATACCTCGGGGCTACGTAGACCGGTCCAGACAGTGATTATAAATGAGCGCAGAATATTACCTGAGCAACACTGAATGTCTCAGATTTACAGCAGATATGAGACTGCACGCTAAACGTACTCAAATTTACATTTCAAAAGATTCTTCTTATCGCAAGACTTTTATAATTATTTGCATATGGCTGTCCTTATAAATAGGGGAATTGAATTTAGGAGAGTAACTAACAGCAAGAACGGACGGGTCCAGTACAAATGATTTTCTTCTTGCATATTCTACATCACAAATATTTTAATCGATTTACACTGGCCTTAAACCTGTTTAGGCCCATTTGATCCGGTTTACCCATCACGCATGTCCAAAGAATGCGATGAATTCAGGCAGTAGAATTTTAGCCGTCGCCAGTTTCGAATGCGATCGCGAAAAACGAGGTAGTGATGTTTGTTCAGACAGTGAAAGTCTGCAGCAAGCCTGGTCAATCGCAATGCCGTACATTTACAGACAGTCGCGTGGAAAAGTTGCTTGCATGTTTTTCTTAAAACTAACGCCCCTACATTATGTGGCGAGCTAAATTTGATATCGCGCTGACAAGCCTTGACGCATTTATAGAGATTTGCGTCAAAGGTAATATTATTGTTATGATCCTGAACAGGATGTGGGAAATAAATGTTGACGCTAAGCAGCCTTTTAAACTGCTTAAAAAATCATTCCGGCAGAGTATTAATTACATGACCAAAGATGAAAGATCCTCTTTGCTGAAACTATTAAGTAGGTCATCATTTAAATTTTTATCCTAAAATTTCATATTCCATCATGTTAAAAAACTATTTTTAAGTCGTAAATTCCATGTTGGTATAAAAAGATCAAAGATGTAGGCTGTTCATATCTCGTGCCAAAACGAAACACGTACAAAGTGCTCGAAGAAGGGGAAATAATTATGGTCAGCATAAAGCCAACCAGATTGCTTTAGCCTTTAGCTCAAAGTTTCGCTCAAGACCCTTATGCCCGATGGATGTTTGCGCGTGAACAGGTCACATTAAGTTCTCAAGTTTCATGTCACGTCATGAATTTCAGTGAGGGTCAATGGGGGGGGGATTCATCTCGAAATCGGGCCATAGTAATCGGAGATTCTGAGATTGCTCACTGCGTGTGTCACTGCTATTGTGTTTGGCAGCAAATATTTCCCACCTCGTCTCTGTTTTTTTTCTTCTGTGCAGCCTAAGTGCTAGGACTGTTGAGTTCGAGACGCACTCAGCTCACTTCGATAATGTGCAATGAAACCAGATGAAACGTAACCCTACTATTTGGCCATAATCCACAAGTCCACACAATTGACTCAAAATTTACAACTTATATTGATTATTGATATATCAGAATTTTATATATACATGTAGATATTGAATAAAATTACAAGCATTTCACTGGAAGTTTCCGCAGGATATACTCGTTGCCAGAAAGATACCGTGACTTTTATTTACAACGTATGATACAAATATGTTTTCACTAAGGTCTAAGGAAACTTTACACGATGCCTGTCCATAAGACGATATAACACCGCTTTCTCAGTTCCGATCTGTAAACCAGAACATGCGAGTCTCATACACGCGATGAGAGGGAGATTATACGACCTTTCTCGGCTGATACAAAAGAATAACTTTCACTTCGAGCAGATCCTTGACCAAAGTATACTCGTGGCGTCTCGATGCACTGCACTAGTGGTCTGCATATCTACATTTGCAAGCGATGGTAGGTGCTCATAGATCGGAAAGGATATAGAATAATGTCCTCGAGAACAACCAGGTGTTTACTATCGTTTACGATCCGAATTATCTGATGAGAACTCGCGAGCAAGAATATATACAATCGACGGTTGTCATATATTCGACTGCGTCAAGGTCATTGAATTGGTGCGGATAAGAATTGGATTTTCTTTAAGTCGGTTGAGTCACAGTTCGCACGCATGTTTTCATTTCTACTTTCTCTGAGTTCATCCCGGTTGTAAAAGGCCCAGAAACCGACCGTCTGGCCTTCCATTTCTCGTAGTTAACCGTCAAAACTTTCCGGAACCGCCTGTCCCGCCACGAATAAACAATAGGATTGCAAGCCGAGGAACACAGAGCGAGCGTGTTCGCCCATTGAAACGCGTTTAGGATTGCGCTCTTGTCGTTTCCTTCGGCCCTGTAGATGAAAGGTAAGATCAGCAGTGGAAACCATCCAATGACGAAGATGGAAGAGATGATGCCCACAGTTTTCAGACTGTTTCTGTCGGCTTTTTGGACGCTCGGACGCCGAGTTCTTGGAGCGAGTGTGTTGGTCTTGTCTGAGTGACTGGTCTGTACACGATTGTAGAAAGAGTGTATTAATCGAGCGTGTCTTCGGGCAATACATAATATGCGACAATAGAGAGGGATAATCATGCCCGCTAGCAGAACAACCACGTATATCTGGCCGATATATCTAGCATTTCGGTTGTACAGCGTCAATGCTCCAAGCGTGGTGGCAAAAGTCCATACGACGGCCACAAAAACGCACGCTGTGTTCGTGGTTACACGTGCTGCGTATCTCAAAGGATCGGCTATGATGAAGTAACGATCCATTGTTACACCGAGAAGATTACCGATCGAGGCCAGCAGCGATATCCAAGTGAGACGACTTCGAATATCCTCGGATATCGTTGTGACGTGATCTGCTTGAGGGTTCCGAAACAGTCTGGTGATAAACATTGGCTGCGCAACGAGACAAACCAGCAGATCAGAGCAGGCCAGACTAAAGATGAAGATATTCATGGTGTTACGCAGGTTCCGACAGAGGATAAACGCGAAGCATACGGCGAGATTTCCGACCGTTCCGGTGAAGCTGAAGAGAATATTGATCGAAATCATAACGCCAAGTTCCACGTCCGAAAGAGCGACCGTCTGGTTTACATAGCGAAGAGACATCGTGTAAACGTTTGTATGTTCTGGAAAGCGGCGCCAAGCGATAATATCTAGAATGTATTCTTTGCCCAGTGTAGCTGTTTACATACTAAAATATTAAATGACAATTGCCAGGCGTTGCAAGAGATGTGAAATGACAAAGACTACGATCGCAAATGGCTCATTCGCTTTAAGTACAATCGGATTTAACCGTACATGCAAACCTCTTCCGGTTATCCACGATCAGCAGCCATCCCCCGCTGCGTTGCATTGACATGGGCAATAATTCTGTATATCTGGACTCAGCAAATAATAGCTGCAATACTGATATTGATCTGATACGTACATTAGTCTGTTCACAACATGGCCTATTATTGAACCTTATTCATTATTCAAGAGCTGTTTTGGATTATTTTCTGTTATGCATTGTGTTAAGGGGCTGGAAGACAAACAGACACAAGCAAAATGTCTTGATTTTGACACGATTTACGTCAATGGCAGTTATTGCATAGCGACTGTAATAGCTTATTCCTTAATCGTGAATGCCAGCGACATGTTCACAGACAAATTTTGTAAAAAAGTAGACAAGTTTAGCGGTTTTTCAATTTTTTTTAATTACAATTGAACACGATTATACTTAGTGTATTTTATAATGTCTTTTTATTCCGTAAAAGCCCCGGTTTCGATTATGAACCAGAACGTCTCTCGTGGGAGGAAAAAGCTTTATTAATATATATCCAATTAAACCAATAAAGTTTTTTCGTCACATTTCCAACAAATTTAACTTGCCAAACTTCTTTCAAGTTGCATTACCCCTTAAATCGAACTTCATTCCTTTTGACGATTGTCCCCATTAATCAATCAATTGGCTCATTTACTCCCCATTATCCACACATGCTACTTCCTTGGACAGGTAACTAGCGTGAAGTCAATTAAGCTGCGTTATATCATTGTAACTATGTCAGTAACACCACTAGCTACTAACTGGCTTTTTACTTAGTAAAGAATGTAAATAAAGAGGATTATTACACAAGGCGCTTTGTTTGACTATAGTGACCAGAGATGGACATGCAGATTGCAGCATGAACATTGAATTAAAAGGCTACTGACTTACGGCTCTTGGACAAATTAATAAACATTTTGTTTGGTACTGTTCCAAAAAGTGGCTCTTTTACCTTCTTTAAATAGGTCCGGATATTGCGTTGTGCATTCGAAACAACTTTAAATACTAAACTAAGAATATTAAGAGATAAACTAACAATACCACTGAACAGTAATCCCTTAAATTAGACATTAATCCAGAGTATATTTTATCACAACTATGACCTAGAAGTATTTGACAGTTTATATATAAAACACGATCGCATGGCCGAGTCTCGCGCGCACGAAAATCCTTCTTCTTTGTCTTTTGTTTTCAATTGCTCTCGCTATCGTCCATTGGCCTCGTTTTCGTGCATGTGCTGCGAAAAATTGAGTGTTGTCGAGGATGATTCGCGCAAAGCATTTCTCGGTCACGGGCTCTCGGCTTGACCAATTCTTGTTACGAAATCAGCTCGCTAACTACTTACTTGTGTGAAAGATTTAGAAATTAAACGTTCTGGAAAAGTCGTAGTATTTTGATGAAATAAGCGTGTGATGAAATACGCGGAAAATCTTGGGTTTTTATTTCAACAATCGAAACTTGATTGTGTGGGTTGGAAACGCCCTGGCTAATAAAAGAAAAATACCATAGTTTCCGAATTAATATGGTGTACATGGTAAGGATAATTTGTACATGTAACTCTATTACTGACCGCAAGTTGGGCTGCTTACTGCTAAGTAGCCGTATAGATTGCTCAAGACCTCCATGCTCATGCAAGCACACTTTTTTGAAGAGGTGACCTTGATTTTTTATGTAATAGTTGTCCTCAAACATTCTCCATGTATTTTCATTCTTCATCGATGACTGATCATCAAACAGTCCTTTCCAACGAATAATCCACGTATAGAGTCTGTTGTCATGGAGAAGTTAAACACAACTTTGGAACACCTTGAAAGCTCATTGAGCTGAGATACTTAAACGATTTTTTTCCGAATTCTTAGTCCTAATTGAGTGGATGTTTCGAGCTGGCTTAACGTACAATGAACTATTGATTGATTTACTTGGATTTCAATCACCAACTTTCATTTCGGCGCCGTCTGTATTTCGTATTAAATGGCTCATGAATCGAATCTGCTTTGTAAAAACAAGATATTCATTACAAAGATTCACGCTCAAAAACGAATGAAAAGGATACACTATCAGACATCAACCATTGCTTTTTTATTGAAATATTAACAATAATTGTCAGAATGTCAGTGAGAAGATGTATTTATTAATCGAAACCGAACGATATTTCGTTAGATATGCTTTATATGGGTGATAAAATCACCAGTTATATGGTGGTTATGTATCAACACCTGTACTCAATACGGAGGCGATTTTCAGGAAATATTAAGGGTAATACAATCCATCAAAATTCTCCAGCCGATTGGGCGGAAATGTATCTAGCCATTTTTACACTAATCCCCAAGAAATGAGCTGATTTGTGAACGGTGTTATAAATCGAAGCGTGTAGATCACATCCTTAGTGTGCTCCCGGCAGCCATTTGGAATGTGGAAGTCCAGAACGGTTTAAGGGATTGGTAAATCGCCGGCAGGCATAACGCCATTTTTAAACTTTTATTGATCTAGACTGCTTCATTGCGCTCTCATATAAGTTCTCTTAATGTACATTCTCGTGTCCCAAAGGCCTCCTGAGTTCCCTCGTGATCATTCACAGTACCTGAATCCCGTGTTATTTACATTCTTGCATGTGTTAAACAATGAAAGCGCGTCTACGCACAACAGATGCTGGAATATCTTCTCTAAACTTTGATAAGAAATCTGAGAAATTTCAAGTTTTACACGGAAAAAGCAATCGTATAGTCAGAGGAATGTTTACGTTATCTTAAAAATAGGCCACAGCTGGCTTCATCTCCACTGTTTTACCATAAATAGGAATTTTTTTCAAGTTTTATCATCTGGTTTCATCTAAACAGTCTTCAAAACAACTTGAGATTTTCGTAATGTGATCAGATAGATAACATATCTTTATGCCTCATAATCCTTTTTTTCATCGCTCCACCACGAGACTCGTATTTCAATAAGGATTTAGAAAAACAATTATTTTTAAAAACTTTTTTTTGCAAATTTTTAAAAAAATTACTTAATTAGATTTACAATAATAAATTATTACGAAAGGAGATTAGTCCAAAAGCTTTTACTAGCAAGCAATTTGATGAAACATTAAACGAAACAAATTCCGAATAACATCATTTTGAAAATTCAAGATCTGTGTAGCAAAGTCATTGTCGAACCAATGGTTGGTTATTGTCGAAATATCACCAGATTTCTGCGTCTTGTGTCAATATATCACCAGATATCTTAAATATTGCATTTGCAAGATGATGTTTTTCAAAGTTTGTTTTGTTTTACGTTAGTAACGAATGTTCTGTGTCAGTTTGTAGCCAAGTGCATGCCATGTCATATTTATATATCATCACTTTCCCACAAATCCCTTTTCTGTTTCTCTTTATTCAGTTTCCTTTCTAAAGTTGGAAAGAAAGAATAGCTTTGGTCTGACTGTGAAACGAAGAACATTATCATACTTCAAAGCGAGTTGAAGTCCCGAAGGTTGGTCGTACATTTGAAAGTTTCTTTTAAAGATCAAACCGCTAAGATTTGCTGTTTTAAATGAGTTTACTAAATAAGCCCAAGCCTAAGTGCGTGGTATCATACAAGCGTTCAGCACATTGATATCCCTAGCAGGTGCATGCAAATTCATAACTTATGTTCGGAAAAAATGCATGGTATTTTAAATTTCGAGAGGATACGCTCTCATTTAACACTGCCACCTGGCTTATTTAAATTATCATTCGCGCATTTGGCTTCTTACGTGCGTCGGCTCACGCTATTTTGCTTTTATATGCTGGCCATTGTCCAAGGTTCAGAGTTGTGAGAAACGAAATCCAAATTCTTATATTTCTCGATGTCTGGCAATGCAAAACACGCTAACACAGATCCTAAATTGTCCTTCATCGACTACTTGTAAAAAAACACGAATATTCGTTGTTGTATACCTCGTTCGGCCTTAATCTTCTCCCGTTCCAGCTGTCGTTCTTCTCTGCTCATTTTCGATGTCATTCCCAGTGCACCTGTGACCAAACGGTTTGCAACCAATTTCGTGGTCTTCGGTCTTTCCTTGTACGGTTGAAGAATTTCTGACAAAGGACGGGAACGTGTAAACAAGTGGGATGTTTTGAAATATTGCAAATACATGTGATATGCTTTTTTCGACCGATATCGATTCCTAGAATCAGTAACACATGCCCACGAAAATATTTGATCCTAATCATTGATTTAGTGTAATCTGATTTTTTTTTACGATGAATTCAGGAAAAAATCGAGTGAAATAATACTCGACAACGATAACACATGGAAGGCGAAATAAGTCTTCCTAGATATGAAAGACTCAAGCTGCAAATCTCACCTATGTTTCTTCTCGCTTTAAGTTTTGATTTATGTGTTCCTTCATAGACGGAACGTAGTTTCAACATAGGATTGGAATACTGTTCAACAGCTTGCTTCGCTGGAAGACAAAACATATTTGCATTGTGGGTTGATCAGTATCTAGTTTGATCAAAAGGAATTCAGTGTACTTATCGACAACACTTTGTTTACTCAAAGTTTTCTTTGAAACTGACCAATTCTGTGATTTGAGAAAACCGCCAAAGCATGCGTATCGTCTACCCAGTGGATTCCATAATCTTTTCTACATAAATATTAATTCATTTTAATCGGAAATTCACGGCACATGTAAGATAATAAGAGAAACACAATCTCAGGGCAATGGAAAGGTTTACTTTTTTTGGCAATTGCCCGCAGTTACATTCAGATGTTGACCTTTTAATGCACTTGGCCTAAAAATATAATACAACGTACTGGAAATAAGATAAAGCATTTATCAAATCGCGATCTTTGAACTCCGTTGGAAAGTCGTAAATTTCCACGACGTGGTCAAACACTAAAAACAAAAAACACAGTAATATTGAATGAATGCGGTTTTTCGCTGGTTTGGAGTTCATGTGTAAGAAAATATCAATTATTTACCCCCGTTGTCCAAAATAATATCATTAGGCTGGAATGTGTAAATAGTCGTATTTGGGTTTAACAAATTCGACAGCTGCTGTATCGATTTCGGCATCGAGCTGAAAATGTAAAAAACAGATTAAAAATACACGCCAGGCGTACCAGGATCCGAATAAAGCTATTGGCAGGCTTATAATTTGGCTTTTAAATTGCGTGCACAGTCTGAAGTCGGCTAATTTTAGCTTTGAATACAGTTGTTGTTCGTATGCAAAATTGAGGCTCATTACGTAGGTAGTCCAGAAATATTTGTCCAGTTTCATGTTGCGGTCTGTGACGTACGCATACACGTGCTTACGTGTGTACGTCACTGACCGCAATATGAAACTTGACACACCTATACTTTTAAGCTGTGCTTATTAGTGAAACTGTTTATCTGCGATTTTACAGATCAAACAGGGATTTATGTAAGCAATAGAACTGCTTTTCAGTTTTATCACCTCAGCTAAACGATCCTCATCCAAGCTTGCTGTTTCCCAGTTGTCTTCTTCATCTGAGCCTTCGCTTCTGTTTTGGCCATCTTCGTCCTGCATTTTCTCCAGCTTTAAAGCGTCCTCGTCAGTCACGCTCATTTTTAGTAATGTGTCTTTACTTTCACGTACAACCTTCAACGTATCTGTGACTAATGATTTCTCCTTTGGTTTTTCTTGCGAAACCTGAGCTTCTTTACTGCATTTCTTTTTCGAATGAATAGCTTCACTTTCTTTTTCAACAGTTTTTCCTTCGTCTTTGCTCTTCGACTTAGGTTTCGCTTGTTTTTTTCGCGACCTTTCCTCTTTCTTCTTAGCCTTCTCTTCTTTCTTGCACTTTCGTTTACTTTTGCTCTTTGATTCATTCTTTTCGCTTTCCGCGACTCCTTGTCCATTATTTGATTTCTCGCTTTCATTTTGCAATCCAAAACTTTTACATTCACCAGCATCTGTTTCTTCTAAACTCTCTTCATTATGTTTATCATTAATCAACTTGCTTTCCTCAGCATTTTCAACTGTTCTTTCACCATTTCCCATAGGCATTTTATCATCTCCATTATCGACGTCACTTGATGGTTCATCGGATACAGCGACGTCTTCTCCTATAGTGTTTACAACCTCGGAAAAAGATGTTTCTTTACAGGAAACCTTAGGCTTAGTATTCTCAGTTTTGACACTAGATTTCCTATCATCTATTTTCGCAAAACCTTTCCTGACAGCCACATCAGGTGTCTGAATGCCTGCAGTCGAATCAATTTCTGTTATTTCAGATGATTGATTATCATTTCTGATGCTATTTTTCAGTTCATCTGTTACTTTGTCAGAGCAATTTTTTGCGGAAGTTTTGTTTGTCACCTCAGTTGAGTAAGTTGTGGCAATAATATCACTGATATCTTTATCATGCAGCAGGTTGCCTTCAGAATTCAAGGATATGTTTTCCTTGTCCGTGCAAAGGTTTTCAGAGTTTGTCTGGCTATCAACATTGCTTAGTACTGTACTGATACAACACTGTTCAGGACTAGCCTGGTTTTCACTCTCATTTGATACCTCATTGTTTGCGATATCACAGGAAGCGAGAGCAACCTTACTAGGTTGAGTTTCAACAACCATGGCATCACAAACATCATTGCCTGGTTTTTCGCATCCATCATTTGTTAAAAAGCTATTGCTATCTTCAAAATTCCTCTCTATATTTGTCTGCATATTTTCAACCTCATTTATACTTTGAGATTCAACATACAACTTGTTTAAAGTGAATTCCAGATTATTTTCATCCTTTACTACACATTTCTCTTCATTCTTAATATTTTCCCACTTGGATTCACAGTCCAGCTGCTTATCCAAGTTTGGAGTTTCAGGTTCACGGGATTTGGAGACTTTTGGATTTGGATAAGAAGGTTTTGTTTCAGTGATGGCTTCTGCTGAGGTATTCTTTACCGGACTTTGGGCTTGTTTTGCTATCTCATCAGTGTTTTTTCTCTGTTTGCTGAAAGCTCCTGGGGTGTACAGCACTTGGGGAGGCCGACGAGAGGCAGTGGGACTACTCTTGGGGCTATCGTTTCGACCCAGTCCTCTACCTCTCCCACGGCCTCTACCTCGCCCTCGGCATTCAGGTGATTGTCCTCCACTTTCGGGCATTGATTTACTCATAAATGGTTGTGTATTGCTATGAAAAAGAATTTATACACACATATAGCGAGATAGCATTTGCAATCACAAAGGGCAAGAGACATTCTAAGGTTGTGCATGTCCACAAGCATATAATATATACCTTATTACACATCACTGCAGAGCATTAATTATCTTTGTCACTCAAAGATCTGTAGCAAAACCTTCTAGCCAATCAGCACACTTAACTGGGTTGTCTACCATTACTAAGGGAAGAGGATTGCAGTAGAATCGGACAAGTTACAATACAGGTTATCAAAGATTATACAGTTTAGCAACTCGGCCTAACAATGTCTCTAATTTTTAGGCCATTAACTGGCCAGGGTAGTTGGTGGACAAGCCAGTTCAGTATGTTGGTAGGCCAGAAAGCTAATCAAGATGTCATTGATTGGCCGGAGTAATATTAGCAAACTAATGTGATATGTGTGGTTCAAATGTGTATGTGCAGCAAAGGTTGCAAAATAAGGTCTACTGCCTGGTATATATGATATTCATGGTGCAGTTGAGTGGCCCTATACTGAGTCTTGACCATAACTCTCTCTACCTACCCTACCCTCCCAGACGTCATATAACATTGTTGGAAGAAGCATATGTTAATAATTCCTTGGATTCTTTCCTTACAAACTAATGAAACTATCAATTTCTCATGCATGGAAACACATCCTGACTAACAAAGACACAGAATGACAGAAAGCAGTACTGGTACAATATTATCCCGAAATGGGTAAGTAAACTTATTCATCTTACTATGATTTCGCTTCAAAATAAACAACAGTGCTTCGGGCAGGCTCCGTCCCAACTGAGGTACTCTTAAGCCCTTGCCATCTTTCAACAATTTTATGTGTAAGGAAACGAAATCGCGAAGGCAATGGCGGAAAAACAAGCACTCTATTGGTTGCTCTTTCTTTCGAAAAGCTTCTCAGGTCCTTTTCAACGCGCGTTACATAATCTTCTTCGTCCAAACTCCACAAGAATCCACTACAAATATCTATAGTTGACATTCAAATGTCGGTTTCATAGTCCCAAAATTCTTGTTTATAAATGTTTATTTTAAGATCTGTCGTTATGTTGGGTATGAATTACTTGAATATTTACAGATTTTATTACAAAACGCTTACAATCCAGCTGTAAATTTGGTTAAAATGATAAAAATTTCGGATCAAAACATCGTTCAAAACATTGCAACAACAATGAAGCCATTACGCGCGCCCGCGATCAACTTGCGTGCGGTCATATGATTTGTTTCCAGGGCCTCTATAATGCTCTCTAAAGGCTCGGTCAATTTTGGGCGTTGGCTCAATCAAAAATGTTGAGGTCCAGTCAGTGACAGGCACCTAATAATACAAGATTCTATTCTACAATAGATTCAGACTTTTAAGAAAGAGATTCATGGTAACCTTCATCCAAAATAGTTCAGTGATTACAAAAAAGCACACATTCAATATTACACCCATATACTATTGAATTGCCTGTTTGCATGGACTTTCGTAGACAAATTGACTACGATTGTGACATTCCGACCGTTAAGATCAGTTGTCGATAAAAACTACAATTCATGAATCATGATGATCCGTTCATGATGTCAAAATATAGCTTACAGTGCTCTTGAACTAGCTTAAGTAAAGATTAAGGATAATTCACTTGTCCAGGGTCCTAAGCGTAGATATGTTAAACTATGTACCTAAACTATTTCACCATTTAATCTAAGCGAACGCCGGGCATTCTCGATTACACAAACTTTTCAGTTTCGGACGAGTCTCTGTTACTATTGTCACCACAAACCAACTTTTCTCTGTTTTTAAATTTGATCGTTACACTACCGTTCGACCTCATTTTCTGACTTCCGCTGGAACCACTGCGGTCGGAAAGCAGCATGCTTCGTCGTTGCGTTCCGTTAGAGCTTCGGTGAGAGCCGTTGAAAATTTGTCTAAACGCCGATTTGAAACTTGGACTGAATAGCGAGTACAGTACAGGGTTCACACATGAGTTTGCATAATGCAAAACCTTCGGGAAAATGTGCAATGCTGGTCTTTTTAACACGTAAAACATACATGGCTTGCAGTAATTTACCAGCAGAGAGCCTACGACGAATGGTAGCCAACACAGGACGAATATTGTTGATAATAAAACCAATGTGCGAATTGTTTTGCTCTCTATGCCCGATTGTCTTGCTGTTCTTAAGGTTTTCCGCCTGATTTTGCGGGCAATGGCACAATAGGCTATGGTCATTATGACAATTGGTAGGCACAATCCTAGGCAGGTTATCGCCGTGATAGCCCAGGGGTTTTGAGGATCGTAGAACAGGTATAAGGAGCCGATTCCCAGACCGTAGACCCACGAGGCGATGGATGTGATTATAGCGCAGTTTTTACTCATACTGATGTGACGAAAAGGGTAGCACACGCCGTACCATCGCTCTACGCTGACCCCGGCAAGGTTCGCCATGGACGCGACGCTGCACGTAATATCCAAAACGTACCAACCATCGTGAAAACTCTTCGGCATCTCTTGAAATCCCCCCGTCACGATAAACGCGATCCAGAGAGGTATCAGAAGCAGGCCAACGGCCAGATCGCTCGCGGCTAAACTGACAAGAAAACAATTCGTTGCCGTCCGAACTTTTTGATATCGAACGAAGGCGAAGCACACGAGAAAATTGCCCACAACTGTTAAAGGAATCAACGCTCCGAGCACAATCACAAGTCCAAGGTTAAATGGTGGAGGATTCACCAAACCATATGGAGTTGAATTGGACATAAGGATACTGGTATTGGTCTTGCTCTCCATGATGCGTACTCGAACAGCTTTCTGGAATGTCGTCTATTGTTTCAGCAGGCGATCACCTTTATATAGATCTCGCGTGTCCGGCTTAACCGTGTTTATTTTCGAGTGACGGTTTCGCACGTCTACAGTCAGCAAATCTGAAATGTAAATAGCCCCCGTACTATTAGATAAACGAAGATAAAATGCGGTTTACTGGCTTATCGTGCTTTTAAGATATGCGTTGAATTGAGAAAAAAGAATTAACGTCTGGGCGGAGAAACGGCGAGTGTTAAGTAATGCAAACTGATACGACGCAATCGGTTTCTTTGAATAGGGAATTTTTTCTATTAACTGCTCTTAATCTGAAAGGAGACATCTCGACGCTTCTGATTTCGTCAGGATGACATTAACATCGCGACCACCGTCGTCAAATTGACGAAGGCTCTTTTGGAAAGCGCGAGAAGTTCACTTGTATATTTTCTAAGAAATCGATGTGTGTGCATTTAAACGTAAAGTATATAAACTCGTGCTCTGCTTAGCTGCATGAACTTGATTTGCAATTTTGCCGAATAGTAAGAATGCCAAAGAACTTATCTATACATTATTAATTATGTTTGTTAATTAAATAATAGACGTTTATAATTCATAAGCTTCGGTTGTTTCATGAAGATGAACTTGATAAAGTCGATCTCGAACTGACCATGGATTTTATTTCTCGAAGGAAATTTTTTTACATGTTGTTCGTCATTGTTTCCCTGGAGACATCGCGTAAGGGCGAACCCAGTTTCGAACCCAGAACCTGTTTACACCCAGTTTCGCTAGCAAACCGCGCGTGGACGCTAAACAACTTGTTGACGCAAAGATTAAGACGATTATCAAATCGAGCAAATTTGAATATTTGGGGACGATTAAAATGGAGATTATCGTCCAATCTCCGAAGCCACAGATTTAAATAGATTTCGAAAGTTTTAAGGCCGTCCAATGAACCTGTATTCAATCGTTTCATTTTTTTTTTGGCAAAATATTTAAGCAGTTCCTATGAAATACGCAAATGCACGCGGCTTAAGCCTATATAGCGGACCACAATTTTAAAAAAAGTCCGGCGGTATATACGCCGGCTTCACACGGCCGAATTTTTTTTGGCGAATATCTTGTGTTAAGCCTGTGTGAATAAGACGTTCGTAGGAAATCTCTTACGTAGACTGTAGACAAAAGATGAGAGAATGTTAATTTCCGTTTTACGCCAACGAAAATGGGCTGGTTTTACCGCTTTAGGGATTGTAAAGTCTTCCTTCATATGCTCGGTCATATGCTCGGCTTGGTCTCAAGATTTAAGGTTTTCTTCACAGTTTGGAAGTTGGGAAGAACAGAGAAGCCGGTAAAGAACGTTAAAACTTAAGAATGTGTCTGAACCTTCAAAAGGCGAACATCTCTCTATCGAAATTATGGATTTCTATTATGAAAACTGAGCTAGAAATGCATGCACTGGATTGTGTTTCTATTTTTATTACACAAAAACAACGTCATACTATAACACCTCCTAGATTTCCCATTTCGCAAATAACTTTGGCTATGTCAAGCAATTTGAAAAGGATCGATAGTCAAATCCATTTACCGGTACAAAATACAAAATGAAATAAATCTTCTCTCGAATGAGCTATATATATCCCTTTTAATATCTAAGATACACTCAGTACACTTGACCATATTACAGTTTTTTTGTAATAACGAACTGTTTGCGTAAAGCATGCATGTTATTTGGCTGCAGATAAAGATCGCCATGACGACCGGTTTGACGCAAAGAACGATGTCGTTTTTTTTATCACGCAATCCACCTGATATTCACGTTAGTCATTGAGGCCAATAAGGAATCGGTCGTGCCTGCCTACTAGATACAGCTTGTGTTGCACGTTGACATACGCTGCTCTCGGTATTTTCCATGTCTTTTTTTATCAGACTTCACAGGTAAGATTAAACCGCTTCTATTACAATCACTCTGCATGGATGTACAAAGCAACTACAAAGTATCAAGCAGGCCGCTTCAGCATATTACAGCTTTAAAAAAGCGCATCATTTGCATACATTGTTCCGTATTAAAGCTGTATCAATCGTTATTGATCGAAATATTTAATGGTTTCATTATTTTACTGAAAAAAAACAAATTACGTATACTCTAGACCTCCCTCACGGATCCAATGCTTTTTAACACTAACACTTTTCACATTACAAGAGGCGTAACTTACACTAAAGCCTAAAAGGAAAAAATTCAATTTACCTATGTCACGCAGTAACTTAATAATTGTTGCGATTCGACTTATACTTTGTTTTTGCGGTTTACGATTGAAGTCGTTTTTTTCTAAATGATACTAATATTTCTCATCTGAATTTCATGGAATAAAACTCGGTATATTGAAATTGCTGCATGCATATATGCGGATCGTCTAATGAATAATGTAAATCAGAAAGCCAATGAATCACAATATATTATGTTGATTCAAATGATTACAATGCACAGGGAAAGATATTGGAACTGAGCCACACAAAGAATCCTCGTGAAATTTGAAAAAAAAGTAACAAGCCAATGCGATACCCTATAAGGCCTATATGTATAGCAATCCGATTCTAAAGATTTTCATCCATAGAAATGCCGTAAATTCTATATTAAAATAGTAGCCGTCTCACCTTAATCGCGGATTAATAGTTTCTAAAATCTCTATCCAAATATTTACGCCACAGCAATATATGCTCATATAAACTTCCTTCGTTCGGGAGCAGTCGTTCATTTGCTAACCTGCATATATTTACGACGAGAGGAAGACTACCACTGGCGTATTTATAGCAAAATCACCGCCAATTGCAAGGCTCAGTGTTTATTTACTGACGACACGCTTGTTGAACTCTGCGTCGTCTAACCCATGTTTGGATGCATGAAGATTCGAAATGCCATGAACGTTATTATATTGGAACCGTTATCAGTGAGTAATGACAGAAAAGCACCTGTGGCTGTACTTCCAAGATACAATCTATTAAAGATTACCAACTGAGTTGAGCTCTTACAATAATACTGCTAACAAATACATGCCCTTATACGCGGCTTATAGACCTCTTGGAACTGAGTGCATAGCCACGTCCATTGTCGTACATCACTTCTTAGCTATTTCAAACGTCAATCTCACTGACAGCCATGACTTCAATGGCTTGCACTTTCAAAATGAATTCGGTCATTATCACCCGTGCTGACGTTCAATATTTGTAATCTTGCATTATTAAATAGCTTCGGAAAACTACATTAAGACAAGTGCTTGGCATATTGTAACTGGTAACTCTTCAGCCGCTGGAATTAATTGAACTAGTGTAACCGCCCTCCCCCCCCTAGGAATATGAAATGTGCGTCAGAAAATCTAGTTTCATGACATTCACCAAGTGCTTTTACGAACAGCCTAACGTTATGAAAACATTGCCTTGAATATTTTGTCACAAATGGACCGTAATGCCAGCGATAATTAATCAAAAATATGACAGACGGAGCTGCATCTCGGTAAAATGCTACAGGTACCGTCATGCATTACGCTAAAGTAAAGTTGCATACACTGGAAGTATATTTCGTTAATCTCGGGGACTTAACAATCGGCTTTATAAATTCATCGTTACAGCCCCGGTATACTGATATATCGATGTCAATCTGCTTGAAGAATCCTTTATAGTTTAGTTTATGCTGAAAGTTAAAGCTAGTTTACGTTCAAAGTTTATATAAGAGTCTAGAGACACATTTTGAAGACTTCCAGAGAAGTCTTACAACGAATTATAGCTCCATGCTTGACTGAATTACTTCCCCCAAACATATCAAGACATAAAATTTGCTTGTACTGTGTTCTACTCTTCATTGTTATTATTAGCTAGCCTTTATTATCAGTTTGATAACTGCCCCTTCAGGCAATGTGTGAAAGAAAACACATCGCATCAACTGACAATTGTTGATAAATTTTAAACCCCTATGCGACAAGTACTTGTTAATTGTTACCTATACTAAATACTAATCGACTTTATATGAACAACATATGCCCTATGACTCGTTAATGGTTCCGGAACGCCTGCATTCATGCATGGACGTGCGTTGAGAAACCAATTTGATGAGCCAGGCTGGCCACGATTTGGGACGAAAAATGTTTTTAATTTCCTGTCATGGCTTATAACATCCTTCCGCTACCCCTTTTTAATCAATCCAACCGTCCAACATTAATATATATATAAATTTTGCTAATGATGTTTGAAGAAGACGCTCGACGCTGGAATCGCCCTTTAAAATATGTGATTGTATATAAAGATGCAGTTAACTTGACTGTCTGCGGCTAAGCGTATGCGGTGGTTATAAGTCGCTTGTCTTACTCGTCTAGAATATTTTACAAGTATATATACTACTCACTCGATACGAGGGGGAAGATGCGTAAAAAGACCCTCGCACGTTAACGACATTGTTACGCTTAAAAAATACATCATAAAATTGCGAATTGTTCGTTTGCACAATGTATATATATATATATATATTTATATATATATATATATATATATAATATATTATATATATATAAGAAAGATACTGAATTTATGATACATAAAATGCAAAACTTGTACAGCTGAGAGATATACTTGCTGGATATAATTGGCATCGTTTGAAATTCACAATTATATATTCACTTGCCTTCAAAGATGCCACTGTTAACTTCAAAGATTTTTCAATGCCTCTTTCTATTTTTTATATCACCACGGATGGATATACTCCGTGGCCGGCATGCCCTGAGTTCTGAATGATGAACAACATATGTTTAAACGTTTTACTGATTCGAACCACAAACATGACAAATACCAAGTGACACCCACTAATAATTAATGAACGTAATAACGGATTAATACCGATCAATTTGCAGCTAACAATCAAACATCCAAAAGGAATCAGAAAGTAATATACCTTACAGACTGCTTTTCCTTGCGTAAACATCTGGTAGATGTCGAAGGAATTCAACTTTAATCTAACGAGGACGGCCAATCTTTCAAGTTACTCGTGACACTTAAGCATGCTAGGCAGATGATATGCATGCAAATTTTCTGAGGACAAGCTGATACCCTTGGTAATAGGCCGAAATTTGGAGAGAAAAAAAAGCATTTTGCACTTTTGCGTACAAACATATCGCGACGCGGCATGTTGGCACAAACAACACCGAAATCTTCGATTTTTGGAAACAGCGGCCAAAAAGCGATGAGAGACGTTAATTCTGTTAATTTAAAAGGTCATTTTTCAGTTTTTTGCTCGCGTACAAAGAATAAGCTCCCTTGTCTTGCGATCTACGAGATATCACGTTAGCGGTAATTTAATTGCTTTGCGTGAACTTCTGCATGATTTTTAAGGGCCGCGTTTTTCATACGCATGTACACGCACATAAAAGTCTCATCCTTATATATGTCATATTGGAAAAAGCTAGATGAATAAATCGAAAGAACTTGGTTTTCCGCATAGTTTAGTATGCATTTGTTGGCCCGTGTGTTAAATAATAAAAATTTGGAAGCGTTTAAAGTTTATCGCGCGTAAAAAAACGCGTAAATGGAAAGCAACCTTAACTTGTATTTACTTGTATTTACTTGTATTTTCTCCACCAAATGGACGAAGGTTTACTTAAACCACCACATTGTATCACGCCGAGTTTTGTATCACGTAGCCACTTCGCTACCACGGAAACCTCAAGTACATTCTGGAGTTTAAATCGGATCGAAATCTCAGAATCTAAACATGCAGACAATTCTGGTCTTTTTTGCGACAGAATCAATTGCGATTCGCGAAGCTGCGAAGCAAAGTGTCTCGTCGGTATTTTCGCTTTTTTCGTTGAGCCATTTTAGCTGACGATCGATTATGAGCTGAAGCAACGTATTTTGAAGAGGAAACTAAAGATTAAGTTAATTAGATTGTTATAGCAATAGTAGAATTGTGATGTGAAATGTTTTGCCAAGTTCAAAACCCAAGATATATACCTCGTTTTAATGGTGGAAAGCATAAGCAAGCAAATATTCAAGCAAGATGTTCAAGACAATATAAGAGTACTTCACTCTGTGTTGAGAAGGTTATTTGGTTATCGACTGTTAATGGAAACATCACGCCTTCTGATTGAACAAACAAATATTATCTCAATGGCATTTTCGTAGAAAAACAAAAGATTCACAAAAAGCCGAATGCCGGAGTTGTTCGAGAAGTTTGAAGATCGTTATCGCAAAGTGTGGCGTTATTCTATTTATGCACATTCCAACTCGAAAGAGATGACGGTATTGTGCGAGGTATCGTGCACCAAATTAATATGACCTGACCTAGCTTTCCTGATCATACCCTTTTGTTGAGCGAAAAAGAACAACTGCCTCACCCTGTGTTGGAAAGTGGGAGGTTAGACATACAACAGATTTGAACAGAAAACGTCCAGAAATGTGGACGGCGTTTTGTGAAAGGCGATGTCAAACCATAATGTGTATGGCCAATCAAGAGATCTCATATGATTGCTTTTCCCTAATGTACCTCAGTGACGAGTCTTTGACGACATTTCAATTTAGTGCAACAGCACATAAACACGGCATGTCCTTCGTTTAAAGATAATAAACGATTTCGTTGAATTGTTTCCTGCTATAAGAGATATTAATTAGCGTGGAACACTGAACCCAAAGTAAATTCTAAACATATTCTTAGCCAATCGTTGAAAGATTCCGGATATTACGAGATTCCGGATTGGGAAGGTGAGAGTTACTTACTTAGGAAACTTTGCTTATAGGATTAACGCAAGAATCCGCTAATCTTTTTTCCACTTCAAGCGTGAATGAATTGACCGTTGGACTTTCCTGAAAATCGTTCCATTCAAACCACAATTTCCCTTTGGTCGAATAAAAACAAAAATGATTGAAAATGATTTCAAATCTATATTTCTTGTTTAGTCCTTGCTTACAGCGAATATGTCATTTCGATACGCTTTAGAATCGGTCACACTTTGATTTAATATCGATCGATTAAGATCCGATTTCAGTGGTTTTTAGAACTGTGCTTTTTGCGAGTATAAAACTCTAGCTATACTCCACAGCTGTTCCGTTTCCTATATAGCTTCTTAGGACAGTGAAATCCTCTTACTTTTTTAAAAACTAACCTCGTTGTAAGTTAACTAATTACTGCTACACATGTACTATTAATCCATGCTCGCCAGTACACCTTGAAACACTGGATGTATGTTTGAAAAGGAGCACGCAACAGGCCTATAGCTAGTCAGGAGCACTATAACTAAGAGTCTAAGACATCGTCACCAGGGTACAGCTTCCTTTGATTGTCTTGACAATTTAATAGCGCGGTTATTTATTGAAGTCCAAACTAAGTCTGTTCGCGCGAAAAATCTGCTCAATGGCAATCGGTTCAACACAGGCTTGTTTTTAGGTAACGTTTAGCCTGGAAGCTTTGTCAAATATCTAAATATCGTAGAATATCTTCGTGAACTGCCTGAAATGTTCAAGAACTAGACATCCCGCCGTTTTGACCTGAGCCGTAACGAAGGTTAGCGTAGATATCAACAGAACAATCTTTTGTGTATTATTTAATTCTCCTATAGCAGTTCTCGATCATGGCGGTGGAAAGTTGAAGATTTTATTGTATACTTTAAGCACTCCAGTCTCGAGGGAGCAATTCTCATTAATATAATGTTTCTTCTCGTCACCAAACCATGCATCTACTGAGGTTTTTTTATTCAAAATAAGCCGATATCTTTGCAGACATCGAGATTGACCGGCTAACTACATGCTTTCTTCAAGAGCATATCTACCTATCTAGTTCTCATTAAATTAATCTCGTCAATCCCGCGGTTCGCATTATAGAAATCAGCATGATATTTATTCAGTGCTAGATTACTTTGTTTAATAAGTTGCATAATGTTGCGCTCAATATACACCGTGAGAATGCATCTGTTGATAAACAGATTATGTTCAGTGTCCCTATTATTCTTCTCGTTGGAATTACGACACTGATCATAATCAATTGCACTCTCTTTTCTCCGTCGTAGTCGTTTGACGCGTGCGTTTGGGAAAAATCTTACCTTAAATAATCGATATTCAGGTCAAGTTATTTCTCTGGGCACTGTTAAACCGTTTTACATCACTCATGCTGCAAAATGCTCTTTTAATACAACACAAATCAAGCTTTCAGGCGACACAGCGCGCGCGGAAAGCTATGATTAAATCGCATACGAACGTAAATATCTTTTTAATTAGGACACGATTAAATCAATGTTATCTGTAAAACTGTAGGAAATATGATAAACTTGGAATTAAAGTGTGTACGAAGTTTGAAAAGTGCAATTTGACCTGCCGCAAATCGTTAACGTCAGCCAAGTCGCAAAATATTCCTCCTACGTTATGAAGAACTTCAAGTCAGAACCCGGCAGATGCAGGGATGTATGTTATTCCGTTTTAAAACACTATAAAGCACTTACTTCGTGTAAATTCAATCGATCTCCGGGATTCTTTCAATCAAACTGATCTATGTCTAGACACCGAGAAATCCCGACGATGTTTCCTCTAAAATACGGCGTAACAGATTTAATCATCAACGGCCCGAGTAAGCAATATTTGTAGCTCAGATAAATTGATTTGAGCTCTGATTAATGCAGCATACGGATGTTGGTTCACGATAATTCTAGCTCAAACAAACTGAATCTGCTTTCTGACGTACGTTTTTGGCTTATTTATAAAAACGTGGGAACGTGGGTGGCCGCCTAGTTACTGAATTCCAAGTATCGTAGGATTCAGATAAACGGATCAAACATTCTGTTGCTATACGATTTCATATTCCTGTCGGTATTTCGTGATGATTGAAAGGCTGAAAGCAACGACGGGTATATATGGCCACCACCTCGGTTATTTTGTTTGTTATAAGTTTATTTTGGCGTCATCTTTTTTTTTTCGAGTCACACAACGTCATATTAGATTCTAGAAGTTTTCTCGATTCAATTTTCCGACCTGCCGGCAAACGACGGAGTTGCGCAGTTGATCGACTGCCTGCCGGCAAATCTGTTGAAGTATATGAGGATTATTTGAAAGTGATTTGAAAGATTGTAACGTCTTAATCGATTTGACAACGACTTTAGAAAAAAATGGAAATATCATCCAAAGTTCATTTTTGGTTTTGTCGGTTCAGATGTCCTCAGAGCAAAGGCCTGTCAATGACGTTTAACAAAGTATTTTTTATATGCTAGTTGTTTCCATTTATCGGCCAAACAGATTATAGATGTTTACAAGAGAATCATTGCACAACGTTTCTTAGCAATAAGTAGCATTCCATATGCGTTGTGGCAGAACGCATCAAATGCAAATTAGTTTAATTTGCAAATACCGTACATATGGGTCGTTAAACTTCAATTTGAAAAAATATATACAAAAATGAAACAAATTTATACCGGAGAGCCGAGAGGAGCGTGGCAGTGTCTTCAAAATAGTGTCTTCTCTTCATAACAACTGCCTAAAATAGACAAACACACTTCTTGACGTTTCAATTCAAGGGCCTTCGTCAGGAAAGGCATGATTATGATCATACTAACTCTCATACTGATAATAGCCCTTAGGTTGAAACCTCGAGAAGAGAAGTGTCTACTTTAGGCAGTTGTTTCGACGCATTTGATGCAAAATAGCTTGTACAAAATATAAGAGTACTTCGTCGATTTATTTTAATTTGCTCGAACATACATGCAATTATTGTTTTCTATTTCTATTTTTTTATTTTTTGCTTGCACCAGGATTAACAATGCTGTGGTCAAATTTACGGAAGGTCAAAGGTCGTTTAATCTGATTTGCCTATTACACGCGACAGTACCGGGCTGTCAACTATAAGTTGCCGCGCGCCATGCAGTTGTTGAATCGAATGAACCTTAGTCCTTAGTAGTTAGTATAAAACGCAAACCTTTAGTAGTGATATTTTTCTCTTGCTTTCCACGGTAACTGCGAAGCAGGAGTATATCGGAAGTTTGTTTAAGGCGTAGGAGTGATTCGAAACAAGATTTGCGCTTGCACGCGATCGCATTTCATGTAAATAAAAGGGAGCAATGGTATTGACAATATTCATCCAATATTTGGCCTCCTCGTCTGGTATAATGTTATACTTTTAGCTGTGATCATATAATTGTTGTTGAGTTTCTGAAATTGATATCTTGAGAGAGTGCGTGGGGAAGGAATTTCTTATCATAGCTTAACGACGAAATTTGATAAATTTATTTTTACTGCTATGAAAAAAAACCCCGGCGGAAAGTTGCACGTTTCTTTGAAAAGAAATTCAGTATAAAAAACAATGATTTAGACTAAGTGAAGCAACAGTGATAGGCAATCATTCAACTTTGTCCTGCTCATATGAAACAGCGCCTTGCTGAGTTGTTATTCAAAGATGTTGTCAAGTCATGTACCAACTTAATTGCCTTGATTAGAATCTTGAACTGTCTGAGGTTAAGCTGTCTGAGGTGTTTAAAATTGAGGAAGCTAAGAAGGTTTACTATTGGAAAGAATAAGGCATAATTATTGCTTCAACACAGGCATTATAATACGGAATTTTTACAAGGACACACATTGTCTTTAGGTTCAATAATCACTTAGTCTTAGAAATTACAAAGTGAAATTACAACGCAAGAGACGGTCCGTCAGTCTCTAGCCTTTTTTAATATATAATATATTCAATAATGTCAACCAAAAGACGGTTTCAGATTGTGTCCCCTTTCTTCCGCTGAAGCGTCGATCTCGTCATCACCAACGCTGTTTTTGAAAAAGACACCATTAAACCATTTTTGAAAACGCGTCTCGGCCTCTAGATCATATAATTTTAAACCCCCAACTATCCAAGCGTTTTTATATACTTTAAAATAGAGACAATAATTATTTTAAATAGTCAAATTTTTAGTTACACACTTTTCCATTTACAAGGACACATTCGCCTTTTACAAGGACACAAAGTGTGTCAAAAACACGCGTATTATAATGCCTGCTTCAACATCATGCAGATTAAATTGCAAACTGACATTAATTAAATTAACAATGAAGTAGCCTACTTGAGGAGAATAAAACACATCGATGATTAAAGAACGAACATTTGTAGAGGGACTTTTACTTTGTGGTTGAAATATATGGGATATGAGTTCACTTGCTGCACCGCAAGTCTGTGGAGGTCAAATTTAATTCTTTGGCGCTGGTACAGGTCAAGTAAAAGTGTTGCTAGTTATAGTTATACTATCAACAAGCTCTGCTATTATCAGTAAAATCGAAAAAATATCTTGATATTTTCTTTAAAAATAAACAAACATTGCTCTGGATCTCATTTACTGAGTTTTATCTATATATAGAAGTTAACTTTTAATTAATTAAGCTTGTCTGACATAACTTCGAAGACGAAAACGGAAAACTCGAAAAGTTTTGTCAAAGAAGATGAGATCTTCTCCAGAGTAACTCGCTGAGTCGCTGTGCTACCAAGCTGTCGCTGCTATTTGCATTTGTGCAATTTGTTTGGGTATTTACCTAATCACTACATGTCAGTTTAAACAATAGGAACGTTGCCTTGATACTCATAACCTTCAGCAGTTGTTCATATCAGGATAATAAGCCGAGACAGAATCACACTGTTCAAAATACATCAAACACTGAGTTTCATATTCGATATTGCTGCAAGATGATTGCGAAGTTCGTCTTTTATATCGTGCTAGTTGTAATCATTCAAGTAAAAGCGAAAGGTATATTAATTTTCGATGGTGTTGCTCTTCGTGAATTTTTTTCAATCAAAAGTATCCTATATACAATCCCACATTTTTCCTGTAACAGGAATCGAATTTAATGATTCAATCAAACAGCACGAATTTTTATGGGGTTTTTTTACTTTATGTACATAGCCGAAGACGAAGTACCAACCTCCATTAAGGAACTTCAACATTTTTTTGGTGATGGAACATCTATACATGTAACAAATGCTTTTTACGAAGACCTTGACAGTGAACAAGGTATACACAAGTCTCTTTTCAGCTTAATTAAAAAGCATAATAACTATGGCCGCCATGCTGCCCATGCATGTATTCTCCCGTTAATTTCTATAATCGACGTTCAAGGTTTAGAAGCTCAAGCAAAAACGGCGTTGCGAAAGCATTCCGCCGTAAACGATTGGATTGGTGGTGATGAACATACCTCAACTTTCGTTCATAATATGAGACTTATCTCCGAAACGAAGATTGAAAAGGAGGAAGATTTGAAGGTTTTAAAGACGAAATTGTACACACCAGAAGATTTTCAGGTATATTTCCGGTTCTGAATAACAGTTTCAGCATATATATCATTTTTAAACATTCGCTACAAATTCCATTGTTATGCAATTAGCTAAGTTTTGATATAACTCTGTGCATCTTTTTAGACCGAGTTATTAATGGATGGTCTTTTAAATAACCGAGACGATTCAGAAGAGGCAACAGCAGCTTTTGACAAAAGCTTCATCACTTTGGACAATAGCATGGTAAACTCAGTTTAAAAATAGTGATTTTCATAGATTGCGAACTACTCATAACTAAATACGAAGGGGTACTTTAGTTTTAAATCACCCTTTCCGAGGTTTTTTGTTCTAAAAAATGAACTTAATTCATGGTTTAATCCAAAATTTATTCACCGGTTGCACGGTGCAACCGGTGAACTTGCACGTACAATAATATTATGTATACTGAAGTACAGCCGCCTATCACAAAACTTCGGCGTTTTTACCGAAAACTATTGTTCGACAGCCCATATTGTTTTGCTTTTTCTTGTAGGTACAGCTTTATTATACAGATGACGGGGGACAAATGAGCGGCGTCGTTGTGGCCGCGAAACGTAAACACAGCCCGCATGCTGTGTATTTAATCTTTGTCATGGATTAAGGTGATTAGCGAAATGTGTAACTTGATCCATCTATTTTATTGTATTGCCAAGTATTGTGTGGCATGGGTACATTGAAATAAAACCAATCTCTTTTTTGGTTTATTGAAACGGTTTTATGTCTCTGTTTTGCGCGTTAAAACCTCTATGATTAATTCCGAAGTAAATCCGAACATGGGCCCATGGGTCTATAAACCTGTATAATTTCAGTGGAAAACCGCTATACGCCGCCGGCCAGTCCTACTGTACGTTCAGTGCGATTATATGCATGGTAAATTGAAAGAAAAGTGTGATATATTATTAAAAGCGCACGATAAAGTTCTATAAATCAGATGTATTCTTTAGAATACAATAAAGTAGCAATTCTCCACCTCTGGGCATTCCAAAAAGTAGCAAAAATGTAACAAAAATAACAGGTGTAGCAAGCGTGGGAAAAAACCAATTAGAACTTTTCGCACGAGAAAAAGAACGTTTTTCGTGGGAAAAGAACTTTACTTTTAGAAAAGAACTTTTTTCGTGAGAAAAGAACTTCTCTCTGAGAAAAAGAACGTTTTTCTTGGGAAAACTTCAATTAGAACGCCAAGCGCGAGGAAAAGATGATAAATAAAACAAAATACTGAGGTTTTTGAAGACCCGTGCAAAGTTTAATTAAATCTAGATTAATTTCATGTTTCCTTGAGGACGTTATGACAGGAAAAAATATTTAACATATGGATCTGACTAAAGCAGATCATTTAGACAAATTACCTAAAAAGTGTTCAATTTCAATTCTATGATTCAGTTTGTCACAGTGAATGACATCTCGACTAATTCATTTAATCCAGCAGTAATCTGCTGACCAGAACCCACTGAGGACACCCCAGCTGGAGTACCAGTCAATATGACATCTCCTTCTTCAAGAGTAACAATATTACTGATGTAACTGATTAAATATGGTATTTTAAATATCATATCCTTGGTATTCCCATCCTGTTTCAAGGCTCCATCGGTCTTTAGCCACAGTCGGACATCATCCGGATCAGGCACCTTCTCCTTTGGTATAAAACTGCTGATTGGACAAGATGTGTCAAATCCTTTTGCTAGCATCCAAGGTTGACCTTTTTTGGATGCATCTCTTTGAAAATCTCTTGCAGTCATATCTAAGGCAAGAACATAGCCACCAACATAGTCCATGGCAATGCTTTGGTCTATAGAACTACCAGTTTGGCTAATCACAACTCCAAGCTCAACCTCATGATGAAGGTCAGTGCAGCCAGTTGGAATCTAGGCAAGAAAGCAACATTTTCTGATGCATAGATTTGCGAATTTTTTGAACCCTCAGACCAACTATCTTCTTTTAATTAATTCAACAGAAAGTTTCTAAATCCCAAGTTAGTTTGGAAAATTTCTGGCATTTAACAAGAGTCGTATACCATTGACCGTGAATGTAATCTTGGTGTGGTGATTACTTTCATTAATCAAACCAGAGTAGCGATAATTGCGATGGATTATATACCTTGTTGCCGTGAACTCATTAACTTCAATTTGTTAAGAGTCATACCTTTATTTTCTGCCCTTCCTGGATATATGCAGTGCTTGGCTTTAGGAACAACAATGGTTTTTCAGGAACAGCATTACCCAGTTCTTTTGCATGATCACTTAGAATAAAAAGCAAATGCTGATATACCAATGTGTTAGAACTGTGATTATTATTAACTATGAAATTATTAGGGTTGTTACATTTAAATCCACACTCCTGTGGATGTTCAATTTTGATAAAATTTCAAGTCCTAAGAATGAAAAAAGTTGCAGCAAATAAAGGATAATGAACAGGCCTAATCCCTCGTAATCAGTCTGGAGCCGGTTGTTCGAAAGGTGTTTAGCTTAAACGGTGGATAAGCCAGAGTTTAAAAATACTCTCATAGATCTTGTGAATGACTGAACCTATATCTTACGCATTAAATATGTACTTTCATTGGCAATTAAACTATTTACATCAAAATAGTTCAGCTTAGTTGTTCAAAAACTTCAATAGATGAATAATTTTGTTTTTCATTTTGAACTTATCCACCGTTTAAGCTAAATGCCTTACGAACAACCGGACCCTGGAGCGTTAAAAACTCGTCCACAAAAAGTGCTATCAAATGCAATTGCGAAGAGTTGGAAGTTACGTAACTTCAAAATGCTATGGCCTACGCGAGCGGCGGGACTACGCCCAGTGTATTAAACCATGTACTAAATGGATACACAATCTGCAAACGCGCCATATTTTAACACTTTTTTTATAATGAGCGAATTTAGAGTGGTGATAACTTTGCTTATTTCAAGATATTTGAGCGTGATTTGGCCAGGTGATGCTTGCTTGGGCAATTGCAGTCATTGCACGGTTTGCCTCATTGCGCAAAGTACCATTTTGTACGACTTTGCGTGAATGTTAACCAAAAATAAAACAGGGACTCTAGCCGAGTTTCCAGATCATACTCGCAATGATTATGTTTAAACAAACCGATAATTTCGTCCAACACCGACAATTTTTCGACCAAATTCGGCAAATTTCTTCAGATCCCTTCCGGACACTTTGGCCGCCATATTGCTTTTTTCGATCTGTACTTCATGAAAACAATACATATTGTATCTCGTACTAGGCTTTTCTCTTCGTGTTTGCGGTAAATTTGAATTTTCGATGTTTGTACAAGCGATTATGCGAAGAAGATTCAACTTTAAACACATTTTTGTCCAAATATCTCGTATTATCATTGATGCGAAGCATAGATGATGTTATTTTGACAAGTATACAAGTAAATGTGGTCTTCATTTGGTGAAGAATGAGCGAAATATGCTTCTGAAATGTAGCTATTTTATACAAAATGTCGCATTTCAATGGTCAACGCTGCCAGGTAGGGGGGGTTTAAATTCATTTATAAGTCTTTGCTGCTTTATTTTTTGCGAACTTTCGATTACTCGTTTATCGAATAGTTGTAACAAGCTATTTTATGTGGGGTAGAGACATAGGGCTTTATTTTCTGAAGAATCAGACTGGCCATACCAATTGAGGACATATTAATCCTACATCTGTTCTGTTCATATATTAATATATATAATAATTTATTATGTAATGCTCTCAATAAAATATAAATTAAACAAGGGGTTGAAATTTGACTTCGGGTCAATCCAGAGCTAAATAATAGCGCTTCGAATAACATTGGAAGCGCAGTGAAACGTAAGACAAATGCAAACATATTTACAAACTTAGTAAACCATGGCAAGGTAACGCTTCGTAAAGAAACCAGACTTACAAGAGAACACATCGCATAGAAACGCCTAATAGAAAACACGCAGCATAGAAACTAAAGTCTGAGATGCGTCAAAGCATCACCAAGAACTGAACGCAAGACATTGCACGGAAGAGACGCAAGACATTACAAAAAAACGCACGAGAAAACGCATCGTATAGGAACGCATAGCAAAGAAACGCAAGGCCGATAATGCAAGCATGCAACGAGTCAACATAAACGAAACACAAGGAAACGGATCGCAAAGTAACGTAACGCTGCGACACGACACGTCACGCCACGCCAAAACCACACGATACCGAAGCAACTAAACTCGCACTGAACAACTCGAAACGTCGACATCACAACACGCGTGCGACACGAACAAACGCGCCACAATAAAATGCAACAAAACGAAAAGCATGGAAGACAATCAACACGTGGCAAAATAGCGAAATAGAAACATCAACGGCGTTGGTGTGATTATATGATAATGAAACCACTTTAAGTTAAATATCCTACACCTTGTTTAGACATGCCCCCCTAGAGTAAACCTTTGCGTGAGTATTTCAAGTGCCCTTTTATTGATATTCGATTGTTTCTCTTTGTCTATATTGATTGTTTTAAATGTTTTTGTTCCAAACATTCATCTAACCCCAAGAGTTCTTCTTTATTCTGTTGTGATCGCCGATCAATAGGAACTTAATAAGGTTCATTTGATTCCAGCTATACCGTCATTTGTTTGACCCCCAAAGAGAACTTTTCAAACAGCACTAATTTGTCGCAAGTCGAAACTCTAAGTTCCTTCGAGAGTTCGTGAACACCATGCCTTTCACTTTGAAAGAGTTTGCATGCGGCAATTGTTGTAAATATTGCTTGCTTAATTGAGCTTATTTCCCACAACTTTCTTTTCTTCAAGGTGGGGTTAATATCAGCGTCTTATCAGCGACATTTAGACTTCGACTGCAATTGGATTCTGGCAATATGTCAATAATAATCCTGAAATATAAATAACCACTGCGGCATTCGTGATAGTTTAACAGACGCACCACGCACTCATGTCCGCTATAATTCAAAACTTAAACGAGAGTTCACAAGCGCTATTTAATTCTGGCAAAATATCAATAGTAATCGAGTCCTGGAAAAAAACTTTGCTGCAATCGTGAGGTTTGAAGAGACCACTCAGGTCCAGTATATGTCGAAACTTAGATTTCTTTGAGAGTTCACGAGCGCTATACGCCCTTTCATATCGAAAGAGGTTTTCACAGAACAATTGCTTGTAGTTGTTGTTTAACTGTGGGTTAATCCTAACGAGTGGTTTTGTATTAGTATATACCTTCGGTCCCTCGTGAACGACGTTTAAATTTTCACCTATAAATTATGTCAATCATACGGGCCCACCGCTATACAAGAAGCGCCATGAGAAAATTATCTGAACGAATACATATTATCATCAAACCAAAACTCTGCCGAGTAACGTGTTCATATATGGCATTGCTTTAGGGTGGATAATTACAACGTGGGATTCCATTTGGGGTTTCGTTCCGGAATTGCCCGAAACAATGAACGAACTCGTATGACTTTTAAGATTTTTTTATTGTTTTCTTTTTATGGTATATCCTACGTATTAGAATTTAGATAAGTTCCAATATAACCAGGGAGCAGCGAGTAGCGTCTTTAAACAACTTGGCATCAATGTGGTATAACAACTGCCTAAAATAGACAAAAACACTTCTCGACGTTTGATGCTAAGTTATTAGAATTTATTCTCTTTCCCACGCAGAGAGAAAGCAGAGGGTGAGATTACCACATGTTTATTACCATAGTCTCTATCGCTATCTATTCTAATTCTATTCGACTCTCTTTGTATATTTTTCATCGGCTCTACAGCATATCCATACACTCACTACCCTGGGAAATACTGTATGTACCCTGCAGCTCAGGAAGACCCAGTAGCCAGAATACATTCATATCGATTAGATTAATTTGACTTATTCCCGAGTTGAATCAGAAGTAGAATCGAAAGTAAGTTCTTGAGAGTTTGTGAGACTTTTTCGTAGTAAACTCTGCTCGGAATTTTCCGAGTTTCAAGTTTGGAATCATTGCATTTAAAGCCTTACTCGATTCCTTCTGAACACTATGGTCATGCTGACCTGTTTCTGGTGATGACCAAAGGAATAGAACCACATCTTTCCTTGTCAGCTATAATGTTGAAATATGAAATCACCAGTGCAAGTATACTTGAATAATTTTGACTCTAATGATCTATCTTGTCGTAAACAACACAAAAAATTCACTGTTACAGGATAACGGTCAACAATCAGGGTAAACTAACTCCGCTATTTCACCAAGTTTTTCACGCGTAGGCCAAAACCTTGGGACAGTAAATTTTTGCTTACTATTCATCACAGCCACTTTTACAGTAGAAAACGTGCCTTGGTATACCAGGTATACGTTATGTATACGTTATATAGTGTACCAGGTATACGTTATGTAAGGCCCTGTTTTATTTTTGGGAAAACTAGGAAAGCTGGCTTGCATTTGTTAACCACCCTAAATTTTTATTTTTAAATCGCAATATAGCAATACAGTGAACCTATATATATACAAAGGCAGAGTTTATGGAATTATATATATGGAACGGAATATTTTGTATGAAACTGAATAATGAACAAGGTAGGCAAGGTAATTTCTGTATAGCTATATGAATGCAAACGTCAATGCGCAATGAACGAGGATCAATATTTAGCTTGTACATGCGCAGTTGCGAGTAGATCAGTTGAAATGAAAGAAGGAAAATCACGTTGACAATAGCAGCGGAGAAAAGCCCCCGGCCGTAGTATATATATAGGCACACATAAGTAACAATGATAAAATGAAGCGTTCTTGAAAAGCTAACGAGTTATCTCTCTGTGTCGAAGTAGAAACTGCTCTGAAGTAGGACTGCTCTAAACCGTTTTTACCGTTGAAAGTAAAGCGCCCATAATGTGCCAAATATGTATGATTAAATGGCAATACTATAAACGTTTTCGGCAACAGTCTCCATCTATTTACAGTGCGACGTATATCAAGGGTAAATCCGCCTACAAATATTTACTTATTTTGAACTAAACGAATATGCGCTTCACTCCTGACTGCTGCCTTAACTCATTACCATTAAGGCGTCCTATTATCCACTGTTGTGATTTTATCATTTTTCCTAGCCAAAACATCGCAGTCGACAACAAAAATACTAAAGGGTTATGCCTAAATTTTGATTGGGTTTTTATTCATCCAAACTTATCAGTCAGACTGTTATCATCGAAACTCTAATCCGCGCAACAATTCCTGTTTAACAATGACAAAAACATGTTAAATTTGATTCCTCATCTATTTTCAACATATGCCCGTAGTTGCAACCGAAATAGTGAAGATGATTAAGCGCGAGTTGTTATCAAAAGTGATATCTGTACGTATGTGATTTTGACATACTAATGTGAAGTGATTAATTGAAAGAAAGTGATTGAGTTTTGGAATAATTATTTCGTACAAAAATGTTTTGGGCAAAGCATGTTTTATACGGATAGTTCTGGGGAGTTTTCCCCCGTGAGGCCGTGCAGAATCCACCACGTGCGGACTGGTGACGAATCATAGCAAACCTGATCGCAAAATAGCTGGCAAAATACTGAATTAATAGACTTGGGATTAATGTTTACGAACTGAGCCGAAAATACCTTTCAATGCTGCGATGTCTTTTCATGCATTGCCTGGTCTTCGAGCAACGAGATCTGGCTCGACATCTAAGAAATCACACTGCGAATGTGAACTTACGCAGTAAGCTGTTAAAAGGGAAAGACACGAAATTCAAATTACAACCTGTTTCAATCTTTTTTACGACTCGCACCTTTCGAGTTACCAGACGCTTATGTTTCCTGGCATATTCCGCAAAATTGCCTTCCATAGAAAAAGCTCCCCTTCCCCCCTCAATTAACCCATTTCAGTTAGCATACGAAAGGTGCAGGGACTATACACGATTTGGATATGAGTGAGTTGCAAAAATTAAACCTCGAAAGTTCTCTGCCGTCATAAACGCGCTGCACGATCCGTGCTTAATGATATATTTAATCTTGCTTGTACTTCATGTATCATCAATGAAATATAGGAAAGAAGGAATATCGATTTGAAGCTTAGGTGTCTCGTTAATGATTATTTGACATCAGTTGCGCAATTGAGATTAGTCAGTCAACATTTGAATCGAAACAAACTCAATATATTTTCATAGTAGCTTTAATGACAAGCGTCATATGCCTCTAGCTATATGAAGTAAATGTATCAGGAC